CTGTAGTCAAGCAGTTCAGTCGTGGCCATCTGTGCGACATCTTCGAGATCCTTAGTAGTCTTCACCAAGAGTCGAGCCCATCTTGCAAACAAAAGAAGACAACGTTTATTACGTATATACCAAGGGAATAGTATTAGGGATGAAAACAAGAATGCATCTTGACACCGTGATATCGTAACCTCATTATCATGATCGAAACCATCTTAGAACGCCGTATACAAAATCTCCAGATATAGGGAATACATGAGCCAAAAATACGAAACACATTGTGAGCAAACAACGTAGAAAAAGAGAATACATGACAGGAAGAAGGCTACTCGAGCAAAAGACGCTATCGAAATATGCTTTGCAAGACACTCTCCAATTGCTTCGCCAGCGGATCCTCAGGTTGCTGACGCCCACGCTCATCAAACCGTGGTGGGAGTTCAATGGTGGCGTCAGACGCATCAGACCCAGGACTCTCAGACCTATGACGTCTCTTGCGTGCTCTACCAGACTCTCTCGTAATGTCTGATCGGTCGTCGTCTTTACGTCGTCTGTGACATTTGTGGCTGTGATCGTCCCTGTGTCTGTGCTCCCTATCAGAGTCAGGCGAAGGCTCCCGTGAAGGCTCCCGTGGGGGTTCCTCTTGTGGGTTCAGGTCAAATTTGACGCTCTTCTCCTCTGTTGGCGTCGGGCTTGGGCTACGCGGTTCGTCTACGGGACCTGTTCTAGTATCAGCAAGGCTGTCCAATTCATGGGCAGGCATCGGCCTCAACCCACCACGCGCAGAAGCGAAGTTATAGTGCTCGTTACCGCCATGATCAGGAACTGGAGCACTCACATTGTCACCCCCACGTCGTGGCTGACCATAGTAGGGTTCATGTTGTTGTTGATGTTGAGGAGCATACGGATTGCCGAGATGTAGATCTTCGTGCGGTGGGTTGACAAACTGCGATGGATGATTTGGCTCATATGCACTTGGAGGGGGAGGGTAGTCTGCCGGATTGTACGGAGGGTATGGGTTGTTTGGGTTGTGGTCTACTGGAGCAGTAGGGGGAGGGGGGAAGTAGTTTGATTCAGGGAAGAAACGAGAGTCGTTAGGATGGGCAGTGGATGGCGTGGGGCTATCATAGGGGCTGTAGGTGCCAGTGGAGTAGGCTGAATCATCCTCGCCTGGTAATGTTGAGTATGCTAATTGCGGTATGGGCGAGGGGTGGACTCACGTCGTCGTTCAGCTTCCTTCTCGGCCTTCTTACGGTCGCGTCGCTTTGCTGCTTCATGAGCAGCCAAACCAGCGACACCAGCAACCGCCGCCGTCTCTGCGACCGTTCGTGCTCGACTCTTGCTTCGGCTCCGACTCCGACCATCAGATGACGAGGAGCTTCGTCGTCTTCTGCTACGGTGCGAACGGCTTCGGTCCCGGCTCCGGCTCCGGCTTCGACTTCTGGCCGGGCGATCGGTGTATACCGGATCACCACCGTACTCTACTAGAACAGGTTCACTCACTGTACTTCCACGCCTGCTACGGCTACGTCCGATAAGGCGGGAGAGCACTGACCTCGACCTTGAGCGCGACCTTGACTTGGACCGCGATGCCGACCTAGCCTCCTTCTTAGCCTTGCGTTTCTCATATAGTCCAGTAACAGCTGCGCCGGCAACACCAGCAGCAGCGATTGGCACGCCCTGTCGGATTCGGCTGGGCGATCGTTTGCCCTTGCGCTTTCGAGACTTGCTGCGGCTACGTGCAGCGAGACCGGCTACAGCAGCAGTGGCAAGACCGACTTGCGCTGCTCTATTGTTACGGTGCTCAGGGTCTAGGTGTTTGCTCGTGCTACGAGACCTACCCCTGTCAGACCCAACAGCTGAGACGGACCTGTGTCTTCTTCGGCTCTTCCTAGAGCGTGATCGACCTCCATGACGCGACCTGCTTCGGTGGCGGTCTTCTATGACCGTGACTGTCTCCTCTTTGACCGCCGTCTTGTTCTTGTTCCTCTGTCCAGCGGCATAGGCGAGGGCTCCAACACCAGCGAGAGCGGCGAGCGTGCCCAACTCCTTTACTCTCGACTTGCTGCGGTGACGAGACTTGCCGCGTCGGCTGCCCCTGCCTCGCTCAGAAGAAACAGACCGAGATCTATCACGGTTGTTAAATCTATCGAGAGCCACAGCACTCACAGCACCCAATGTGCCGTAGCCAAGGGCATTCCCAATGTTGCCTCCAGCGGCTTCACCCTTCCTCTTGCGATGATGTCTGATGATCTGTCCTGCAGCAACCCCGGCAAGAGCGCCCGCAGCAACATCACGCTTAGTTCGGGTCTCGCTTCCACCCCACGTGTCTTTCTCTTTGTGGATGTAAATATCGTCGTCGCTGTAGTAGTTCTTATCTCCCCATCGATGATCATATTCACGCTCGTCGGCGTATCTCTCATCGTAACGACCACCTCGGTCGATTTCCTTGACCCTGCGCTCGTAGTAATAGTCTTCCTCGTGGCGCGGACGAGCAACCTGTCTGTCTTCTTCAGTAGTGCGCTCAACAAGCTCATAGGCTGGTTCTTGAATGCGCTCGCGGATGATGATGGGTTGCGGGGCCTCCTCCCGAATAATGATAGGTTGCATCTGCATCTGCATGGGCTGGGGGGCTTCATTGCGGATGTAGATGGGCTGGGGTGGTGGTTGGGGGATCGGCTCGGGGCGGAAATACTCAGTAGACCTCGAGTACTTCTCCAGTTCATAGGGCTGCTGTTCGCGTGGGAAGATTTCCCGGTCGCGCTCGTAGTCGCGGGAAATGCGAATCTCGGTTCGGGCGGGCGACGGGGAGCGCTCATACTCGCGCTGGATTCTGTACTCGGAACGCTGAGGGGAGACTTCGCGCTCGCGTTCGGTGTAGTGGTAGTGTCTCACTTCTCGAGCAGGCTCTTGATGACGTTCAATGACATAATCTTTGACGGAGCGGCGGTCTTCGAAGTCGTCGCGGCCACGGTGGACGAGGCGCATCTCGGATTCGTACGTGTCTTCCTCGAGGCTGTGGTCGGGCACCTTGTAGCGCCTCACCGTGGTATAGCCAGCGCCGCTTCCACGCGCCGACGTGGTGTCCCACTCGCGCTCGCGCTCGCTTCTCTTGTAGATGACCGACATGCTGCGGCGTGGGTTCGTGGAAAGTCAAATAGTGGGGCAAGTTGCAGTGTGGTGAGAAGTGGTGCAGATGGGGACGAGGACAGGACAGGAATGTTTGTAGACTCTGGCGTCTGGTGCTCGCCTACTGAGCCAGTCGCTATGAGTCGCTGCGTTGGGTGACTGCGTACGGCTGAGCAAGGGCGGCTGGCGGGCCTGGGGTGATTGGCGAGCGTGGTGATCAACACACTCACTATCGTTGGGGATGCGCGATGCTGGTAGCACTGCGATAGCAAACGGAGGTGGGGTAATAAGAGGGTGAACCGGAGTAGGGACGAAGACGTCAAGTGTCAAGAATAGCGGAACCCGTCAGAAGACTTGATTCTGGCCTGCCCAGAGGCTGGAGGAGGTACCCTGGGGATGACGTCAAGGCCACTGCGCACCACCTCAACTGATTGCACGCTGCACCATGTCTGCCAAAACCACTTTTCTCCGACTAAATACTGGCACAGTCAGGCAGTGCACATCCGACCAAAGTCTGTCTGTCCATCTGTCTGCCTCACCCTCTTTGCAGACCAGATGGGCTCACCGCGCCGTCGCAGCCCTACCATCGAGCCACGACGGGAGCGCGCGCATCGCACATCATGCGAACCACTGCCTGCAACTTGTCACATTCGCTAGAAGTTTCTTTTTGTGGGAACATAGAACTCACCGGACATTGCGCCATCACCTATGCGCATAGCCCCGCATACGGTGAGCGCTCGAGCATGTGGACGGTGCCCATACTGCCCATGGCCTTTGCAGTTCGAGCGGCTGACAACGACTCATGCCGCTGACTGCGCCTCCGCTGCCAACTCTGCTGCCTGTGACTCCACCATAGCCAAAACCGTGATAAAGACACGACTTGGGCCCAACTTGGAACCTAGCTGCAAGACAAAACTTTGCTGCCGTACCGCATGCGAAGCCCAAAAGTGAAGCGACCCAATACACCAAGGGTTACCCTGCAAAACTCATGTACAACGCTCCAGAAGACTGTCTTCTTGACGCCATCAACGGGAAAACGCATCATTGAGGCTCTTGACGGTTTTTTCCCTTGACCGCAAACTCGCCGACGCCTCTGGGTAGTGACCGAGGAGACGTCTGCCCAACGTATTGAGCACCTTGCGGCCTTGCAAACAATAACCCAGAACCTCGTACAAAAGGCCGTGTTTGCACCCGACGTACTTCGATCGATGGAGACACACATCAGAGTGCTGTAAAGATCGAATCAGTACCTGACAGGCTTCTCCATGCAAATATCTGTCCACTGCCTGAAAGCCCTTGTACACGCTCTCACGACCACCAGACAGTAAACACATATTCCTGCAATCGCGCCGTGGAAGGCTTCCTTTTGGTCCGGTGAAACGGCTCATCATGTCTTTCGAGGTGACCACATCTACTACCTACGCGTTAGCACACTGAAACCAGCTGCATGATGACTATTGGACATGTCTCAGCTCCCCTACACGACTCTGCAGCTTATGTGACCCTCCATTCACCGGAAACACAAAGTTGCCGGTGGTTCGAGACGGATACTATCTAATCTATGCGGCTTCCCGTGTGTGCTTGCGTAAAAGAGGGGTGGCAGTGGGGGCCAAGTGTGTGCACAAATCTACTTTCAGTCTGAGCGGACAGTGAGTTGGAGCCTCACTGTCAAAGGCACATGGACGTGTGGAGAGCAAACGAGTTTCACATATTAATTGAACGACAACCATCATGTCTATACATGGTAGTACAAAAACAAACGTGTGTACTGTCTCTATCCAAACTAGCCCAAGAGCGACTCGGTGCGCGTCAAAGCCATCCCAAACGCCGCGTGGTACAATGTATGCTTTCAACCAAATAGCAATCTACGTTTTTCTCCTACTCTATCAAACAATACCATACACTCTCTTTGCGATGAAGTAGCAGAGGAGACCGAAGGTGATGAGGCCTCCAGTAATGGACCAAAACCAGTTGAGATTCTCAATGTCTTGACCGGGAACGAGACTAAAGCTGGTTAGCATGTGATTATACCAAGGCCGGGCGACTTGACTCACCAGTTCATACCCCAGATACCCGTCACAACATTCATTGGCAGGACAATCGTTCCGAGCACTGTAAGCTTACCCAGAATGTCAGATGTCTTTTCTTGACGTTCGTTCATCCTGATGTTGATCTGAGCGAGATAGTTGCTGTGAGCACGAGAGAGGAGGCTGAGAAGCGGGTTAGTTCATGGCCCTATAACTGTTCAAGTTCAACTTACTTCTCGTAGTGCCCTAGATTGCCCGTCATGGTTACAATGTGATCTTGGATATCTCCAAGGTACATGCCGATCTCATTGCGAGGGGCAATGTCCCACTGCTCGTTGCAGCGCTTCGCGAAACCCTTAATGACATCGGCCTTGTTACCCAACAAGCGGTAGAGGCTCATAACCTTCTTTCTGCATTCTCCAACGCGTCGCAACATGTCTCGGCCACTTTCCTGCTGCGACTTCACCTCGGGAGGCTCGTCGTAGTGCGGATTGTTGTAGCTGTATGACTTTTCTTTCTCAGCTTCCTGTTCCTCTTCGCTCGAATGAAGTCGCAGTATAGCCTCGTCAATATCATCAACCTCTTCTTCGATCTTCTGTATCATAGGCGCATAAGCATCGGTGACATCATCGATAATGGCATACGAGATCCAGTCGGGAGATAGAACAAGGTAATCTGAGAGTTGACGAATACGGCGACGGACGTTTGCAGGATGCGGTGTCATAGAGAAGTGGAAGCTTATTACACCTTCTCTGAACACAACAACATACAGGTTGACAGGCTCTAGATAGTCTTCACTGTTCTCGTCCTGCTCAAAGGTACGGTAGTTGATGAAGTAGTAGTGCTTGAAAAGCTCAACCTTCTCACGTTGCTCTTGCATCAGAATGTCTTCTGACGTCAATGGATGGATGCCAAACGTCTTAGAAATGACCTTCATCTCAGTCTCCGTGGGGGACATGACATCCAACCACCAGGCAGGCCGTGGGCCATAGCGCTTCGGCTTCTCGGCCTCAGGTTGATCGTTCTTGGGTGCGTCTGTGGGTCGGGGTGTAGTCGAGCGCGTTTGCTCACCAGAGGAATACTTGCCCTCTGCTTTCGAGGTTGACCGCGTTGTTGTCCGAGAGGCGTAGCCGTTGGGGCCTGCGTGCAGCATGTCATCCTCCGTGTCCGAAGAATCACTATCCTCGTCCAAGATTGGCGGGTCAGGGACGAAGAGGTTCCTGAAACTCTGTCCGGGTTGCAAAAGTTCGCTAATGCTTTGAGAGTGAATTGTGTTGTCGAAAGTCTCGTTGAAGTAGGTAAAGCGGTAAGGAGCGTCGCTGTCCTCGCGATGCCAGACGCGTCGCCTTGGTCGGAGACGTCCTTCTACCATGAGCGGCTCACTAACCTTGCGCATACGCATGCCCTCAATAGTCCGCTGCTCCTTCTCCTCATGTGCCCAAGCTTGTAAAACGTCGAGATTGGGCCAGCGGCGGCGTCTTCGGCGACTCGTTGGCTCGCCAGTCGTAGGAGCGTTCATGTAGTCTTCGTGTCCCATCTCAGACATAGCCTCGTGTGGGAAGCAGACGTCTTCAAGCCCAGAAGTCGTCATACGGCGTCTGAAGTCGCCAGGACCAGGAGGCGAACCCGAGTGACCATCCTCATCGATATCGATGAGCGCATCCCGAGACGGACTGGTGGCTCTTCCCGGGTCAGACATGTGGTCTAAATCTGTCGGGAGCATGACATCGTCTAGGCCACTAGTGGCCTCGAAGGCAGGGCTGGTGGGAACAGATGGGGGGTTGTTGACATCGTACTCGTCGAGGTTGGTCGCAGAGTGGTGGTGTTGCGTGAACAAGTCAGGCCTGTGTTCGGGCATGGGCATATGCTTTGGGCTCTTCATGGACGTCTTGCTTCCTCTTCGGGGTTTGCCGCTGTTGGAGCCATAGCTAGTGCCTGTCCTGATGTCGCGCTGAGAAGAGGCCATCAGGGGCGTTCTGTCGTTGGCGTCTTCGTCGGCATCACTATCTTGGACCTCTTCAGGGGTATGCGACAGCCGGGAGCGGCCATATGAGTTGGATGCTTGGAGGCGCTGGGGTACGTTGGCGTTGGACTGACTTGCCCTCGGCTGGTACATGGACGTTACAGGTACGCTCGGTCTGCGCGTTCGGATAGTCGGTTGTTCTCTGTGATCTAAGAGCGCTTCGCTCTCGAGGCTCGTGTTGCTGAGGTTGCTGTGGGTGCGGTAGAAGCCGTTGCTTCCTCGCGACTGGCCATGGCTGGCGACATTGGCCAAGCTTGGACGTTCATCCATCGAGTCGCCTTGTGCCAGGTCGGCTCCCGCAGCAAAGGACTGACGCCGGTTGCGCCTCTTCTTTCCGCCACGGTGAGTCTTCTTCTTCTTTGGTGGCGCAGATGAAGCTTCCAGCCCTGGACGCGGCGAGTTGCCAGGTGCTGCAGCACCTGCGGACGAAGGGCCTGGATTCGATGCCATTGCAGGGCAAGCGCGTATCGAGATAACAATGACAGATCTAGTGCTGTATGACAAGGAGGTGCAGCAGTGAGGAGCCACTGGGACGGAGACACGAAGGCGGTTGGGCGAAAAGCGCGTAAGAAGTGCAGAGTGTGGAGTTCCTGCGATATTCATCTTGAACCTGGCTGGCAGTGACGTTATTATTGGATGTCCGTGCCCAGGATGTGGGTCTAGCCCCAGTCTAGCCTCTCCAACTTTGCTGTTCGGCATGTTCGCATGTGTGAACCATCAGGTGGATCTCACTCATGCCAATGCACTTCGACTTTTTCACAAACTCTATCATGTTGCACTTCCATCCCGACTCCGATTGCCATGTCGTCTCAGCATGAGTCAGGGGGCTGCTCAAGTACCTAGGTAACCTCAGTCGCGTGCTCAATAGCCCGATTAGGTCGCGCCGGGACATCGCAATCCTGCATGCCCCTAGCGTTTTGATTCGACGCCATTACGCTTGTCATTCCTACTCCGTCCTCTAACGGTAATTCCATGCGTCACTAGTCGTCAATAGATTGAAAAGAGCAAAGGACATCTCTCGATCCAGCACCAAACACTGTATATGCATCATACCCCGCCACTCTACCATATCGAGTGGCGCAGCAGTGAGATAACGGCTTGATTCATCATTGGTAGCTCTACAAAACATATCGAAAACTGGGCCCGTAGTTTTCGACGCCTACTCTTCGTTTGCCTTCACCGCGCGCTGCCGCCTCTTGCAGCGTTCCATACTTGCGATCTAGTTTCTTGTTCTCCCACACAAGAATGGTCCTCAGTAAGAGAGATAGTAAGCAGAACAGAAACATAAACCCTGCGCATATGGACTGGCCTTTCACATACAAAGGTCCCTCAGATGTGGGGTACAGCCTGTGAAGGTGGAGGTACGAAGTCAGTCTATGTCTCACATGTGTTTCGTACAGACACAACTTACCTCGTTCCTAACAAAGGCCCACATTGACCAACCAGGTTCAGGATGACAATACCAAAGCCTCTCCTCGTATCAGAGCCCTGATTGTTTGTGACCCATGGAAGAACATTTCCAATAGCTGGAAAAATGCCGGCAGCAGCCAGAAAAACTCCGAAGTATCTGGCGGCCACGCTCTTGGTTGTAGCCAAAATCACATATCCGATTCCCCCGATGGCCGTAAGGATTGCGATCATGATGCCGCGCTGCTGTGTCCGGTCTGCGATATAGCATGTAACTATAACGGTGATGAAAGAGAGGAAAAAGGGTGGTGCTGTCAATCCCTGTGCGTTGACACTCGAAAACCCCATTTCTTTAAGAATTGTGGGCAGGAAGACCGGTAAGGATGAGAATGCGACATTTCCACTGAAGTACATAAGCTGTTGTTGATGTCAGTCAAGCACTATCGCTTCAAGTCCATAGACTTACACCGAGTATCCAGCCTTTCACATCCATCAGTCCTTCCAGAATCTCTTTCCAGTCGATGCCTCCGATTCTTGTCGCGGCGCCAGCCTGTGCCACACCACGAGCTCTCGCAACCGCCTTCTCTTCCTCTGTCAAGAACTTTGCCTTCTCTGGACTGTCTGGCAGAAAGAAAAACGCGACTGCGGACATCACCACTGTCGGTAATCCCTCCACCAGAAATAAAACTCTCCATTTTGCCATTCCGGGGTTACCACTCGTGATACCGTATGCCAACGCGCCTGCAAAGGTATTTGCCAATCTAACGGCGGGCATATGAAATCAGTACATGGCTCACTTGCAGTTTGTAAACAAAGATGACTTACGGAGCGGCTGACAAAAATAGTCCACATCTTAGCCCAAGTTCGTGCCTCAAATAGAAGAACGAGAGTAAGAATGGGACACCAGGACCATAAGCGATTTCTGCAGCTCCCATGATGAATCGACATGCCATCATTCCTCCCCACGAGGTTGTCGCTGCTTGCACGGTCGAAACGAGGCCCCAGACGAAAACGCAGCCCGCAGCCCACATATGTGGAGGTATCACTTTCCACATTATCGCGAGGAACCCGAAGACGATATAGGAGATATAGAAGATGGTCAGAAGCCACTGGTACTGCGGACTACTGAGACCGAGATCATCTTCCATCCCTGCGATACGGGCGTTTCTGGTACTCAACGTTAGCAATGACCTCAAGTGTTAGATTCGATTCCGTATACCCAATGTTCGATCTGTCCAAGAAAGCGAGCAGATATAAGGCGGAAAGCAACGGGACGATGTGCGTGTCCAACTTTCGTCGCACGCGCTTCTCGACTACTGGGTCGATTTCGTCTGCCACTTGCGCGGCTGGTACCGCTTCGATATCTCCATTGTCTTTGATCGATTCGATCTTCTTCTCCCCATTCTCGTACTTGAGTTCGAACTCTTTTGATGTGAACAGCCGCATTGTCGCTGGCGCGCAATCTCACTCTCTCTTGGAATAAAGCACAGCAGGCACAAGCGGAACATCAGCAGGGGAGCGGAAGTATAAGCACTCACAAGACTCGTGCCGAAAGGCTTAAAAAAGTGCCGAGATCGGTACGACTACACCACGCAGCTTCATGATAGGCGTGTATAGTCGCTGCTTCGGGAATAAGGTGTGACGATGTGGGGTGTGAGTGGGGAGATCGACATTGGGGTTGAGGTCCTTTGGGCGGAACTAGGCCCGCACACCGGAGTGCGGCCGAAGTCTATGTACGAAATCCTCAACGAAGTAGAGTCACTGTCTGTAGCGTAGACCAATAAATGGGTCCCTGCAATCGTCATTGGTGTTAGGGTCCTGTGGCGAGATGAATGTAGTGTCGTGTCACTATGCGACCGGATAAATTAACCATGACCACGATGCCCAGTTGGGAGGACGCTAAATTCATGTGGACGACAACCGTCTACCATTTCATTAGTAGCACGGCCAATCTCCTCTGTAGTATGCTTTTCCAGAATAGCTTCTTTAATGCGTCTTTGTCGCAGTCACAGTAGAGGATTCTTCATAGCCGTTACTACGCCAATAACATTCCAAAACAAAAGAGAACTCACTAGTGAAGACATGCCCTTCTTCACATGCCAGAGCAAACAAACATTCATACCCTGGTCGGCCTGAATACTCATCCCCATTTTGCGATGACCTCTGTCAAGGCTGAGTGTATGTGTCGAATTTGTAGTCTAATTTGTATACTACAGGAGGTAAGTACGTGACATGTGGGCACTTTGCCTGCGTGTATGCATCTGCATGTTGGACTTACGGTATCATCGGGAAAAACCTGGGCATCGGCACAGGTAGGCTACACCCTGCTGTAGAGAGACAACCTCGTTATCGTCTTCTAAAGCGCGATGCTTTGTGAGCCTGAAGTCATGTAGGTGGTGGCGTAGAGAGTGCGGATTCGTCTCCGATACATTCGCTTCAACATTTATCGGTCCCTGCGTCGAGTGAATCCCAATTCATCGACGATCCTCCTCGAGAAAACGGGTCTGAAAACCCCAAAAATTAAAGGCTGATGCCGTGCCATAGCCGTAAGTATGCTGTATGCGAATAGCTGGTAGTACGGGTAAATAAAGAGTAGCTTCTAGTAGCAGAGTCGTATAGGATAAGAAAGAGATTAATTGCGTGTGAGTCCTGGCGAAGTTGCTGAGGTTTGAGTAGAGGCTGCTTACCGCTAGCCACGTGCGAGGAAATAAGGCAAGAGCGAAGCAGAATATCGTCCCACCAACGTCTTCCTGCTGTTGCTCACGTGGTATCCCAATGGTCAGTACAGTAGAGAGAAAATTCCAAGGACACTGGTATCCATTGAACAGCTGCCGTGAAAGCATGCCTGTAGGCGTTTACATAATCTTACACTAGTACTCTCCATATCCTAACGCCATACGAACTCCTTATAAAACTAGATCACACACATTTCCTTATTCTTATATAGCAATATGCGTCATAGTCTGCCCTTGCTTAACCTGCGGACCCAACGTCGGTAGCGGCTTGTACTTCTGCTGTTGCACTGGTGTCCTACTCGTTCCTGGCAACGTGTTTGTCCCCGGATAAGGCTTCTTTGGATCCGGCTTCTTCTGCTCGACAGGCGGTGTAAAAGGCTTTGGCATACCGGGCTTAACCGCTGCCTTCTTGGTCGTTGGGTATGTGGGTTTCGGCATGTTGTTGGTGTCTGGGAAGGCCTTTGGAAGAGTCTTGTTTGGTGTAGCTCCGGGACCTTTGAAGGGCGGAATGGATCTCGTGGCTCCACCAATAGCTTTCTGACCACCACCTACAAGGCCTCCGGTGGCCTTTGTGGCGTTGCTTGTTACGTTGCCCACTGTGCTATTTGCGCGACCTACAACTCCCCCAGTGACTCTGGAAGCGCCGCCTGCTACACCCCCGACGGTCTTCTTCGCTCCTCCGACCGCGCCATTGACTTGGTTGTTTCCCGGGTACTTCTTTGCGCCTATGGGTACTCCACTGGTAGTCGGCTTGTTGCTCGCAGGGGTCGAGTTCGAGCGCTTGATCGCAGGCTTTCGTGCTGTAGAGGGGAGGGCTTTGCCTGCTGGTTTGTATGTTTGTCCAGTGATTGCACTGCCATAGTTCGTTGCTTTTTTCTCGATCCCTAGACGCATGTCAGCGAGTCTTGAAGAAACATACGTGGCCGGGCAAGATAAGGGCCAACATACCGTTTCCTACACTCCTTCCGCTGTTCTCAATCATGTCTCCAACCTTGATAAGTGCATTTCCTCCATATTCACCCGCCGTCTTCTTTCCAGCGTCTACGAAACCCTCCACCGAGTTCCAGATAATATTTGAGATGAAGCTCGTCATTCTGCAGATCGTACAGCAAGCTTCAGATTTCAATTGTGATCGAAAAGTAGGTCTAAGGAAGAGCTATGGTAGTATCGTAAGAGAGCTCCCGAAATCTAGACTGCTGAACCCCAGACCATGATGGCCGATGATGAATACCTCTAGCGCCACCACAACTTGAACCGGTTTCGCTACCCGTAGCATGCAGGGGGGCTCGCTGCCGCCCCGCGTCAAATGACGTTGTTGTGGCACGGCAAAGTGGGCCTGAACCAAAGTCCTGGATGGCGATCTCTGGTGCAGGTTTTAGCTTGTGTAATAGCTTTATGCGATGGCATGTCACTGTTCAACTATGCCTGACATGGCTGAGGCTGAGTATCACAATATTGTATGTTTGTCATTCAAGTCATTGTCTTTCGTCGATCATGCTATTCGTACAAAGTGCGCTACTACTATGGAAACCTTTTCGTTACATATCCGATAACGCCAATGAAAAAAAGAAACGCTTATTACTACTCATTGCTTTGGACAAAACATTACAAACTAAGCACCTTGTCTAGCCTTCTCGGCGCAGATTAGCGCAATGATACGACTCAACTCTGCGCTCTGGGCAAACTGCTCTTGCTTGGTTTTGTCGTCTACATCCTCACACGCTGCGATGTCGTTACTGACTGTCAACATGCGGTTTTGGAGCGTGAGCAGCTTAGCAAGGGTGTTGTCGAGGAAAGGTGCGCTGAACGTGATGTTGGTTGGGGAGGCGCCGTTGTTAGGCATGCGCATCTCGAGTTTCCGGGGTGGCTTCTTTCCAGAGTTTGATGGAGCAGATTGTTGTTGTTGCTGCTGTGGTTGGGGCCTATGGAAAGTCTTGTTAGCAGATGCACGTCGGGATAACAGACAGCGCAATAGGGGTTCAAGTTTTCGTCGGTAGATGGTAGCGCAGCCCTGATCTTCAACGCCGTCGAACCCAGAACCAGAGAAACGCTGCCAGGGGAAATTCAAGGGAATCCGGGAATCTCAGGGAAACTCACTTCTCACGCTCAACAAAAGTCATGTTCTCCGCCATCTCGGCAACGCGGTTCGCGATTCTCGAAGCCATGATAGTGTATGGTGACATCTGAGCTTGCGACGCTCCGTTGGTTGCGCCATTTGTCTGAGGCTTCTTGTTCGCACCCTGAGCAGGCTTCTTCGCAGACCTTGAGGCGGTGGTCTTGTTGGCGGTGCGCTTGACGGGCGCGGATGCTACTGAGGCTGCGGGCATGTTGAAGGATGTGATGTCTAGTTTCGAATCAAATCTGTAATATTTATCAGCTCCAGGTTCAGATGGATATTTGAAAGCTGCTCGCGTGCACTACTCGAACATGCGCCCGGGTCGACAGCTGTAAAGATTCAACGTACCGCTATCTTTGTGAGTGTATGATGTGATTCCTGGAAGAAGGGACGCAGTGGATGCAGTCTTAAGAATTGGTGTCTACCGGAGCGAGTATAGTGTTACTGAAGTAGCTTAATGACCTAACGAAGGGGTACCGGTGCTTCGAATATCTTGCTTGCTGACTTGGTCGCACGCCGCCACACATCGACGTCATCCGACGGCTCGCTGACAGGGGTTGACGACGCGCAAGTGGAGCATCCATCTTGATCTCGAACCGTTGCCCTGCACTGACGTCGCGGGTAACCCGCTACTGGTGCCGGTAGTCGTGTTTGACGTTTGAACTTCAATGTTCGCTCGTGTGCGAATTGTGAAAGATGTCGCCTGCTAATGTTACGAAGAAGCCGGTCGTCACCAAGTCGCCGGCTGCCAAACCCCCTGTGAAGAAGGCCACGGCTCCAAAGCCGACCCCAACCAGCCAATCAGCATCCAAGCGGCCAGTACCAGCTGCCGTCCAGAGGAAGAAGAAAGATGACCTTGGTGCTGGATTAAGGATTTCGAAAGAAAATGTCGAGGCGCATCCAGCTGGACCACCGCGTTTTGGAGAGTTGACACAGGCCGAACGCGCCTTCACGTTAGCCTCAACGTTCTTGTCTGGCGTTCTGGCGTAAGCATACCTCTGTGCCAGCCTCCAGATACACACCAACTAATGCACAATAGTATAAGCGCATCTCAATTCCTGGGCGCGCCGTTGAAGCTCATTGACCCGCAGTTCTACGATGGGTATATGGCATACACCAAGGAATGTTTTGCCATCTTGATCACCTGCCTAACCCAATGGTGGGCCCCAACTGTCGTCCGTGTATCTGGCGACTCCAGTATGGTCGGTCAACTTATCAAGCGCAAAGACGGATCTCTACAATGTAACTTTGCTGATCGCCTGGTTCTCATGGCCAACCACCAACTCTACACTGACTGGCTATACCTCTGGTGGATTGCTTACACGAACAACATGCACGGTTTCATCTACATCATCCTGAAGGAGTCATTGAAGAATATCCCTATCATTGGGTGGGGTGCTCAGTTCTACAATTTCATCTTCTTATCCAGGAAATGGGAGGAAGATCAACGAACATTCAAGAAACATCTGACCAAGCTGAACAAGAAGGGAGATCCTATGTGGCTAATCATATTTCCGGAGGGGACCAACCTGTCTAAGACCACACGCGAGAAGAGTCAGAAATGGGCACAGAAGAATGGTTTGCAGGACATGAAGCACCAGCTACTCCCACGCAGCACCGGTCTCAAGTTCTGTCTGAATGAGTTGAGAGAAACCACCGATTGGCTGTACGACTGCACCATCGCATACGAAGGTGTACCAGAAGGTCAATTTGGTCAAGATATCTTTACCTTGCGCTCTTCTTTCTTCGAGGGAAGACCTCCAAAATCAGTAAACATGCATTGGCGACGATTTCATCTCGATGATATCCCATACGAGAATACGCACGCTTTTGAGGTCTGGCTGAGAAACCGATGGAGGGAGAAGGACTATATGCTCGAATATTTCAGTCGCCACACTCGCTTTCCTGCAGAAGACTTTTGGAAGAACCATTTGGACATGGATACCAAGAGTGAGAGCAGCAGAGGTAACGGAAGCAAGACCATTCGAACAGTGCCACGGCCGGCGGTGCAGATTGAGACAGAAGTGAAGTCAGGAAACTGGAACGAGTTCGTCAAAATTTTCGCACCGATAACGTCCGTCATGATGGCCCTAACCGTAGCCTACGGCGCTTCGCCTGCAGACCTACCCATACCTGGCGGCAAAGAGTTCTTCGAGAACCACATCAAGACGCTGCTAGGTCAAGGTGGCGAGATGAAAGGCCTACCAAGTCCAGAACAACTGGAAAAGATGATAGAAGGCGCTGCGCAGATGGGCGCCGCACAGGCAGCAGGACCAAAAGAAGTCCCAGAAGTCCAGCGTCTTACGCAAGAAAACCTGGCCAAATTAGTCAAGGAAACAGCGATAGCAAGTGGCGCTGTAATGCCAAATGGGATGAGAAGAGCAAGCACAGCAATCCCAGGTGCACCTACGAAGACCTTGGAAGCGCCAACCGCCACCACCCCGGCCGCAAGGCGAGCCCAGAGTGCCATCAACCTTCCAACGTCATCCGCAAAGAAGCCTACCACTGCTGCTGCATCAAAGCCAGGCACTGCCGCACAAGCCCGAATAAACTCTACAGCAGCGGCAACTAAGAAGCCCACTCCGGTACCTACAGGCCCGATGAAAGAAATGATGACCGCCTCTGGTGTCATGATTAAGGTGCCTCAAACGGAAGTCGAGCAAGCTAAGAAAACCGGTACACTCACCATGAAAAATGGTGTCAAGATCAAGGTTGGTAAGGATGAGATTGAAAAAGCTCAGGAGAACAAGGGAACAACATTCATGACAGCAGGTGGAGTGCCAATCAAAGTCACCCCTAGTGGCGCTGTGCAAGTGCCCCAAAAGGTGGATAAGGGGCAAGCGGTCAAGAAGACGGGAGAGTTGGCAAAGAAGATGGATGCTATCTCTACGCCGGCGAAGAAAGCTCCCAGCAAAATAGCCTCAGGTACGAATGGGACTGTGAAGAAGACCCCTGCAGCGAATGGGACTGCAAAAAAACCAGTCGCTGCACCAAGGAAGCTTTGAGATGATTTCTTATGATTGCTATGGACAAGTGTTCAGGACACAGCATAACTAGGGTTAAGATATACACGGCTAGGCGTTGGGCATGTCTGTTTGCTTGTATGTAAGACACGAACATATTATCTTTCGAATCGCAGCAAGGAATCCTCCTCGGACACTAGTCATGTGAATAGCGATGTCGCCAGCGTTTGCTGTACCGGGAACATGCCCAGAAGCATACAGCAGCTCCAACACTCCTTTCCTTACTTGCTGTACCAAATCGTCTTCTTGACATCCATGCCCCTCCATTCCCATCGCTCGAGCACGCGTCCATCGTTCGTTATTGCACCGCTACACAATCTGTTAAATCACCGTTCCTGCACAAGAATGAATGCTTAGAACAAGGCCGCAAGCCTCGTGAAAAATGCAAGGACAGCTGTTGAATCAGGCAAGAAACATGCAGACAACATGACATGTGGGGATACTGCACAACGCAAAGATGCATACAACAAACATTACCTCTTCTTCCTTGCAAGCTCTTCTTGCTGTAATTTGTGCATCTTGGCTCTTGCGCTCTTGCTGCCACCCAGCTTGGGGCCTGTGATGGGCGGTGGCGCACCCTTGACGGTGGGAGCAGCTGGTTTGCGAGCTTGTTGTCTCGCTTGCATGGATTCGTAGTATTCCGAGCGAAATTGCTCGACGAGGGCGTCGTCGGTGTTGACGGAAGGGTTGACGTGGGGGTTTGTGGGAGTGGTGGAGTCGAAGAAGTCGACTGGGGTATATATTAGTCAGGGGATTGCCATTGTAAGGTTGAGACAGAACATACGTTTGGCTTCTTGGAGCACTGCCTCGACCATTTGGTCGCGGCGTTTATCTTGGTCCGTCTTCCCGTTGGCTTTGGGCTTGCGCCACGCGTAGCCGTACTTGTCTCGCCGTGCTTTGCTTGCTGGCGGCTCAGGCTCGCCTTTGTCCCATCGTCTCCAGGCTTGTTCCGTGCGTGCAGCAGCTTCTGGGCCCAGATCTACTTCCTCAAGCTTGCCCTGGCCTGCCGCCAATCGGTTGCTGTGCTCGTTATCCGCTGGACTGTCAGTGCTAGCGGACGTGCCACGCGCCGCTGCGCTCGAAGCAAAGGTATGTTGCAGGTCTGGTGCGATGGCTACTATAGAAGCCTGGAGATGACTTGGTATGGGCCAGCCGTATTGGCGATAGTTCTTTTCAGCCATGCGAGCTTCTACATATTCCGACCTAGCACATTAGCCTCCGTGCTTGACGTTGCCCTACTTGGAGCATTTTACAGTCTTCTAGACAGTCCACTTACATCTGCCTGTCATCACGATCTACGACCTGCCCTGTTTGCGCGACGAAGCGACTCGTATACTGGTCTGGCCGGGGTGCTTCTGCTTGCACCAAATCACTCCGCGATGGCTCTACTTTGCGTACGGTTTCCTTCAGGCGATCTCGTGGGCGCTTTCGGTTGCGCAATATTTCCTTCAAATTCGGAACCGACTCTTCTTCGTCGTTGGCTTCTTTCGGCGGCGGTTGCGCATCATCCAGAGTCGCAGCATCGGGCAAATGTGAGGCGGAGACAGTAGGCGCGTCGTCTTCGGCAAAGACGCGCTTCGGATGCGCGATCTTGCGGCGCTTGAATCGTACAGCGGGCGGCGCTTCGTCTTGTTGTGCTGTCGACATGGCTGGAGACAAGAGTAGGTTGAGAGGCGTGCATCAATTAGATGTCGATACGCGGAGGAACTAGGGTCGCGAACCATGGAAGGGTCCAACGTCATAGATCTTCCACGACATTCACCACTTGATCTAGCAAATTGCGTATTATTTACAGTGCATGGAGACGGACGTATGTGGGAACGATCGGCATCCAACAGTGACTCTGGGGTACATGTAATACCGCAAGGCTGATGTACACTTTCACGCATGCATTATCTGATCAAACAGATCATCAGATCTAGAGCACCTACATGGCGTGACACTCAGCTCATAAGACCAGCAGTTAGCCGACTTCCGCTTTCATATACCTTGACTGAAGTAACCTGCTAGTTTTACCACCCCTACTCCTGTGCTGTTATTATTCATACATTGAGTTGTCAGCGCGAGAGCCAGCTCAAAGTCTTCTTTCGCATTTACAAATTTTGTTCATTGCGATGTAAGATAAGTACTTCTCAGCCTACTATACAGGAAGCCAGCCGCCGTAACGCTCAAACGCCCAAGTCATACCCGGTACATTGAGTGCGAAAGACTGATGCAGGTAATATCAAGCAACTTCCTTAACCGTTCTCATTCTCATTCCCATTCCCATCCACGTGGTATCAATTTACATCGCCATCCTAGTCTCCCTTTAGGCCGTTGCAGAGGAAACGGTCTCGATCTCAACCTTTGGCAGCGGTGCAGACTTGCCGCCGAGGTCTGTTTGCCGTGCGTTGGGGTTCTTCGTGTAGTAGTTGGAGATTGCGGATTTGATGGCATCTTCAGCAAGCATGGAACAATGTACTGTAAGCAGTTAGTATCTCGACCCTATCTATTGTTGTTGCGAAATGGATACTCACGCTTTACAGGTGGTAGGCAAAGCTCCTTTGCAATCTCTGTGTTCTTAATCCTCGATGCGTCCTCCAGTGTCATACCCCGAACCAATTCGGTGAGGTAACTTGAGCTAGCGATCGCGCTACCGCAGCCGAAGGTCTTGAACTTGACGTCGCTGATGGTGTTGTTGTTAGGGTCGACACGGATCTGGAGCTTCATGACATCGCCACACGCGGGCGCGCCGACGAGTCCAGTACCGACATCGGTATCGGTCTTAGACATGGAACCAACATTGCGTGGCTTGTTGTAGTGATCGAGCAGTGCTGCGGATGTTAGCTGAGCGTTCTCGTACGGATATAAGTCGGAAATGGTGGTGCGATGACGAGGTGATTGTCATGGAACGCCTTTATCGCCACCACGTCGACTTCTCGAACAAACAGTATGGGGCACTTATCTTTCTCGTGGTACTGCCGCCGACCGACTGCTGAAACTGCAGGGGCTGCTGTGCGAATGGGCGAAACGATGCTGGGCCTGGCGGCGGTTGCGAGCACTCTTCCGGCCTGAGCAGGCACTGCTGCTGCGACTCTCCTGAACATGGTGGTGGTCGATATGTGCGGTGTTTCGAGGTTCTGTGATGTGGATTTTGTGTTTTGGCAGCGGTTTGGATAGCGTGTTGATGTTGATGTTGGTGTAGGTGTAGCGGAGGTGGATGGCGATCGAGGAATTGAAGTAATGATTAGGAAAAGCGATGGTCGGCGACGTAAGTCCGTGCACGACATACCCCACACTTATCACATATTCTGGAAACAGCTCGGAGAAAAGCTCCAGTTCTCCGACGAGCGAACACCACTTGCACCCTTATCAGATGAGACTTCAGCTTCATTCAGGCTACGCCTGCAGCTAGTCCGTGCTATCTTGACATCGTCTAGCAGCTTGCGCCGCAATGCTCCTGACCCCTTCTCTGTTCGCCGTATCGTCAATGTTAATGCTAATCCGACACAACTCTGCTTTCGCTATGCTAGTCCGAGACCTAGACCCGCCGCCTTACAAACGCCTGAAGAAATACACATAGGCAAACTTCTTCATCTCCTCCACGTCGGCTGCCTTAGCGACCTTCTCGTCGTTAAAGAGCACCCATGATGCAGCCTGATCATCTGGCAACTGCTTGCGCACAAACGCGACATAGTGGCTGTTAGATGTTAGCACATTTTCATACGTGGTAAACGAGTGCGATAGACTCACCCAGCATGTATCGAGCTACCCTTGTGGCATACGATGGACTGGAGTTGGAAGTTTGCAGGCAGCGCCTCGCTACCAGCCAATGGCTTCTCTGTTGGCTCAGCAGGTCCTTCAGAGCCACCGCCTTGGTCAAAGTCGCCGGGTGCATCCGGGTGACTAAACAGCCAGTCGACAGCACGCTCCATATCACCACCTGTTTCCTTCAAAGCCTGACGTGCTTGGGAAGCATTGAATCCCATGGCCCCTAGGTTCTCAATCTTCTCAGGGTCAAGAACAGATGCAGCAGCCGCGCCTCCGCCAGAACCAGCATTGAAGTCGACAGGATCATCGATATCTGGATCTTCCATATGTGAGAATAGCCAAGTCGTTGCTGCTTCAGCATCTTCATTACCAGTGGCATGCAGAGCCTTCTCACATCTGACCCTAGGGAAACCCATGGCTTCGAGCATCGATAGTGCAGCTTCGTTGGGCGACCATTTTGAACCTCCAGCCGCCCCTGTGTCTGCGTCTTCTGGAAGAAGCTCCTCACCTTTGCTCAATCCCTTTGACTTGTAGGCGTCGAAAGAGAACGGTTCATCGTTGACAATAACGGGAACATCTTGCTTGGTGGGCACCCAGTTGACCAGTTCGAAGCGCCTGGCGTTGACAGCCAATACTGAAGGGAAAGTCTTGAACATGCTCCTCTTCGTGAATCCATCCTTGCTGCCACACGCACCGCAAGTAAGCTCAACCAATTCTTCAGCCGTGAAGATGTCGAGACACTCCTTCAGCGATACTGGCTCAAACTCTTCCTTCTCTTCCGTTTTGCCGTTTCCATCGGTAATGTCCATCTGCGAGTCTTTCGGGATTCTGCGGATGGGGACTGGGATAGAGATATTCTCCTGCTCGTCTGTCTTGTACCGAACACGCTTACAGCTAACACACTGTAGCCGTTGCTCCATGGCAAAGCGGAAAGCGCCGACTGGATCCTTATGAGGCTCAACATGCTTACTACGTGAGACTAGTTGAAGCATATGCAAAAGTAGTTCGAAGGCATCCTGTTGTCGCATAGTTGAAAACTCAGCGTGGCCTCTTCCAATCAGATGTTTGAGCATGGCAGGCGCAAGGCCGCGCTGGTGTGGAACCTCAGGGCTATGCTCGCTGGTAGTGACGTCGCTGTCCGGCTTTGAATACCGACCTGAGATCATTCCATCGGCGATCTTGCGTAGCTGAGTTTCTAGATCTTCGGCAGGTAGCGGTGTCTGCGGCGGGGCTTCATTAGGGAGATAATATCGATCCTTGAACTCTTGAATAGAGAACAAAGCCTGAAGGGTACTATTAAGGTAGCAACTGTTGCCCAAGTTCTTCAAGCCTGTGAAGTTTGGTCCGAATAATGGCTGTAGCTCTTTGCCGTCTTCAGTCACCATAGCAAAATCCCATCGCAAATTCTGCTCGACCTGCATCTCCGTAAGACTCTTCTCTGTCTTGACCCTATCTTTGATGTTGATACCCCAGTGTGCTAGATGGTCAGGCAGCTCAGGATCTATGCGCTCTTCGTCACAAGCGTAGCAGTAGATATCGGCCGTACCATCCGCGGTGAGAGATCCGAGCTTGACTGCGACCGGATGACCGGTCGACTTTGTGTGTCCAACGCCGTGTGAATTGCCACCAACGCCACCAAATTGCTGACGGCCACAACCCAAATTGCCACAGGTCAAGCATAGCCAAAGGTTTTCATTGAGCTCACACTCGGAACAATGACCCAAGCTTTGAGACTCTATCTGTCGCGCTGCCTGCTGTTCCAAGCAGAGTGTGTGTTCGCAAGCGGTCAACTCTTGCTCCCATGCCTTCACTTCCTGCTGCTTCGCAAATGTGTTCGCCTTGAGAACTGCGTCTACGATATCCGGAAGCTTTCCTGAGCTCTTGTCTACGTTGTCGACGCCGCACTCATAGCATTTGACTTGGGTCGTGGTATCGTACCGGTCAGACTCGGTTTCAGCTGCAACGGCGAGCTTCGTCATCTTTTGAGGAGGCTCATCGCGCGTGACCCTCTTACGTGTGCGCTTGATGTTCAGGACAAGTGGATGGTTTGTAGAGGAAACATGGAGGAGAGCATGGTTTCGATCGCTCGTACATCCACCGTTGAAACAGTAGAGGCACACATCAAGGCCGGTAGGGTCATCGATCGAGTCAAAGCACTGCGTGCAGTCTTCCCGGTATACAGACTGTGTTGGTCCTGGTGGATGGAGCTCTGGATCATGTTAGCATGGTGTAGATGGAGCATATAGCTACAAATCCCGTCAAGGCGACAAGGCGCAGCGGGCATGGTTGCCACTCTTCACGTCTTTCGTTGTGCAAGAATAGAACCTAGGCATGACAATGGGGGCTTACCGGGCGCGTTCACGTGTGTGCAAGCCATGCTTGGTGGAATTTGCAGGGAGGCAAGGTAAGGTGTTGGATGTCGCGACGGGTTGCATGTAAATTGATTTGTTTGGTATGACATAGGCTAGGCTTCCAGAGCGAGCTCCCCGCGGCGGGGCCGATAAAAGTGGGTACACTACCGCCACTACCAGAAGAGAGAAAATCACCACGCGAGAGCTCCACCTTCTGCCTGGGAGCTTACGCCCGACTTGACACACGCTTCTAGATTACATTGCTGAATCGGGACTCTGAGTCACAATGAACACGGTATTGTGTTGAGAGGCTTGATTGCATGTATCGACCAACTGTATCAGAAGCTGTGCTAGTTGACTTCCGTTACGCTCTTCCCTGAAGAAAACCGCCTATTTTCCTTGCTGTCGTGCATTGATAGACCAGTTTTGGAACTGAGTGAACAGCACCGGCTGTAATGGAGACTTCTTGTCTGCAAACCACTGCTTCTGAGTCTCGGCGTAAACGTCCACCACACCAGCATAGTTTGCTTTCTCGAGACCGACAAGCACTTTTACTACGTGTAAGCTGGCGGAGCCACATGCATCCGCATGGACTTTTGCACCGTTCCCTAGCTTCGCCTCTTCGTGGATTCCCTTCAGTAGCTCCCATACATCCTCCGTGTTCTCTGGCTTCGGGAGGGGCGCCTTGCGCTTCGTGCGGGTATCGAAGAAGGACTTCAGCATCTTGGCCGCTTTGTCTGCCGTCTGCTTGTTTGCGTTGGCTCGAGTACGACGGAGTACTGGGAGGAGAATTTCCAGAGTAAGCGGGTTGGAATATTGCTTCTCCATGTACACGGCAAGCAGATCCAGGACTCTCGACTTAAATTGAACCACGTTCTGCTTAGCGTCCTCCCGCTCCTTCTTCTTGCTTGTTGTCTTGCTTCGCTCCTTGAAGATCTTGCTGAGGTGTGGGTCAAGCGCCATCATCTGGTCGTCGTCCATGTCAGACTCGTCGGATGTCTCTTCCGCCGCGTCACCGTCCACATTCGGCTTCGACGTCTGAAGAGTCAAGGCCAGCATGTTGTTGAATTGAGTCAACTCTGCATCTTCTTCACCCTCTTCATCGTCGTCGCTTGCGTCGCTGTCGTCATCCTCGGAGTCCGAATCAGAAGATTCAGAGGCAGCGTCGCTGTTCGACTCTTCCCCATCGACCATCTCAACGTCTGAGTCGTCTTCTTCATCGTCACTTGAATCTTCCTCCTCAACGTCTTCATCACCCTGATTAAATAGCTCTTTCTGTCCCTCGAGGTTCTCTTCAGTATCCAGGATTTCAGTCAAGGACCGCAGTCCTTCAGCACTAATCTCTGATGCGAAGATAGCAAATGCTTCTTCTCCGATTCGACGGAATAGTGTTCGTGTGTTCCCTGAGAAGGAGAGTACAATCTCGACAAAGGCATTTTGACCATCCGAAGTTGAGACCTTGTTCTTCTTCTTTGATGACGTCTTTCGTGACGCCTCGAAGGCTTTGTAGGACGCATCTAGATCATCAAGCATCATGACGGCATCCCCCTCGCCATTGTAGGCTTGCAAGAGCGTTAGTGAGTACAAGAGCATAAAGCCTTGTGCTGCCAGCTCGTTACCGGCTATCGAACCCTGTAATGCCATGTTAGCCAAACGACAGATGAACAGGAAGTGACATGCTTACTGTCGCAGAGATGGCGTCGAGTGTATTCAACGCCTTGTCCATATTGCTCAGAACCGATGCGTCTGCCTTGAAAGCAAGATCCAATTTGGCAGACTTGTGGCTCTTGGCTCTTATCATGTCTAGAACCATAACGGCGATATCTGAGCGAGCACCCAACTTCACATCCAGTAACTTGGTCAGACAAGATGATAGGCGCTCTTGGAACATTGCCCGACTCCGATCACTGATAGCGGGAAGAGGCACCTTCTTAGTATCCGCACTCTTTGAAGGAATGAAATAAGCACACTCAACCAGTGCCTCCAAGATTTCTCGCAGCCAATTAGACTTTCGCTCATCTGTGGCGCGACCTTCCCGTCGATGGGCAACATCTTTCTTGAAGGTCTTCTCGTTGAACTTTTCGTATCGCTTGTATTGTCTGACTGTGTTCAACAGCAGGTCGGCAATGGCCTGCCGGCGGCTATCTGCAACTGTTTGTTCCTCACAATCAGGACGCAGAATCAGTGACTTGAGATGTCGTACGATCTTCATCAAGCTTTTGTCATCTGCCGATGCGAGGATTTGCTCGAGCGTTTTCGTCTTGGTGATGCGGTCGAACTCAATGCTGCCGTGCTTCGAAGTCAATGCAACAAAAATAGGGAGGGCTGTTCCATCTTCCTGATCGACTCTGAGCTGGACGGAGCTCAACGCAGCGAGCGCGGCCGAATGGAGGAACCTGTCTTCCTTTTTGCTTTGGTTGATGAGGGTACGCATCAAATTTGGACTGAACAACGCAGACACAGCCCCACCTGGCACACGGGTGATCATGCTACTCAGCAACTTGAAGCCCCAGGCTTTACGTTCGTGGGATGCTGACGAAGAGAAAAGGTTGCCTATCACAGTCAGTCACACAAGCTAACCACTCTTTTAGATGATTCGACTTACTGTCTACAGTGTCGATCCAAAATTGTGGAAACTCAACCTTGTCCTTAGAATCACTCTTGGTTTGCTCATCCCTTTGCAATATCTCGGCAAATGCGAGGTCCCAGGTGAAAGACGGGTTCGGATTCGTAGTCCCGGTTTTCGTGGTTTCGTCTTTTGCATCTTCTGACTCGCTCTTGTTGAAGTCTTCCTTCAAGATTTTGGCAAGCCGAGAGCGTTCTTTCTTTGCTAATGGGTCTTTATCGTGCCAGACACCCTCGGGCAGTGCCTCTGGATAATGTGCTTTGACGGTAAGCCACACCGCCACACCCTCGGGTGTGGAGACAAGCTTGAACGTGTTGAGTCGTTCCAACACTTCTTCGGCACATTTTCGATACTGTAGTTGACCTTTCAGACTCCTCACTGCTTCGACCAGTACCATTCCGCATTCTTCGCGTAACCACGGAATGTCGCGTGCCATTCGATAGACATTGTCCAAGAGCTTGTTCCAGGAGTCCAGCGAGAGTTCCGGTTCAAGGAGTATTGATGATTGCATAATGGCCTTGAAACCAAAAAGCTTTCCAATGGTATGGTCCCGTTTTTCCTGTGTCTGTTAGCTTCGCAATATTTAGCATATCTGCAGTCCTACCTTTCCCGGTACGTTGCCTTTAGCCTTGGTCTTCTCTTCCACCATCTTGATGACGGATGCCGCGTCAAGCTGCGAATCCTCGGCATCATCCTTTGTTACTGCAAAACGTTGCCGTAACAACTCGGTCAGCGTGAGAGAGAATCCAACCCTAGCAGCTTTACGCTGACTGCAAAGACCTTTGATTAGGCGTACTAGCGCATCCTCCACATCTTTGGCCGATGGCTTGTTTTCGGGCGAAAAGTTGACGATGATTTGTTTGGCGGCTTCAAGACGAACATCATCTTCCTCGGCTGCCAGGTTTGCGTAAAGCTTGGAGAGCTTCACCTGGTCTGTATTACTTTGTCTGCGCCGTTTTGCAGGGGCTTCCTCCACTTTTTCGATTTGATCCGCCTCGCGCTCCCTCTTGCGTATTTTGCTGCCCATTTTACTTGATTCGCTGATGAATGTATTGGACTTTGTCGCGTTGCGACTTTCGAGAAAAGTTAAGCACGGTTTCCGGAAATTTTGGGTGCTAACCTTATATGGACTAGTTACTCATTGTCCAGCCACCGCTAACGTTGACCGGGGTTGTGCGCGAGTATGAGCATGGGACTTCTCCAAAATCTGTGTAGGAATACAGGACGTCGAGATTCATCCGGACTCTGCGCCAAGCTTGCACTCAGAATGAGCTTACATTGGGTCTCATATGGGACCATGATGGAGACACCTACTGACGATCGGCAAGGATTAGATGTGTGAGATCATATAGACTATGGCATTAACAAACAGCAAGTCGCGTTCTTGACATGACGTTCAGGGTATACACGTCCTGCGAAGGAGCCCGTGTTTTCTGAATCATACTTTCAAAACACTGTTTGGGTAGAATCTATCGTAAAGGTATACGTAAAGTTTTAGTGATAGGTACAGCTCCCAAACCCAAGCGCCTTTCTACATTCGACGAAACTTCTCATCCATGACGGGTTGAGATCAATCAGTCATCGTCATCGTCATCAAAGCCTGCAAAGACCCCGAGTGGCTTAGGACGGTGTGTGTTTTCAGAAGGAAGCTGTTGGGGTACTAATTTGCCTGGAGAATCTGTAGCCACCTCTTGTGCAGCCCCATCCTGCTGTTGCTGCTCCTGTAGTACTTTGTCCCTGTCTGCTTTGAGATGTGCAGGTATGTTGAATTCGTCCAAGTTTTTGCCCTTCTGCAGAAAAGGAAGCACGAAGTCAGCGTATGTTTCTCGTCAATCTGCACGTTCCGACTTACCTCGCGCCAGTACTGGAGACTGAAGAGAGCGCCTGCGCGGATCTTTTCGTTGCTGGGCCACGGATACCAAGCCAGGTTGCTAGCTTTGAGCTTCTTCAGCCATTCTTCTTCTTCTGGCGTGATTTCGAGTGCAGGACCAGCAGCATCTTCGCCTTCCTTCTGCCCTTGTACAGCTTCAGTCGCCGTTTCTACAGTCTCTGGTGGGAGAGCAGGCGTGTTGAGGCCATTGGTAGGAGCTCCACTCGAGCCGACGTCTTCGTCCTCCTTTTCTTTGTCTGCTGTAGGAATGCGCTCACGGTACGTCGGCGGGACTGTGTATCTCGAGATGTTGGTCGCATACTGTAAGAGCTCGTCGAACGGGACGGCGCGTGAATCTTCTGGGAATGTCGTCACAGACGTGTCAAACAGCTCGTGGCGCAGTTCGGCGAGCTTTTTGACGGACGTTTTGAGCTGTTCTTCGAGAGCGTCGGCTTCTGCGCGCAAATGTTGGATGCGCACATGGTTTGCCTGGTGTTTGGCAACTGCACCATCTTAGTAAGTGTTCTCGGCCAAACTGAATGGCAACATACGTTGATCCAGTCCTTCACTGAGCTCGTCGTCGGCAGCTACCAAGTCGACTGCAGCTTGCGTGGCTGGGTTATAGGCGGCGATTGAGTCGACCAGCGTGGTCAGGGCCTTTTCGACGCGCTCAAACTGTTCGTTGAGGATCTCGTCCATGGCCGATCAGTAGACGTGGTGACGGCGGTGGGGCTAGAGGAAAGCGCAGTAAGCGTGAACGTGGTTCAGGTGGAGCACGCGCATACACGTGACCAGTCATGCGCGATTATGCGCGGCGGAAGATGGGTCGTAGGGCTGGACGTGTATGCAGGTTGCGCGCCAGACGGACCAAGCTGAATGGCCGGCGACAGCAGTTCGGTATTCACTTTGGCAATGATGAAACCGGGCCTTCAAGGGCACGAATCACCCACTGGCGCTGTGCTAGACTCGCGGGGTTGCCCGCCGAAGATGCATACGAAAGCGGGACATGACGAAGCGGCCAGGGCCCTCTCGGCGTGGCCGCTATTTGTGTCGACTGGCTGGAACCCGAGCTGTCACGACGACCAGCATATATCCTCCGCTCACACTACCTCTGCCCGTCTACGCCCACGTCCTAGCCTCGTACATCGCCTATTGCATTCGCCTGCTCCTAGAGTGCTGCGCCTTCCCGTCACCCCGCCATCGATTGGTCCGCCACCTACTACCAGCTACCACCCTTTGATTGCTGCTCCGCCTACCGACACCTGACGACTGCCTGCCTGCTCCCTTCACTACATATTCCGGTGCACCCCTAAATTCTCCACCCGCGATATTCCGCACATCTTCTAGCCATGGGTAAATCGTAAGTTTCTCTCTCCTTGTTGCTTTGTAATGCGGGGCCTTTGCGCCTACCACCCCATCGTCTGGGGACTCCTGCCCTTCACCTCGGACACGCGTCTCGTTGAGCGACGGCTACACGCTGGACCGGACCTCGTCATGGACTCTCTATCCAGGCGCAAATATCGCCTGCCCGACCCCACACTCGACCACCCACCGCGCAAGCATGCAGTCAGATTTCGACATCGACGACCACGAGACGCACGCGCATCCAGCGTCGCCGCCTCACGTTCCGCCACAGGCGCAAGGAATACCTCTACTAGAATATGAACACCCGCCACTCAAGTTTGCGCGCCGCCATCACAGCGACATCCCTAGCCATGACGAGTCCGGATATGCGCACTACAAGGATATGCAGAAAATCGCCTTGGCGAATGCCATACGCGGTTTCGAGGACGAATTGGGATCACGCTGCGGCATCAAGTGCTTGGAAACACAGAAACAAAAGCTGATCGTGTCCTATCACAGCCAGAGTAAACTATCACAGCAGGAGCTGGCCGATCTCCAGAAAGCGACACATTTCGACAAGAAAGAGTTACAGCAATGGTACAAAGGTGTGGTCACAATGGTCTAAGTTGGCTGGACCGTAACTGAGTACATACAGGCTTCCTGAAGGACTGTCCATCGGGCATGCTCACCAAGGAGGAATTCCAAAAGATCTATAAGCAGTTCTTTCCTTTCGGCGATCCGTCATCGTTTGCAGATTACGTCTTCAATGTCTTCGATGCAGACAAATCCGGCACAATCGACTTCAAGGAGTTTATTTGCGCATTGAGCGTCACGAGTCGCGGCAAGATGGAGGACAAGCTCGACTGGGCGTTCCAGCTGTACGACATTGACGGTGATGGCAAGATTAGCTACGAGGAGATGTTGGCAATCGTAGAAGCCATCTACAAAATGGTATGTACACAGGCCCGAGGAAATGCCTTGATCGCTGACACATACAGGTCGGCTCCATGGTTAAGCTCCCGGAAGACGAAGACACCCCCGAGAAGCGCGTCAAGAAGATCTTCCGGATGATGGACAAGGACGAGAACGGCAGCTTAGACATGGCTGAGTTCAAGGAGGGCTCGAAGCGCGACGAGACTATCGTTTCCGCCCTGTCTCTCTACGACGGTCTTGTGTGAGGAAGGGGGTCGATACCCAGTGTCATTTTCTATGCTTGTTTCGTTATAGTCGATATCACAGCGCATTTGTGGGATTGGCATACCATTGTCTCTTACTGTTAGGGTGGATGACATCGCCTTGGCGTACCGGACATCATGAATGATGTATACAAAGTGCGCAATTACTTACGTGGCGAGGGATGCAAGAAACAACTTGAAACGTCTTCTGCTTGCACATGTTGGCATGGTTGTGATTTTCACCCATGGAGCCCTCTCGGCAGCACCTCACAAGAAGTTGTCGATGTTGTCCTCCTGACTAGGCATGCAAGCGAAGTTGGTCCTGCCAGTTGTGGTCTGACGCAATCCTGCGGAACGCTTAGTGCCGAATACAGCTTGGCATACGCGCAGCTTCCTTGGGCGGCCTTGAGGTAACATCAGCGCTGTGAACAAGTAGCTTCAAAACAACACATTGCTAGTACTGTACCGCTTTGTTGTACCATCATCGTCTGCACGCTATGGACAATCCACGTCTGTAGAGATAGACTAGCATTCCGTTCTTCCACTATTGACTTTTGGCGACTCTACCGCTGCGACGCTACGTTTCGGCGCTCTCTCAAGCTGACGCCGGTCCGCTCCACAACGTGTTAAAGCCACTTTCACGCGCCTGATTTGCATAGACAAAACACACATACACGATGCGGCGACTCGATATATCCGCGTCCGTCGCTGTGCTGGCATCCTTGCTAGCCATCGCACCCTTACCGGCGTCGGCCTTTTACTTTCCAGGCACCGCGCCAACTTCATACAAGACTGGAGACGCTGTACCTCTATACGTCAATCGACTTACACCCGCCGATTCGCAAAACGACCCGAAGCTACGCTCCGTCTTCTCCTTCGACTACTACCATCCGCCCTTCCACTTTTGTCGCGAAAAAGATGGCCCCAAAGAAATCCGAGAGAGTTTGGGAAGCATACTGTTTGGGGATCGCATACAGACGAGTCCGTTCGAGCTGAAGATGGGCGTAAACGAGACATGCAAACTCCTCTGTGAAGCTCCGTATCCGGGCGCGGATGCAGCGTTTGTCAACAGCAGGATATACCAGGGCTACGATCTTAACTGGTTGATAGACGGACTGCCTGCGGCACAATCGCTCAGGGAACCGGGCTCAGATCAGACCTTCTATCAACCAGGCTTCGCGCTGGGCCTTGTAGATGAGGATCAGCCCATGCTCAACAACCACTACGACATTGTCATCGACTACCACGAGGCTTCGCCGGGTAACTTCCGCGTAGTTGGTGTGCTGGTGGACCCATACTCCGTGGCGGAATCGAAAAGAGAGGGCGATAACGGGGCAACGTGCAACGGACAGACGCCGGTCGTCCTGAAAGAGAATGACGAGGACACAAACCTGGTCGTCTTTACGTATGGTGTCTACTGGCGACCCAGCCCGACTCCGTTTGCGACACGGTGGGACAAATATCTACACGTCTACGACCCAAAAATCCATTGGTTCTCCCTCATCAACTCAGCCGTCATTGTTGTCTTCCTTGTTGGTATGGTAAGCGCGATCCTTGTGCGTACACTCAAAAAGGACATTGCGCGTTACAATCGTCTGGATCAATTTGCGCTTGAGGACTTTGGTGAAAGCGGCGACGCTGATGATACTGCGGATGATTCTGGCTGGAAGCTGGTACATGGAGATGTGTTCAGGCCACCAAAGAACCCGCTACTCTTGTCCGTTTTGGTTGGCAATGGAGCCCAGCTCTTTGCCATGACAGCGCTGACTATAGGTAAGCTGGCAGAATCCCTTTGCGTGTCAAGTCTCTACTAACATGGATTATAGCATTCGCGCTTCTCGGCTTCCTGTCTCCTAGCAACCGCGGCGCTCTCGGAACAGTCATCATCATCTTCTACACACTCTTCGGTTTCTTCGGTGGCTACACAGCGGCGCGTACCTACAAGTTTTTCCATGGCGAATCGTGGAAGCTGTGCTTTTTCTATACCCCGGTTGCTCTACCTGCCATTGTATTTGGCGTCTTCTTCCTTATGAACCTGTTCGTTTGGGGTCGCGGCGCATCCGGTGCTGTTCCGTTTACTACTATGCTTGTGGTCGTCATTATTTGGTTCGTCATCTCAGTGCCACTGAGTGTCGCTGGTTCCTGGATTGGTTTCAAGCAAGCAGCCATCGAGCCACCCGTCCGCACGAACCAGATCCCAAGACAAATCCCGCCGGTAGGAGGTTATCTACGACCTCTTCCCTCTATGGCATTAGCTGGTGTACTCCCCTTTGGTGCTATCTTTGTCGAACTCTATTTCATCATGAACTCGATCTGGTTCTCGAAAGTCTACTACATGTTCGGCTTCCTATTCATCTGCTTCGGGCTCATGATCATTACCTCGGCGGCGGTCACTGTGTTGATGATTTACTTTTTGCTTTGCGCAGAGGACTACCACTGGCAATGGAGGTCTTTCTTCACGGCTGGTGCAAGCGCAGCGTACGTGTTTGCCAGCTGCTTGCTATATTGGATCAAGGATGTAAGCTGGACTAGCTGGACGAGTGGTGTTGTTTACCTAGGATACTCTGCACTGCTGAGTTCGCTGGTATTCATTCTTATTGGTAAGCTACACAACGCAATTCCCCTTTTTAGACACGTGCTCTAACAGGTCATTTAGGCACCATTGGTTTCTTCGCAAGCTGGCTCTTTACCCTCAAGATCTACAGATCAATCAAGGTGGATTGAGCTACGAACAATAGTGTGGAAGCTGAAACCGTCAAGTAGCATCCCAATTCTTCGCCATCGGAGATATCCAGTTGGCATCATTTACTAGAGAAATCACAGCCATACAACCGTTAGCCGGATTATGCAGCTACACGTCTTAATATGGTTCAAGCTCGCCAATGTGTTGAATTGTCAAGAAAGTGAATGAGTCCGTTCTCCAGAGCCAAATACGAGAGGAATCCAGTCGCTTCTAAGCTCCGTGGAATGTACCTTGCCGATGAGGCTTGAGTTGTTTCTTGCCAACCGATTGTGATTTATCTCGCTTCCCCAATATCCACCGACACTAAGGATATCTCCTCCGTCCAGAAAGTTATCCGGAAGCCTTCGCAGTTTTAAACGTGTTTCCGAACGATATCTTATCGCTCTTGTTACCTCTTCCTCTTTTCGGAAACTTTCGACCATCGATTCTCCAATCTTCTGCAATGACGTCAACCCCTCGCGCGAAAAAAGATAAGAGAAGACTCCCATGATCACCATTTGACCACTAAAAGCGTTTCCAGCGTCTACAAAAGGACAACGGATCCGCTTATTCTCAGGCCCATCTGCACGTTCCAGAAGACTCGACTCCTTCCCTCGTCCAATGCATCAAAAGGACAATCGGGCATCTCTCGGATTTGAACTCTGTGCACTGACCATCAGCGCACAAACTGACGCGATGCCAGATTTGGACTAAATTGCGGACACTATCGAGACCCTTCCCGTCGAACCAAACCATGCTCCCACGTTGAAACCCAAGGCCCGAGAGTTTTCCGGTGTTAATGTCATGAGTGGTGAGTCTTTTTTGCAGAAGTTTACCGTCGTACGAAAGGGTTATCAAAAGGCTTGCTTGCACGAGTATATATAGGAGGGATGTTTGTTGTCATGTTCGGACTGTGTGTTGAGATCAGCTTTTCAGATTGCATCACTCTGCGGTATTCGCATACTCGCTATAATACAACCCTGGTGTTTGACTCCTGCTTCTTTATCAGGCGACCAGGCTACGAATACAAGAAGCCACTATTACGATAGTGGCCGATCTCTTACTTTTGTTGGGGTGATTGGCATACTCCTTATATATCGAGTACTTTCATCCAGCCTGTTCACAGCAACCAAACAACTTTGTCGTTTCGTTTTCCACCACAAACTCAAGACCTCGAAGCCTTTGTACGACAAACATGGCTACCGAAGGCATACAGTTCCCTCTTTCACGGGACTTTGCCAGTCCCTCTAACGCCCCGACACATGCTCGTCCATCCTCATCCTCTTCAGATACCACAACCCTCAATGGCGAAAAACCAATGCCTCTCCATCGCGCACCGACGGCCGAAGACATGGTCAATCTTCCTATCCGCACACTCTCCAACAACGCCAATCTCGACGAATACACACAAGAAACCATATCGGGGCAGATGGTCCGCGAGGTTCGATCCAACGCCGGCAAGGTTGAGAAGTACGACCTGGTTACGTTTACCATTGACGACAAGGAGAACCCTAAGAATTGGAGCAAGGCATATAAGTGGTGGTGTACCATGTGTGTCGCAGTGACATGCTTTGCCGTGGCTTTCAACTCTGCAGTCATCACGGCGGATCTGGAGGGTGTGAGCGCAGAGTTTGGGGTTAGCGAGGAGGTGTCGCTATTGACCATAACGCTTTTCGTGGTCGGATTCGGTGTCGGACCAATGGCTTTTGCTCCCGCGTCAGAGATCTGGGGAAGGAGACCAGTATATGGTGTTACACTTGCTTTGGCTGTCATCTTCACTATTCCAGGAGCGGTCGCGCAGAATATTGGCACACTGCTGGTAACACGCTTTATCGCTGGTGTAGCGTTCTCGGCACCCATGACGCTTGTAGGAGGAACACTAGCCGATATGTGGAGGAATGAGGAGAGAGGTGTCCCAATGGCAGCCTTTAGCGCCGCACCGTTCATCGGCCCTGGTGTCGGACCTTTGGTTGGCGGCTACCTCAGTCAAGCTGGTGGCTGGCGCTGGCTTTACTGGATTCAGCTTATCCTTTCTGCCATTGTCTGGATTCTCATCACATTTACTGTACCGGAGACTTATGCGCCTAAGATCCTGGCAAAGAGAGCGAAGAAGATGCGCAAGGAGACGGGCGACGACAAGTTCGTCACGGAACAAGATCTCGATATGCGACCTTTCAGCCAACGCCTCCAGCTCTTCCTCTTGCGGCCATTCCAGCTGCTCTTCCGCGAGCTCATCGTCTTCCTGATCTCGGTGTACATGTCCGTTCTGTACGGTCTTCTATACATGTTTTTCGTCGCATACCCGATTGTCTACCAGAAAGGCAAGGGCTGGAGCGCAGGATCAACAGGTCTCATGTTCATCCCACTCATCTGCGGTGTGCTGCTCTCTGCTGCCTGCGCGCCGCTCGTCAACAAGCACTACATGAAGTTATCGGAAAAACACAATGGTCACCCGCCAGCCGAAGCGCGTCTGATCCCCATGATGTTCTCATGCTGGTTCATTCCCATTGGAGTCTTCATCTTCGCATGGACCAGCCAGAAAGAGACACACTGGGCAGGACCTGCATTTGGAGGTGGCTCTGTAGGCTTCGGTTTCATCTTCCTGTATAACTCAGCCAATAACTATCTCGTCGACTCGTATCAGCACCAGGCTGCGTCAGCTCTAGCGGCGAAGACGTTCTTGCGTAGCTTCTGGGGAGCAGGCGCTGTCTTGTTTACGAATCAGATGTACGACCGTCTGGGCGATCAGTGGGCCAGTTCACTCCTTGCCTTTATCGGTCTTGCTTGTTGCGCAATTCCTTTCGTCTTTTACGTTTACGGTGCAAGGATCCGGGCGCGCTCCCATTACGCATACAGTGCGGAGACGGAGAACAAGGAAGAGAAGCAGGGAGCATAGTTAGCAGGTCGGTCTTGGGAGGTTATATTGGATTTTAATTGTTGTGTGTTATGGGATATGTTAGCTATTCGTAATCCTTACTGAGATGAATGCAAGCTCGATGGTGCATGACGCTGAGATTGCAAGCATGGATTTGTCGACGTTGATGTCATACGACCGGTGGTAGTGCGGGCAGTAGAAAGTGGATGCTCGATGGACAGGCTCAGTAATTTGCTTCGTAGCGAGCGTCAAGCTTCTTAGTCGTGTGACTAGCTGGGGTTAGCTGGAGGGCTGATGGACACCCTGGCGCAGAGTGGGGCTCCAGCGAGCGGAAAGGCCGACTCAAGTCGACACTCCACCAGCGCGACTATCCGGCCCAGACAAGACCTCTGACGACTTTCCCCCGAGCTTCGACCATGGACGAGCTTAAGGACCAGCACAACCCCAACGCGCCAAATGGGTTCATGCAAGACACGCCGCCACGAGCCGACGTGGACGAGATCCTGAGACGCAAGCGGAAGGCGCGAGAGTACAAGGTAGGCTGCAGGTGGTGAGGGTCGAGGAGCCTTAGTATAGTCTGCTGGAAGAATGGCCTCTCTGCATTGCCGAATTGGGCTACACGACCCGGCGCATTCAAGCATGGCAGAGCTACTGCCCCACGAACATGCGCTGACACTCTGCTACCATACAGGCCTGCTACCCGTGTCGCCAGCGCAAGGTCAAATGCGACCAGAACGTGCCGTGCAAGACATGCGTCGTCCGCGAACACCCCGAGCTGTGTACCTACCACCCGCCCAGCGAGTCGCATCCGCCTGCGAAACGAATCAACCTCGGGCTCGGCCAGAACAACGGCCATGACTTCTCCAATGGCATCGTCCACATCCACGGCGGCACCGTCACCCTGCCCCGCGAGGACTGGGAACGCATCTGCGGCAAGCTGCAGCAGGCGGAAAAGTCGCTCAGCGACTTGAAGAACGCCGTCGGCAGCGTCGCAGAGATACCGCCCCCGACCAACGGCTTCTCTCCGGCCGACGCATCTGGAAACACGCCTCTGGCAGCAGCAGCGCCCATGGACGGCGAGCAGAGCCACGTCCGGACCCAAGGCATACATACGCGCAACGACATCACCGGCCAAACCATACACATCGGTCCCAGCTCAGTACCAGCGCTCGTCATGGCACTAGGGAGAGGAGATACACAGTGGGCACCGGGCGTGCAAGATCTCCTGGGCAAGAAGAGCATGCTACCAATTTTTGGCCTGGACAATGAGAGCGCTACATATCCCTTTGTCGATCTTTGGGGACTGCCGCATGGATCCATAGCGCGCGCTCAAGAGCTTGCCAATGCGTTACCGAGTGATTCCGAATGCCTCAGTTTCTTTCGAAGCTATCGCGAGACCGCACATGCCGTATACCCCGCCGTTGCCGACATCGAGGCCATCGAATCCGATCTTCTGCTCTTCTTGATCAACCGCGCAAGTGCACAAGGCACCAACGGCATCACAGATCAGCAGATATATGGCAAAGACTTCCATTGGATAGGCATGGTCTTTGCCATACTGGCTTCCGGTTGTCAATGCTCGAGTCTGTCGCGAAGGGAGAGGGAGCTTACATCTCAGGTTTACGTCTGTTGCAGCTTCGAATGTTTACGATTCACAAACTTTCTATCGCATGCGACCATCGAGAACATACAAACTCTCTTGATCCTCGGAAACGTCATCTCGAATAACATGAATGCTGGAGTCGCTTGGAGTTTGATGGGTTTGACAGTGCGCCTTTCGCAGACACTAGGACTACACCGACAATGTCCCCCTTCCACCCCGGTGCAGCAGAGAGTCATTCGAAGCAAGACATGGTGGGCGCTTCTTTGGCAGGACTCACTGCTGTCTGTCTCGTACGACAGAGCCTCGTCGACGACCACCATTGATCATACTGTACCCATGAGCCAGCATACAGCACCGGGGACAAGGACATATGTCGAGAGCATGTACAGACTTTGTAAAGTAGGGCTGGATATAGTGCGTGAGCGCCAGAGGCCACAGAACTCGCATGACGCCCTAATACGCATCACTGAACACCGCAACGAACTCCAAGAAATCATGATAGATGCTGCAGACTATCTCAAAGACTCTAGGAGATGCCGGTCTATGCGCGATCAGCTCGAACACTGGGCGCTATACCTGCACATATCGTACGTCACATCTGAGCTCTGTCGACCAGCCATCAGTCCAGCCACTGTCAACCTCGATCTCTCCAAGACTCTGCGCAAGACATGCATCGACAGCCTTACAAACACTGTCGAAGCCTTTCTCGGTCTGCAAAACATGACGCCGTTCGCAACTCGTTCCTGGTCCGCTGTGCATCGTTCCCTGAGTTCTGCTCTGCTCCTCGGTATTCTTGGCGAACACAACCGCAACGAACGAGCGCGCAGTTTGTTGCAGAACGTGATCCAAGTCCTTACGGATGTCACAAAGGACGTCGACCCCGCGGAGCTTGCCACGCCCATTACACGGTCTGTCTCGGCTTTGGAGCGGCTGCTGAGGATCACCACAACACACAACCGGAAGGCGAGTGAAGCGGGCTCACAGGCTTCCCCCACGATGCACGTCTTTACTGCACAGGACATCAACAACGCCCTCAACGGGGACGCTGAGAACATGTTCTCGCAATCACCACTGCTCGGACTGGACCTTGACTCCTCACCGTATGCACTTATGGAGAGCATCGTGTGGGGTGCGCAGAAATCGCCGTGAAGAGGTGAGGTGGCGAAAGAGAAGTTGAAAAGTGAAATAAAAGTCATGATACCCAGACCTGCGCAGCGATCTGTAGCGTTGCCACTTACAAAAGCCGGAGATAATGATCAGACTCTCGTCTTGAATGGCATCTAATCAGTTTGGCTGCCCCAAAAACCTGATAATGCACATGACGCCGGACGTGTCTCAAGAACGTTGTCGCGCAAACGATATTAGTGAATGATGAGCGAGAGGCGCCTTTGGGGGGGGGGGGTTGTTTTTGTATCGCAGGAGACAGGGCTGTCCCGTGCTTCAGAGTCATGTTTTTAATAGATTCCAATTGAATGAGATTCCATTCGCGCTGAGAGAGGGCTTGTCCTCAGCCCTACCCATGACGTCGCTAAGCGAGTGTTTGCCTAGACCCTGGTGCCTATCATCATAACTCGTGCAAACAACCCTAGCCTTCACCTAGATGGACTTTGGCGTGCGCCTCTCCTCTGAGCTTAAATGAAGGCTTAGCTCTTGCTTGTCCCGCCACTCAGCACTCGTCGCCATGTTCATGCTCCGAAACCGTAAGTCCGCCAGCAGCTTTGTTTGCTCTGTTTCTCCTTGCTGTCCCGCTGCCCCTCCCCCACCGTTGCTGAGACGACACTAATCCGTACCACCAGTCAGTAAATTTGTCTTTGGTGACAGCTCCAAGGAAACCATCGTCGAGATCGCCCAGGGCCAGCTTTACCTCGTCCGACCCCGCTCTGTCAAGGGATACAGCGAGCTCATTTTCCCCGACGCAACAGCGACCATCCGCCGCACCGGGCAGGAATTCCAGTACCAGCTCGTTATCCAGCGCGCATACGCAGAAGGCGAGGAGGACTTATTGGCAGAGGAGAACGAGGACGCGGCACTCGACGCGCTCGCAGGCGACAAGGACGAAAAGACTTTTCTGCTCGACCAAGACCTGCAGTTTCGCGACGACGTACGTTCAACCGGCGAGAAGATCTTTGCGTGGCGCGACCTCAGCGGCGACGTCGACGACCTCTGGGAGTTTGTGTGCGACCGGTCAGTCAAGCCCGAGACTGCTTCGCTATTCGAGCGCGTTGCTCTGCAGTGCCAGTACGAGAGGAAGTTCAGGAGGAGCCACGAACACGCGACCGAAGACGACCTCGCCGCTCTAGCATACTACGAAGAGCCCATCCCCGACGCGAGTCCCGTCACCAGCCCGACCCTATCCACTGCCCGTGCCCTTCCCATCGAACCACCGACCACCGAAGAGCTCTTCCCCAACACAACCAAGGAGAAGATGGCGAAGAAGGTCGCAGGCAAGGGCACTGTCCCAGAACAGGACGAGGCTACGGCCGCGCCACCGTCTGCCACTCAGCCCCAGGCTCTGGAGACCTTGGTCCAAGGGGAGGCAGAGCTCCACCTCTTCGACTTCCCATCCGGCACCTTCATGAAGCAAGACCCCAAAGTCAGTGTTACCGTTACCGAGATCGGGGACTGGAACTACTGGCTACACATTGCCGGTGAAGAGCGTGAGTGGCTGGGACAGCCCATCGTCGAAGACATCAATCCCGTCTTCAACTACGAATACAAATCCTTCATCTTCAATCACTACCTAGACGACGGTTCAGCGTACTCATGGCTGCTAAAGTTCGAGGATCAAGATGGCCTCGAGAACATTCAGCAAGGTGTGATGCAAGCTTTGTGGGAGCACCTGAACAAGATCAAATGGGGCAAGGCAAAGGATACGGATCGAGAGTACGTCTTGGAAGCCTTCCAAGACTTAACCATGGAGGATGCTCCAGATGAAGAGCCAGAAGAGGAAGAAGAGGAAGAAGAGGACGAGTATGAGAGCACGAACGAGCAGCGAAGCGAGCACTACGACTCTGACGAGTCAGAAGACGACGTCGAGACTGGCCCCACGGACGGAGACCAAAACTCGCAGCTGGCGGTTGGCTACAAGCACGACAGGTCGTTTGTTGTGCGTGGCAATAAAATTGGTGTCTTCAAGCACACTCCCGAGAACCAGCTTCAGTTCTCCACAACCATCTCGAACATCAAGACACCAGGCGGCAAGGCTTTCAACCCGAACAAGGTCATGCTGCATCAGCAGGATCGTGATATGATTCTCCAGAACCTTGATAACCCAAACAACCTCTATCGAATGGATCTCGAGACTGGTACCGTTGTAGATGAGTGGAAGGTGCACGACGACATTCCAGTCAAGGTTTTTGCACCAGAGAATGTACGTATAACTCATCTTGCACATCCGATCATAAACTAACTTGTCGCAGAAATTTGCCCAAATGAGCGGCGAGCAGACCTTCCTGGGTCTCTCCGATAACGCGCTCTACCGTGTCGATCCCCGTTTGGCTGGCAACAAGCTCGTCGATGATCAGCTCAAACAGTATGCTACAAAGAACGCATTCTCAGCCGCTGCGACGACCGAGAAGGGCCACATCGCTGTTGCATCCGAGAAGGGAGATATCCGTCTGTTTGACAGACTCGGTATCAACGCTAAGACTCTCATCCCCGCGCTCGGTGATCCTATCATCGGCATGGACGTCTCAGCAGACGGTCGCTGGGTTCTTGCCACTACTCGAACCTACCTTCTGCTCATCGATGCCCTCCAGAAGGGCGGCAAGAACGACGGCAAACTCGGTTTCGAGAAGTCCTTTGCCAAAGACGACAAACCCCAACCGCGTCGTCTCGCCCTTACACCTGCCCATGTCGCCCAATTCCAGCACGAGACCAAAGCACCTATCTCCTTCACCACTGCACGTTTCAACACTGGCCTCGACGAGAAGGAAACCACTATCATCTCTGCCACCGGTCCATTCATCGTCACTTGGAGCCTTAAGAAGGTTATTGCTAATCGTAAAGACCCATACAACATCAAGCGCTACGCCGAGGAGGTCAAGGCCGACAACTTCAAGTTCGGTTCAGACAAGAACCTCATCGTTGCGCTGCCAAATGAAGTAGACATGGTCGCTAAGAGGGCCTTGCAGCGACCGACGCGGGAGAGTATTGCGATGCCGAGTCGTGTTGGCGCTGCAAGGAGGAGTGGTGTACGAGGAAGCTATTTGGGCCGGAATGACATTGTGAACAGCCCGTACTAGACTGAAATGCTGTCACACGCGAGCCTTTTTTCTAAACATATGGGTACGGTTTGGTGTTGGTCATGGCCATCATCATGGTAGGCGGCGTCGGCGTTGTGCGATTTTCTTCTCCGAGCTACAGGCTGTGTGCCATCACGACGAAATGCGAGTAGCTAGTAACCATATGATTCCCCTTTTAGATCGATAGTGAGAATGGCCGTCTTCAATGAAACTTTCGATGCTGTTGTGTTGACATGATCGAAAGACATTGTTGCGTTGAACTTACGTGCTAATGATGTCGGGCATCCTGGTGTCTAAATATTGCATATGCGTTGTTTCTATCTTCAACGGCTTTTCTCTAGTGACAAGGGGTCTGTTCACAAATTCCTCTGGATATGTGGTGTAACAACCTTCATTTTCTTTTCTTCTGACAATGAAGATGGGAGTGGGATTTAGAGAGATGCCCTCAGTTTTAACAAACTTTCAACGGGCACGGCGGGATCTATGTCCCATCGCACTCTTTTCTACGTATCAGTTTCTTGTCATTGTTAGTTCGTTGTAGGTTCCGAAACAACACGTAAGAGGTTCTTGTCCAGATCCAAAGAGAGAAGTGAGCGCGAAGATGACCATGAGATAAATGCAGAATCCTCTTATGGTTTGTTTGCTTCTCATCTTGGACACAGAGTCGAGGCACATAGTTCGTAATTGCCGAATCCTTGTATAGTGATCTTTCCAAGCTGGTAGAACATGGGTTGATCGCTTGGTCGTCTTTGATCCTGTCCAAATCGTAAACTGAAGGAAGTAATGTAGAGTCTGAATCTCATATCTCCACTATGTTCGCTTATCGCTAGAGAATGACATGGTATCTTGCTGTCGGTGGTGAGTTGTTGGACTCGGAGACTAGCAGGAGTCGGGTTGTTCGCAAAGGCATGCCACGCGAGCGCCCCACTCGAAATCTCGAATATGACGTCATACTGCATCGTCTCAAGCTCGCGTTCCTCGTGAAACTTGGTCGCATGTGGCCGGGAGCAAGCCAGGGCCACGTCTTGTGGTGGAGAAACAGGAAATTAAAAGCCGTTGAAACCCCAGCCACCCGCATTGCGAGTGGAATCTACTAATTTTGCCGACTACATCCAGACGGTTATGTTCACCTTCCATTCGTCTTCGGTAACGCCTCGCTAGCTACTCGTTCTCCACGTTGCCTAGCATGTCTATAACTTCATTTGACAACAAACCCGGCACAGGCGGTTTCCTGAAATTCAACTCTGGACCATCGCGCATATACCTAACATGCGCATTGCCAGCACCAGAAAAAGCGCTTTTATCTTGGCGTGAAGAAGGCTACGACGCGCAATACCTTCCCTACGATCCTAATACACAACCTCAAGCGGCTTATATACGAACCCTTAAACAACTATCCGAAACCCTGAATTTAGGCGAACACTATGCGATAATAGCCTACGGCGACGCAGCCAGTGTCGTCTTGAAAACAGCCCAGAAACCATTGGCGAAATGCTGTGCGATCATAGCGTTTTATCCGAGCTTGTTGCCCAGCCCGAAGACCATGTATCCAAACTCGCATCAATTACAAGTCCATGTCGCAGGCTTAAGCCAGGCTAGTCCGAGACCTGATATGTGCGAATGGAAATTGTATCGGTACGAGAAGAGTGCCATAGGTTTCGCAGACCCATCGTCAAGAGCGTATTCAGAGGTAGAAGCCAACCTGGCGTGGACAAGAGCGCTAGCGTGCGTGCGAAAAGGGTTTGGCAAGAATGTGGACCTTGAACCGATTGCGCTGAGTCATTGGAATGCGAGATTTGAGGACGATGATCCGGACCGCGCGAGCATGAGTGTCGTAAAGAATACGACGCAAGACAGCCCACACGTGACAATATTGCCGACAATGCAGGGAGGTGTGGGACGGAAGAAGCTCGCGGAATTCTATGGAGAATTCTTTGTGCCTAGCCTAGTAGAAGACTTTTCCATACGATTGGTCTCCAGGACCATGGGTGTTAATCGTATAGTAGACGAGATGGTTGTGTCGTTTACACATTCGGACGAGATTGACTGGGTATTGCCAGGTGTACCACCAACGAACAAGCGAGTGGAAATACCCATGGTCAGTATCGTGGCGGTAAGAGGAGACAAGTTGGTCTCGGAGCACATGTACTGGGATCAAGCTTCTGTTCTTGTGCAGGTTGGCTTACTAGATCCTAAGATGGTGCCGAGGAAGTTGAAAAACGACGGATTGAAAGCGCTGCCTGTTATAGGAGCAGAAGCAGCAAAGCAACTTGTTGAACCGCAGCAGAGTCGATATAACAAGCTGTTGCAGATGCATGGTCTGATGGACGGTTTGAATGGCAACTAGTGATTGTCATATCTTGTTTCAGCGCAGTGTTCCGGAGTACAACTTAGTAGAATCGCTTCACGGAGCTAGTCTGCTTTGTGGTAGTCGTACGATCAAAACTCCAATCTTACTCTTTATCGATGTTCATTCGTACAAGGCAACGTCTTGAGTTTTCCTAATCCATCAACCGATAAAAGTGCATGTTGGAAGCTTGTACTCATTAAGTACCCAGTATTTCCTCCTCACGCCTTCCCATTCACCCTTCTCATCCAGATCAGGCACGGCGACCGTTTCCCACTCTGTGTCGAATCCGGCCTCGAAAAGATCAAATTCGACGATCTTGTTGTAAACATCGTAGACAATTTGGCGATCTGCTCCCATGCCGTTGAAGAATCCGAACTTGCCTCCTTCGCCGTCGGAACCACCAGCAGGATCAAGGAGTCCAATGACGTGCTCTGTGAAGAACTCGCGTAGTGCTTTATACTCTTCGGCGAATGTATCGAAGTAGATAGCGTCGAATAGTTCGCCTTTCTCGACGAGACCTGGTACAATGTCCTGCCAGCGGCCCTCATGAATGACAACACCTGGTTTCTCATGCCATCCCTGCTCTTTCATACGCTTGATAACATCCGGATGCGCCTCAATGATGTGATGAGTATTTGGCTTCTTGTCTTGGAGGATACCATCTATGATACCCATACCGTGACCTACGTTCATGACACGAAGCCCTTCTGTCGGTACCAGCAGTTCCGCGGATCTGCGCATGAGAGTTGTCTCCCACTCCATCATGACTCCGTTCGAAGAATCATCCAGTAATCGATCGCGGTCGAAAGTGAGCTTTGAAGAAAGATAGTTTGGGTTCTCGGTGGATTCATCGCCCTGCGCTTCTTCTTGGCGTATATCTACTACCTCGACATCTTCAGCTACCTCGTCGGCTTCATCTTCTTCTTCGTCATCTTCGTCTGAATCATCGTCTCCAAGAAGTTGGTATTGCTCCATGCGACTCAGCAGCATTTCTGCACGTACACCTGCGTCAACGCAGAGCTCATATAGCTCCTTCAGGCCCAGTCTATGCGCTATGCATCCCGGTGTTTCGCCATTTGAATCCAGGTCGTTCCATATCGCGCCGTTCTCGAAAAGAAATTTGATGGTCTTTACAGCGCTGCTCATCTCATCCTTGCCCTCTTCAGGTAGGTCTCCGTTCGTGCCTCCATTGGTATGCTTCGCATCATCTTCGTCAGGCTCACAAGCAGCGATCGCAGCGTGTAGAGGTGTGAAGCCGGTCTCGGAATCTTGAACGTTTGCGGAAGAGTTGCGAAGAAGATTGCGAAGAGAGGCGATATCGTGGTTTGCAGCGGCGAGCAAAATGCTCTGTGTCTGTAGGTCGGTCTGAGTATCGAATTCCTGATCGTCCATTGTTACTTTGTTGGACGTTTAAGTTGTTTTCCAGTAATGTGTTCGGAGGGGTAGTTGAGGGGTTAGGAAATTTATTGGAAAGCGAGTCATGCAGGGTCCAGCCGGTGGGTGCCTCTGTGTCAGTGGAACATTGTCCCACGTTACATTCTCTGAAGACTATAGTATCTATCAGGATTAGATTACATGATACAATCACATGCATACAAGTCGAAACCAGACTGCAAGTTCCTGATCCAAGTAAACCTACTTAGATCAGATTCCTCCTTTACAACTCATCAATGATACTCAAGTCCAGAAACTTCTCCAACTCCGTCCTTGGGGTGACCGTCCTGTTGTCTTGGTCTGCCAGATACTTGTCTTCGTCCACCAAAAAGTCTATCAATCGATCATCCCAACGTCCACCCCACTTATGATCATCCCAAACAGCCTCTACAACTTCCGCATCTGCACCAACGGCCTTGGCCACAAAGTCAAATACCTTATTCTCTTTCGGCCGATGCGTGAACACGTCCAACGTCTTCTCGAGCGCCCTCACAAATCCTACAATATCCTGACGCTTGGATGGGTCGCTCAGAGCCTCTGTAGTAGAGTATAGCGCATAAACTTCTCTGTATATTGATGCGTTTTGAAAGGTTATCGCGTTGTCTCCCAGAGCCATAGCGCCGAGCTCGACAGACGTTTCCCACATTCCGTACGCATCCAGGCTACCGTTATTGAGCAGGTTCGGAAGTTCGCTGTCTTTACACGGAGCCTTCATACAGAACATCGCGTCAACAGTCTCGTATCTCTCGTATTCGTAATCATGCACGCCAACACTACTCATCATTTTGTGGACGAACACTGTTGCGCTCGATACCGGGAACGCGCCAATCTTCTTGCCCTTCAGATCTTCAAGCTTAGCGATACCTTTTCGCTTGTCGGCAACAAGGCGGTACGGGACTTCGCATATGACATAGATCAGGCGGATGTTGCGATGATTGGCGTATTGTTTGAGGCCCTGTGTTTCTGCGTTGGCGCCGAGATCGAAAGTTATGTTTGAGGCGAGGTCAGCTACACCGCCAGACAACAGCGTCGGAGGTGTGCTTCTATTATAAAAGTTTTCGATGGCGTAGGATTGAGGTGTGTGCTCGATCCACAAGAGAGAGCTTGCAATCCGAAGACTGGCGACATGACGGCATTGAAAAAAGATGGCGGTCAGTATAAGTAATGAATACATCATGTTGGCGGTAGAAGATGAGCCATTCAACTTTGAGAAGTCAATGACACTCTTCCTATCTCTGTTCTATATGTATCCTTTCGCAAGTCAAGAGCTCTGTTAATCCCGGTCAACGCGGCAGTGTTGAAATTCTGCACATGAGTTCATGGCATTCGGATAGATAGTATCGAAGCAGGGATCAGTTCATGGGTGTAATTAGCCATACAGATTGTCGGAGGGTCTGATCACGCCATTTCTGTCGATTTGCATAAGCCAGAAACAAATCTTTATCAGATAGGGCGCAAGAGAAGCGGTTGACATACTAACGGCCAAGTATCACCTACTTACAGATTGCTGCGTGTCGATCTTGGGCAATCTGGGAGCGATTGGCCCGTTGATCGCACTATAGCGGATGCAACAAGAGAAGTGTGATAGGACGGAAAGCTGAGGATAGAAGAGCCAAGAAATGAAGAATGCGCACAAGTTTTTGAAGTCCATCGAAGTTGTTAACGAGATAAGATTCGAATGTGGCTTTCGTCATTCCCACCCACCGGAACGCCATGGTATATTCACCAACGTAATCAAGCGATGAGAAGCCTCCGAAAACACTAAAAGAGTGCCGAAGCACTTCCAAGCACTAGAAAAACAGCTCTAGTGAGACTGTATCCAACCCAACATCTGACCAAAAGCTTGTGCTTGTGACTGCTTGATCTTGGAGTCCTCGTAATCTCCATAGACGGCAAAGCCGTGAGGCACGTCAGAGAAGACTTGTATCTCATGCTCGATTTTATTGTTTTCCATGGCTCTTCGTCCAGGTGTCAATGCCTCGTCCTCAGAGAACATGGGATCATCCTTGACAGCGGCAATGTAGACGGGAGACTTGACGGCTTCAAGGTCCTCTTTGTATGTCATGGTTGGGTGCGCAACCGCACCGGCTCTAAGGACCGGCTCTTTCTTAACCGTGCCTTGCTCTACGTCTTTCTGGGCTTCTTGACCCCAGGCGACGGTGTCGGGCAGCTCTGAGGCCAGCATAAGGATGTACTTGGCGCCGAAGCAGTAGCCAACGCCGTACATGCCTCCACCGTTGGCAACAGCGTCGGCATACTCCTCCCTTGCACCCTCGACAACTTTGTGAAGTAGCGGAAGGACCTTCTCTGGGGTATGACGAGCAAGCCACATGTCGATCATGAATGATTTGATACCCTCAGCAGTCCTCAGCTTGACTGACTCTAGCCACGACGCTTCCTTTGGAATTTCTGTCATATCAACAGTATTCGGCGCCGGGTCGTTGTCGAATTGGTCAGGCATGACGACCAGGTAACCTTGGGATGCGTATTTGTCAGCCTGCAACTGGTTGTTGGTAGACTTGACGCCTGTGCCGCCGGTGAGCATAAGCAGGAGCTTCGAGGGTGAATGTGGATAGTCGGCCGGTTTCGCGATGTAGCAGTCAACGCCGCCTAGTTTCGTAAGGTCACCGGTGGGCTTCTCGCCAGAAGGGGTCGGGCGATCTGTTGTGCAGTGTTCCTGGCTAATTAGCATATGGTTGCGTGCAATTGCCCATAAGAGCAAAAGAGTTGACTTACACCCATGCTTGGCCCTTGTTGCGCCCTAGTGTCTCCAGGAAAGACGCTCTCCTCTGCTGGCTTAGGCTCTTGGGGTTGCTCTCGAGGCGTCTCCTGCGCATCGCTCTCGGGCGCACGCGTAGCAATGTCGTTGTCCGCCATGATGTTTGTAATTCAAGTGGTTGTGATTGTTGGCTGGGTTGAAAGCTGTCTTGAACGAGCTGCTGTGAAGGGTCCAAGCCTAATTACGTAGCCCCGCACAGCCACCCCAGCCTTGGGAGACGTGCATCAGGTTAGAGCGGGGCCAAAGAGTCACGTGGCGAGACGCGTCGACGCGCTTTCTGAACTTCGCTGAGCCGCCACCCACACACGCCATCTCTACACCACCCACACCCACTTACATCACAGTCACAATGGCAGAGGGAGCAATCACGCAAGGCGCTATTCAGTAGGCAACGACATACTCCACTACACGTCCCTTGCTAACATCACATAGGAGCATCTTCCAGCCCAGCGGCTGCTTCGTAGACCAGCCGATCCTGCAATGCGTACAGATCAAGACGATGGAGCCCAAGGCGGGCGAGGCGAACCCAGTGCAGCGCTTTCGCGTTGTTTTGAGCGACATCCGCAATTTCATCCAGACTATGATCGCAACCAGTATGTCAAGCGTAGGCACAGCAAGACCGTGGCTAACGACGTGCAGCTGCCAACGACATTGTCACATCTGGTCAGCTTAAGAAAGGGTCGATTGTACGTCTGCTCAAGTACAACCCCCAGCGTGTCAAGGACAAGAAGTATGTGCTCCTCCCCGTTATGCGACAACTCTTCTGACTATTGCTAGCATCCTGATCATCATGGAACTAGAGGTCCTGGCACAATATGGCGAACTCGAAAAAATTGGCCAGCCCGAAGCTCTTGACACCAAGGCTGCCGAAGCGCAGCCCGCGGCTATTTCAGGCAACAACTTCTACGGATCGAAAACGGCACCCGCTCCACAGCCCCAGCGGTCGCTTCCTACTCACCAGAGCAACCCTGGTACTTCATCACACCCCAACCTCTACCCCATCGAATCTCTATCGCCATACGCACACAAGTGGACTATCCGCGCGCGATGCACCGCCAAGAGCGACATGAAGGAATGGCACAACCAGAAGGGGGCTGGCAAGCTGTTCAGCGTAAACCTCCTGGACGATACCGGCGAGATCCGAGCGACTGCTTTCACCGAAGTTGCTGATAAGCTGTATCCCGTCTTCGAAGTAGGCACCGTATACTACATCTCAGCACCCTGTCGAGTCACACTTGCGAAGAAGCAATTTTCCAATCTGCCCAACGACTACGAACTGCAATTCGAACGCGAAACTGAAGTTGAGAAGGCAGAAGACCAGGAAAACAAGCCACAAATACGATTCAATTTCACCAAGATTGCTGACGTGGCCGACGTCGAAAAGGATGCAACGATCGATACTGTTGGTGTCTTGAAGGAGGTTGCGGAGGTTACTACCATAACATCCAAGAACACCAATAAGGACTACAGCAAGCGCGAGCTGACGCTAGCCGATGACAGTCAGACATCGATCAGGCTCACTATTTGGGGCAAAACTGCTGAAACCTTCGAAGCGCCATTGGAGTCGATCGTTGCTTTCAAGGGTGCTAAGGTCTCCGACTTTGGCGGACGAAGTCTAAGTCTGCTGAGCTCCGGTACTATGATGATTGACCCAGATATTGACGAGGCGCATAAGCTGCGAGGATGGTACAACGCTGCTGGACAGAATGCCACATTCTCTACGCATCAAAACATGGCTCCGGCTGCTGGTGGTTCCAAGAACGAAGCAAAGGCCATCTCAGCGATCCTAGAGGAGGAGGCATACCTACAAGACACACCTACATACATGAGTCTTCGGGCGTCTGTCTTGTATGTCAAAAACACTACAGTCGCCTATCCTGCGTGCTCGACGGAAGGCTGTAACAAAAAGGTCATTGAAGAGAACCCCGGTTCCTGGTGGTGTGAGAAGTGCCAGAAGGCCTTCCCTGAGCCTCAATATCGCTATGTGTTGAGTGTCAACGTTGGTGATCACACCGGCACGCTGTGGCTCAGCTGTTTTGATGAAGCTGGCCAAGACATCGTGGGCATGTCAGCGAATGAAGCCATGAAGATCAAGATGGATGATGACGAGAATGGCACGACAAACTTCATGAATGCCATGCAAGAGGCTACATGTAAGACGTTCAACTTCCGAGTGCGGGCTAAGATGGAGACGTACCAGGACCAGCCAAAGTAAGTGCAGTGTAAGATGTTGATTCAATACACACTAACATGTTGCAGGCCGCGATACCAGGTCCTGAACTTGTATAAGCTCAACTATGCCCAGGAGGCCAACAAGCTCGCTCAGCTCATCAAACAGTACGACCTGAACGAGGACAGCTTGTTCGTCAACTAAACAGTACGGTATACGGACGTTCGGACGGCCAATGTTCTGGTGCAATAATAATTAGAAATGCGTTATGCGGTCAGCAAGTTTCACTATATGCCAATGTGGCATATTAACATCTTTCATGTTTTCTGTTGGCACTCGTACGAACGACAGTTGTATCGTACGAGATACCTATATGTACGTGTTATTCCCGTGGCCTATATTGTCCGACACCACCCCACTATAGCTTAAGCTCCATGACTCGTGAAGCTGCCCCTCTACAAACGTCATTACCAATCATTCCGTAGCTGCTGGAACGGCCTCGGGATTGACTATGCATACAATTTCCATAGGGATTTCTGACCTTTCTGACACTCTGACAATCTTTCTGATCATATACAACGGATCACAATTGCGCACCACCCACATTACAGTACCTTAGAATTACATCTCTCGATCAATAAGTCCTATTACATCACCACGATGAGCGACACAATGCGCGCAGTAGGTATGTAAAGCATACTCATATTTCCACAAGTTGAAGTAGCTAAATGCATAAAGACATCAAGGATGGCAAAGGCCCAATCGAAAACCTCCACATCGCCGATATCCCCAAGCCAAAACTTGGAAAGTCGCAAGCGCTCGTTAAAATCAAGGCCTTTGGTCTAAATCGCATGGACTTGCTGCAGCGCGAAGGACAGTATCCAGTACCGCCTGGCGCTTCCAAGATTCTTGGCGTGGAGTTTTCGGGCACGATTGCAGAGCTGAGTGCAGAGGGTGGAGGCAAGGAAGGCTTCAAGGAGGGAGACGAGGTTTTCGGTCTGGCATATGGAGGAGCTTATGCCGAGTACATTGCAGTATCAACACACATGCTAGTCAGGAAGCCAAAGGAACTGACTTGGGAGCAATGCGCTGGTATTCCTGAAGTAAGTTATTCCCGTAGGATCCGGAATATGTTAGCTCGTCGTGGAATACCAGCTGCTAACAAAGACTTTGTAGACATGGATTACTGCGACTCAAGCCATGTATCTCGTCGGTCAATTTGCCGCCGGCAAGACCATCCTCTGGCACGCAGCCGCCTCCTCAGTCTCGATAGCCGGTATCCAATTGTCCCTCGCCGACAAGGCGTCCGCCGTCTACGCAACCGCACGTCAAGATGCCAAATGCGACTTTGCCGTCAAAGAACTCGGCGCAACTGCCGCCTTTAACACAACATCTCAGAACTGGGTCGAGGAGATAATGAAGGCTACCGACAACAAGGGCGTAGACATCATCGTTGATTTCATCGGCGCATCATACTTCCAAAACAACCTTGATGCTATTGCCAAGGACGGTATCATCGTCAATCTAGGCTTCATGGGTGGAACCAAGGTGCCAGAGGGTACGGATATTAGCGCATTCATCAGGAAGAGGTGCACCTTTGTCGGAAGCAGTCTGCGATCAAGAGATGAAGAGTACCAGGGCAAGCTCAGAGATCAGCTTGTGGAACATGCGTTGCCCAGGATGAAGGACGGACGGTTCAAACTCTTCATCGAGAAAGTCTTGCCGTGGGAGAAGGTGCAGGATGCGCACAGGTTGTTGGAAGAGAACAAGACGAAAGGCAAGGTTATTTGCACAATCGACTAAATGAGAGTCTGTAGTCGAGGGGCAGTATGGCAATAGTATCGATAAATATACGAAGTAATGCTGTTGTCGCCAAGGTTTCTGCATATCAAAAGGTCTTGAGATCAGCCATCAACGTATGCTAACTATGAGTAACCTATGTTTCTGTACAGCAATATATGCTTCACAGTTCTGTTCGTTGACAGATTAGTGTTAGCCTAGAGCTTCAATGTCTGTGAATGATGGCATAACACCCCAACGCAAAAAGGAAAGTCAAACCTCACAGCGTAGACAGCATGACAGGCCAGACCCAGATGGACATCACTAGAGCAAAAAAGACGACGTTGGCCAGATTCGAACTGACGCTCCCGAAGGAACAAGATTTCTAGTCTTGCGCGATAACCACTCCGCCACAACGCCCAAAGCGACACCTGTGTGATTCGAACACACGCTCCCGAAGGAACTGGCTAACTTCCCTCAATACAGAGGACTAGCAGGCCAGCGCGTTAACCACTCCGCCAAAGTGCCGGAGACTGATACTGTTTGATGGAAAAAGTTGATCACATTTGCCCTATATTCTCATCACAAAATCAACGACGTTGATTTCAGCTTCGCACATCCATGTTGAATCATGTGGATCACGGCTGGAATCGTTGATCCATGGCAATACGGGATGTGGGGCTTGTTTGTGGGGCTACAAATCCAAGTTCAACTCTACCCTATGCAAACGAAATAAAGAGGTATGAAAACAACATGCCTTAGCCTGTAGTCTACATCCGCTACTAATTCCAAAGTTTATCAAGCTTCAAAGTATCGAAAGCTTCTGGCTTCACTGTTTGCATACATATACCTCTATACATACGTCATTGTAGTAGAGTGGAGTAAGGTCTTCTTGAAGGAAGTGTAGGTATGGTTTTTCTAATAGTGCTTGGGTAAGGGGCGGTAGGTGTAGGGATGTTGAGCTATACTTGAACATGTTCGTGTCCAAGAGAACTGCACACTGCCACAAAACCCACGAGTTCTGGAAGTATTTCTGCTTCTCCGGAGAATTGGAAGGTCGGCAGAATCCTTTTGTGGCTCTCCAGCTTTGCGTTGCCAAAGATCACACGCTACCTTGGTATGTCTCTCACAGCATAACTTTCATATTGATGATCTGTGTTCAACGCCCTAGGTAGGCAAACAGACTGTTTACCTCACGTTAGATTACGTAACTGAAATATCGCGAATATCATTACGGTACATGAGGAGAACTGATATCAATGAAACCGCTGACAACCCAGCACGGAAGGCCTACTCGCAACAGCGGACTGTTATGGTGGGATTCGGCGTCAATGCTGTCAAGATCCATGACGCATGATTGTGCTTCAGTAACTCGGATCTTGTTGACATATACCAAGTTCCCATCACTTCATCAGGCTACAGGCCGTAAGATTGTCAGGCAGCCATGAACCTGAATACTGGCTTGACTGGTGCTGCAGACCTTGGGGATGACTTCATATTTGGAGCGAATAGTACATTATGTGTTGTGAGCAACTACAAGAAGAAGCTTATCGTTATCAGGACAGGTGGACAGAATATTGAGATCCTGGCGGGAGATACTGTATGCAAATATCGCTGGGGGTTAGCATGATCTGTCACTGGAAGTGTTCTGGAGCCGAGAAAAATTGTCGAAACTGCGGCCGGAGGGTATGTGTACTTGGAAAGACATGATTGGTCTTACAAGTAGCCACTTGAGTACGCCAGTGAGGCGGACGTGAGCTATGCTTGCTGTGCACGCAATTTCAACGTGATTACGACAAGAGTGATTGAGATTACGACATCAGTGCTTCGCGAAGAAGCAATATGCTAACGAAACCATGCGTTTCTGGGTTAGCGCAGCATAGGAGAATAATTCTTGTGAGGCAAAACCAGGTCAGCTTCCAAAACATCACAGTACGTACAGAACAAGACGGGCATAAAATCAACAGTCTTCTATTTGCCTCATATCGCTACACCAAGCCTCCTACATCTTCTCAAACATCCTTGTGACTAGAAGTTAAACAAAAAAGCAATATTGTGAAGCGATCGTTTTGCATCAGAGTGCGCGTCGTTCGTTCTATCCCGTGTATGTCCGCGAGAACAAAGCCTGTCCCAGGATATTTGCACCAGTCCCAAAATATACACAAACAGAAGGTCTAACCACGAAACGCCAGAACCGCCCGTCTCATGGAAGAGAGAAAGAGGGAAAAGGACGCTTAAGCGGCACCAGCGTAGACCTTGCCAACAGCTGAGAGGCCGTTGCCAGAGTTGAGCTGGTTCTCACCATCACCAACCATGAACCAGGAGTAACCCTGGACCTTGTCGGAGCCATCGAGGTAGGCCATGGCGTCCTTGAGGAAGCTGGCAGCCTGCTCCTCGGAAGCAGAGCCGGGGTTAAGACCAAACTCGGTGATCCAGACCTTCTTTCCGGAGAGCGAAGCGGCCTTCTCGACTTGAGCCTGGAAGCGGTCGATGGTCTTCTCGTCGTAGATGTCGTAGAAGTGGATGTTGGTGGCGTCGACGATAGCGTCAGGGCAGCAGTCGTTGAAGCGGCTGAGCCAGTCGAGACCCATTGGGGCCTAGCGATATAAAGTCAGTGTATGGCTCATATGCATTTTGTAGGATCAAAACTTACCTGGCCGTTGGTGACACTGGGACCGACGATGGTAACGTCAGGGTGGGCCGACTTGACAGGGTTCATGTACGTCTTCCAGGCGGCGCAGGCGGCCTCGGGCTCCATACCGCACTGCTCGGCGTGGTCGCACTCGTTGAAGCCCATGACAGCGGTGGAACCCTTCTCGACGGCCTTGTCAACGTTGGCGAGCCACTCTTCGGCGCTGGACTGGCTAGGGCTGTGCATCATGGGAACGAAGGTAGTTCCAATGTCGTTGCTCTCGGTTTGGCCCCAGTTGTAACCGAAACCGAACTTGCTGCCGAAGGTAGTGCAGAGGTTAGCATCGTTGTAGGCGAGACCGCGCTTGACACCGGAGTAGCTGTTGCCAGTGGCAGCAGTGGGAGAAGGAGCGGCGGAAGAGACAGCGGAGCTGGCCTCTGCGACGGGCTTCTGGATCAAAGATGCGGTGATCTCTGGAGTCTTGGATGAGACAGAGGCCTCGGGGGTCTCAGCAGGGTAACCAGCAGCAGCTGAGGACTTGGTCTCGGCTACGGGAGTCTCGACAACGGATGAAGAAGCCGCCTTGGTTGGGGTAGCGGCGGGGTACTCAGCAGCTGATGAAGGGACTCCGTATCCGTTGTCAGCCGAGGACTCAGCGGCAACGGGAGATGAGGTGGGGACACCAGCGCCACCGCCAGGAGTGACGGTAACGGTGACCTTCTCGGAGGCAGTGACGGTGACGGTTGCGCCACAGACACCGGTGGAGGCATCAGCGGCCTCGACTCCCTTGTTGTTGTCTCCTGCAAGGCCGGTAGGCTTGACGTAGATGGTTGAGTATTCAGTCGCAGTGGAGGTAGAGGTGGTGTCTAGGGTAGTAGTCTTGTCATCACCGTAGACGCCAGTGCCGGTAGCACCAGCAACAGCGGTGCTGTTGTAGGCACCACCCCATCCGCCGGTTGGGTAAGCAGCCCTGTGGTGGAACTTGTTGTGCTGGTAGTGGGGAACAGCCGCAACGGCAGACGCCAAGGCCAAGAGGCCGGTAAACTTGACAGAGGCAGACATATCGATGATTGTTGAAGATGGCAGGTTAGGGATTTGCGTTGCGCTTGCTTGTATTGTAGGGTATCGATGAGTAAAAGCAGATGCGGCTAACCTGAGCGCAAACAAGTATTCGTTGGCAGTCGAACAATGAACGTGGTAGTCAGAGCGACAAGAGAATGTACCGAGCAGAAATGCTCAAAGGAGTGGCAGGCAACGACCGTGTTTGGGTGTGAGTCTGAGGGATCAGGATGTGACAAAAAACACTGGGGTGCGGGAGATTTTCAACTTGATATATTGTTCGCGGGAAACTCGGGCGCTCGATCACTTCCCATGCGCCTGCCTAGACCTTCACAGGCTCAAACTTTTTCGCAAGCGGGTAAGCCAGGGGTTCAGGTGCAAATAGCCTCTTTCAGCCATTCACAGGTCAGAAGTAGCCTCAGCCGCTAAGGTTGTGGCCAGCCTTGATTAGCTACCGCATGGCGCCGGTGCGTTTCACATAGCCGCCACATTCAGGTACACCCGCTCACCCTCGCCCTTCAACAGGGGGCCCTCATGCCGTTTGCATGTGTCTCAGTGCCTGATCTGCTTTTTCACCTGCAGGTTACTCTATCGATAGATGTTCAATCCATTCCGTCAGATATGTTGCTCATGTGGATTTGGTGTTGATGTTCGCTGTGCGTTGGTCCCCACATATTGACAGGCCCACTGATCCTTCACATGTCTTGGTATTCGCGGAATCGAAAGGGGTGGGGCCGGCGCAAAGACCGCGCGGGTTGATCGAGTATTCTAGACACAGGCTCTCTCATTTCCGAAAGTATGATCGCCTTTGCGGGAGTTTGACCATTTTCAATGTGGTGACGACGACTACCCCATAACCATGCCCGTCTTTCTGTTTGTTGAGCGTTGCTGAGTTCGGGGCCCCGACTCAAGGGGGAGTCCAAGAATGGAACGTCGTCGGCAAGGCGTATGCGATGCTGACGAGGCTTTCTCGTATCGACGAGTCAACATTCGACGCGGTCCGATGCAAAAATACCAGCCCAGGTGGCACGGCAGGCCCTCCGCGCGGCGTCGTATTTAGCTGGTCCCTTGCTCATGCAGCTCAGCTCAGCCCAGCACATGTGTTACGCATTCTTGTGTTTGCACGTTTGCGATGCATCGACGGGGAGTACAACTCATGGTGCTCTTATTCCTGAATGCCCTTGAACAAAGAGTGGTATCGCAGCAGCGGTGTCCTTGCATACCACGCCTGCAAGCAACGTGGTGTCCACGCGCTGGGGCTCCGATAGGCTGGTCCTTGTACTGATTGCCGACATATCCCTATCGCTGTCGAGTTCCGAACGTCTTTCTTTCCTTTTGTGTGCCGACAGAGAGATGATCCCAGTGTGTCTGCGCTCTGATGCTTCCACCGACGTCATCAGGTTGCAACGTGGTTTTACATCGTGCGCGCGTCATCAACTTGGTGTATGCAGATATTGCGCTCGAGATCTGTCTCCCCGATTTTGTCAGAGGAACAACAGACACCCTTCTCCACGTCGAAGCACCTCATTCGTTGGTGGCACTAACATGCATCCAGTAAGAGTCGACTGCCCTGCGCTATCGATATAGCCTATCGATAGGACAGAAGGTTCCTGCATAAGCGCTGCTGAACCTGCGCACTCTAATGCATGCGCTCTGCGCCCGGTGTGTCAAACTTCATTTCCCAACAGCAGAGAATGACATATGCCCGCCTCTGCGATTGTTTGTCATTCTGGCACATTGGGCTGGGAATAAGAGCGAGGATGCGGTAGTCTAGGTCGTCGCGAGCACACGTAATGATCTCCACTTCCTCCAAGTTCTGGATTCTGGAATGTGAGCACGGTTCCAAAATCCGCAGGTCGCCTCACCTGGGCAGAACACAACACCTCGCACATGCTTTCACCGAGCATATTCCACACACAGTTCCTTGTATAATTCTGGTTTGTGCAATGAGAGGATAGTATGCTGCGTAGAGCTCAAGGCTATACAAAATGTGCGACCTGATACTCACGCTGGAGATGTCGGCGATCGATGAGCATGACGTATAGTGTCGATCACTCTAGGCATCTTTACTGGTACGGTAACTTAGCCTCTGCCAAAGTCTAGAGATCGATCGCATCGCTTTCCTCCGAAAGGCCCAACAGGTGGTTCTCCAAGGTAGGTGTTTCAAGACAAACAGCGGTTCGCCGAGCGACGCCATGTTTCGAAACACTGGGGGTAAGAGTATATGGCGCAACCCAATGAGTCGGTCCTCAACGGGCTTCTTGGGTCGATCGTCGCACCGAAACGCTGGCATAAAGACCCTGAAAGCTTGTTCACTACCGTATAGCTAAGTGGCGATCCTGCATGTAGTCCCATCGAATGAACATATTAATGAGACACAGTGGGGTATTCCCGCTGATACGACTACAAAAGGTTGCTGCAAGCAGTACGCGGAGTCGATGCGTTAATTATGGATACAATACATACAGGCCCTATACATTCATCGTACGCAATATTCTCCTTCTTTACGTATAACTCCATCTTCGCACACCATATCGCATCCCAGCTTCTCCGTGATGGCACAACCATCCGTACACCATATATATCGTCGAGTAGGCAAACACGTAACCTCTCCATCCCGATCGCATGCCAAGCACTCATTCACTATTCGTCCTACAGAAGGCTCTGCAGCAGCGAAGAAGCGGAACCAGTAGTTCACTCGCCTTTTACTCGCCTTGCTTTCTTCGGACGGTGTTGCGATCTTCACGCCTGCGAAAGATGACGTGTTCATATACCTAGTCTTCCAATTAAGAGCGGAGGGTTGAAAAGTACTGATATTGCTTACGCCGGTTGCTGCGTCGCGAGCCTTGATAGATGGTTCGGTGTTAAGTGATAGAACAGATTTGGCCTTACATCGCGGGTGGACTGACAATCTAGAGGTCGATGTGGAACTTGCAGTAGCAGTAGTTGTGCCATTACTTTCAGGAAGAGGGATCGACGCAGTTGTGTCTGTACCGGTGCTTGGAAGAGCACTAATAGGAGAGCTTCTCGGTATGATGTCGGTGTGTATAGGCCAATTGAATTCGGAAGAACCAGGCCTAGGGACGACAGGAGCTGGAGGCACAGGGTTGGAAACTGACAAGGTAGGTGATTCTGTTGCACTAAAAGACGTGACAAGCAACGACGAAACAGTCTTTAATCCTCCGGATGGCGTCATCCAAGGCAACTTTGGGACCCAGGGCAATAGAAGACTGGAATTGCCAGGTACAATATGGGGCATTGTGTGCGAGCACGTAGTGCCTGTATCCATCAGACTGGTAGTGCCTGTATCCATCAGACTGGTAGTGCCTGTATCCATCAGACTGGTAGTGCTAGTAGGCGCAGCAAACGTCCCTGTCATTGTTGTGCTACCCAGAGTTGAAAGGCTGTCAGAAGCCAAGGAAGTCGACAAGGGATCATAGGTGAAGGATGGTAGGAAGAGAGATGTGGTGCCAGACAGCGCTTCAGTTACGTAGCTTGTATATGTAACCGTAACAAAGACCGTCATGGTAAAGATACCGGTTGGAGATCGCTGGCCAATAACTATGGGGTCAGGAGCACCTTCGTCATTGGGTGTGGCTATAGTACTGTAAGCTAGTAGTGCGACCATGCAGAGATACACGTAATAACTGCACATGACAGCAATACTCATGTGGTTGCACGACACTAACAAGGTTTTGTATATGTCGTAGAAGATAGGAAGGTAACGAGCTGCAGAAGAGTCGCTTTATTGCAAACAGACATTCACACTTGTCAAGTCCATCCTTCGATTGTCCATTGATGTGCGGACACGTCTTGTATTACAGGACATTGACGTACAACAATCAGTAGTGGGGCGTGAACGATGCACAGTGGAAGTCTCTTCGTTCAATCATCATATGCGCTATAATTAACCTTCTCTCACGTCCTGATCTCAGCAGCCTTCCTGAGTCGGTTCATGACTGCTGCCGCAATGTCATCACCTGTTCTATCGTCAATACCCTCCACAAAGATGGTTTCTACGCCTTTTTTATCGAGCTCTCTCAGCGCCGAGAACAAGCCTCTTGCAACGTCTTCTGTTTTTGCGCCAAGATTGATTTCCCACACCTGAACAGCTTCGGGCTTGACGACATAATGATCTGCATGCGGTATTTGGTGTTGAGCGACGGATCGCAGGAGATTTGAAAGGCGCGACGACGAGTCATTGACATCTAAAGATACTGTGCCCAATGGACCACAGAGTACCGGACCACTCGCATCCGATGTCTTCACCTTCTCAGCGCTTGTACCCAGCACACGACCCCAGCTCTTGGTCCGAATAATACCAATGCGTCTCTTACTCTTCAGCTCGTCAGATGTGGGTTGACTTGCACCTGCCTCAAATAACAGCACCGACGCTTTCGGACTGTAGTGCCTGTACTTCATTCCAGGTGCGCGTGGTCTGCTCGAATCTTCCGCTTGCTTGTCTTTGTACCCAACGACTACGTTCTCCCACCCAGGACATTGTCGCAACTGCTCTACCGTGACACCACCCGGCCGCAGTATTGCAGGCGGACTTGACAGTCCGTCTATGACCGTACTCTCTACACCTACTTCGCATGGCCCACCATCAATTATCAGATTGAGTTTCCCGTTGAGGTCATCGTAGACATGTTCCGCAGCGGTCGGCGAAGGTCGCGTGGACGCATTTGCGGAGGGTGCAGCAAGTGGGCGACCACATAACCGCAAAAGGGACAAGGCGATGATAGAGCGTGGCATTCGTGCGCCAAAGGTAGTAAGACCTGCTGTGACTTCTGGTGCGAGGATCGAGTTTTCAGGAGCCGGCAATATGATGGTGAGCGGTCCAGGCCAGAAGCGCTCAATCACCGGCCTGTAAATTTCTGGTATAGGATCTTTTCCAGCATCTTTTCCGTCGCCTACAAAGTCAAGTTTACCCAGCAACAGCGCTCGTAACTGGGGCAGCGAATGTATATGAACGATCAACGGGTTGTCTGCCGGTCGTCCTTTGCTGGCAAATATTTCTTTTACAGCCGCGCTTCTTGTGGCATCCGCGCCGAGTCCATATACAGTCTCTGTGGGAAACGCGACGGGGGTATTCGTGCTCATAAGCTCATGGGCTGCCTGTTTCAGCGTTCCAGCATCAGCACTACCCTCTGCGTCGTCGTATTGTATTTCCCATTCATCGATCAAGTCTTCCGATTTCTGGAACGTGATCCTCCCCAGCTTCTGAGGGTCTACATGCTGAACGCTAGTCTCGGGCATATTTGCGAGGAAGCGGTCACGTATGTTCGAGACGGTTGGCGTATTTCGTCTGCCGAATCTGAAAGTTGTAGGCGTGAAGAAGAGAATCGGCGTTTTCAGCGTGGCAACCGGAAAGCGGCGGGCTTCTGATGCAGCGACTTGCACCAAGGAACGTGTAGGGGTGAGCTGGAGCGAGGGCTTCGTGAGGTTGACATTTGGTATGCGGGGATGGCGAGTGCGCATTAGAACCTTGGAATGATGACTGGTAAAAGAGGCCAAAATTTCTCGTTCCGAGCGTAGTGGGGCTCAGTTCCGATGGCAACCTAAAGAAAAGCGACGTCACCGAGATACCCGACAGCGCCCAAGACGCTCAAGTCACTTCACAACATGAGGAACTATTCAAGCCGCAGGACCGTGCACCCAAACTATCGCTCAATTTTCTGAGTATATTTAGTGCCTTGTGGGAGTAAAGAGCAAGACCCAAAGTAGAGCGCTTATGGATGGCGACGACTAACGATTTGCTGCGTGCAGTTAACGGATCCGGAGGAGAGAGGATATTCAGAAGATGCATACGAGGAGCTCGGACGCAGTCGATACGACGAACTATACAGCTCTTGAGCAGCATTAGCCCACCAATGTCTGCACAACTGTCATCAGCTACGACGACGAGCGCGATCAAAAGGGATGGTGTGGAAGGACAAGGTGTCGCGCCCCTAAACCTCAAAATCCCAGGTCCACACGGACCCAAACACCATTGGTTCTCTTCCCCCGCACTAGCTCGAGCTAGTACAGCGTGCATCTGGACCCTGGGACCCCATCCCAACTTCCTCAAAACTCCCCTTCCACTTCGCCTCACCCTTGCTATCGCCCTCCCACAGCTCGCGATAGTAAAAGCCACTTTTCAATATGCCCGCTCCATCCGATATCCTCAGCGACCCTGAGATTGCGCAGGCATACGAAGACGTGCGTTCAGACAAATCCGAGACCACGTGGCTTATCTTGAAGGTACATGGTATTCCAGAGCTGCGTTGATGAGGTATCGTCCGACCAGACATCAATGAAAGCATCGACTGGATCGCGAACGATGAGATCACTGACTACCATGTAGTATGCATCCGCAACTTCAGATAATCTCAAACTTGCCGGTACAGGAAGCGGCGACATCGCCGAGATGACTGAGAGCCTCGGTGACGACGAAGCTGCTTATGCCTATGTACGCATGAAGCTAGGGAATGATGAGTACAGTGAACGCGTCAAGTTTGCTTTTGTTGTTTGGCAAGGTCGGTCATGTTCCTCGTTCATATGTCGAGATGACTAAGACGTTCACAGGACCTCAAACGAAGGTGATGCGCAAGGCCAAGATGAGCTTCCAGAGTGGGCAGGTCAAGCAAGTCATCCGCACTTATGCTGTAGAGATTCAGACAGGCGACAAGAAGGATTTGGATGAAGAGGCAGTAACGCTGAAGCTTAGAAAAGCCATGGGCGCGAATTGTGAGTACACGTTTTGCTATTTATGCTGATTGAGGGTTACGGGATTATGGGTAGAAAACCAAAACATGAAGAGAAGGACGCATGCACTAATCGCTCGAACAGATGATCGCCAGAAAACGAACTACTAGCATGTCTCGTACTGTATGATAATTGGTCTATTAGACTATGATATTACTACTTCGTCAACGCCACCCATAAATTTGTAAATTGTGGTATGAGTTAAGAGACCATAGTAAAACTTCTCCCTCGATCCCTTGGCTCTCACATAACCCCAGTAGCTGCTCTCTAGGTTTCGACAAATGCCAGTACCCACAGCACAGTTTTGTCAAATCATATGTCAGCTTCTTCAACCGGGGTGTTGCGACCTTCCACTCCGGTTCCCGATCTTGGACCCAAAGAACGCCATTCTCTACCTTGTCTAGATCCACTTTCCCCCTGGTCGTCTCAAGCGTGTACGGTTCTAATCTTTCCAGCGGCCTACTCGGTCTTTCACCAGCAAGGTATTGTCGGAAAAAAGCCATGGCATAGACATCTTCGAATTTTCCTTCTAGATCTTCGTACTCCCAGAGATCATCCGTAATCGTCAACGTCTCTAGGGTCGAGGGAAGAAATTTCGCAAGACTAAGTGTACGGTCCAGAGCAGCAGCCTCGGTACCAAACAGCACTGGAAAAGATATGGTCAAGTTGGTGAGCACGGGGAAATCGTGTAAAGGACCTAGGCTGCCCTCCACTGCGTTTTCGGTTTCACGTGCAGGGACATATGCTAATTCGGAATTGTAGTGTTGGTAGCGCACAATTAGATCGGTAAGCGTAGAGTGAATGTGTCGCAGTGCCTCCTTTAATATCGACAACTGTAGAGGCGCGAAGTCTGGGTGTGTATAGCAGTCGTATTCAAAGACCCTGAGATTCGTAGCCTGCCTGAGCAGATGATGAATGGTGAGTGGGTCCATCGAAGAGCGAATAAGGCGCAGAGTAGTCAGTGTACGTGGAATAGGAGGTATTTCTAGTGGCCACTCAAATGAGAGATCAGCTCCCTCTTCCTTGCTGCTTACGTTGCCATAGTCATCTCTCTCCGAACACGCAATAATCTGGAGCGACTCAACCACTGGCAGGTAGAAGAAAAGCAGAAGAGCGCCTTGCGGTTCCAAAAAATTCTGTCCCCACGCTTCGGCCATATCCGATTCTTCCAACGTAACGCGTACAGTTTTCAAGTTAGCGAACCACGTTGGCCCGCCATCTCCTGTTCCAGACGCTGCAGCATTCTCCGCGATTCCATGCTTCATCATCGTAGGAAACCATTCATTGAATGGGAAGAACTCCCATGCTATGGTCAAAGATTCGAGACGAGCTTGGCAAATACCAACCAACAGCGCGACCAACATGTGCCTGGCGTAATCATCGTCTAACTCGGGCCACTGAACCGATGCGTCTTTAGAACCCGTGTAGATACTGAACATCTCGTCCATCCATTCTTCATCCTTCATATCGTAGTCAATTCTTGGGAAGCCATAGCCGAGGACGTCTTCAAAATTGTACTCTAGACAATTCTCCGCAATAAATTCCAGATTTTTGACCCAGTCGATGTATTGGGGCTTCTTTTTCAATGTGCGAACCAAAGCTTGTATCTTGGGTCCTTTTCGGCCGTCAACAGTCCCTCCGTCTTCGCTTGTGTTGTCCCAAAGCAGGGTGATGGCGTTGTAAGCTGCTGGTAGAGCGACAGTGTGGAGCGTCTTGCATGTTTGGGCCAGATTGACAGCATCTCGGGATTCAAGATCGAGGACTATGTACTCCAGCAATTCGGTAGGTAGATCGGTGATTGGTGACATGCTTGTGTCTTTGAAGAGATTGAGGGCGAGGTCCGGGTGTGGAGGAAGAAAGATGCAGACTCGGATATAAGGATTTAGGCAGGCGTCAGTGCGCGCTTTCTGGAACGGGTGGCCTTGTTGCCTCGCATACAACGCTATCGTGATTCGTGATCGTGAGATCGTGTATCTATATCCAATCTATCCACCGATACCACACCATGTCTAGAGCGATGACTTGTTCATGTGGGGAAACACATGGGCAAGCCCACCACCTCCTGGGTTCGTTTTGGACTCGCTTGGACCTATCCTAGATTCCGGGTCGACAGTTGGTTGGAGTTCAGTCGCAGAACGGTCTCCGACCTGCACCTCTTCGTGTTTCCTTGCCAGCTTGTTATCGACGTGGTTATCAAGCCATTCATGCTCTGCTTGATTCAACCTCAGGTTTTCCTCCACCTCCCGCGTAAGCTTCTCGACTTCATCCTCCAACAACTCATCGTGGCTCTTCTTGACTTCTTTCCTAGGCGCCACTGGATCTTCTTCAGATACCGGTGCCGTGGTAGCCCAAAGCGCTTCTAGTTCACCCAGCCACCCGCAGGCCTCTGCCAGCTTCCTCACGCCACTATCGCAATCTTCCAGTAGCAGCACGTCATCGGTTCGTTGGCCCATATCACCAACCCTCTCCGAATTTATAAGCAGACGCGGGGTTTGGTCTTCACAAAGTTGCGGCAGCGAAGCGAAGGGGTGTACGCTGAGCGACGTGCCCATGACTATGCACAGGTCGGCTTGTGCGGGGAGGCTACGGTTGTCGAAGAAGGCGGAGGGTAATTGTTCCCCAAAGAAGACGATTTCGGGTTTGACGAGGCCGTTACAGGACGAATCGACACAGCGAGGCACTGATTTGTCGCGGATGGCTTCGTTCATGCGCTCTTTGGGATACGACTTCTTGCATTCGATGCAACATTGCCTGGGCCTAGTCAGATTTGTCTAAACTCGATTCTCGCGAGTGCACTCACGATGCGAAACTGCCGTGCGCCTCGATAATCTTGTCGCCGGGGACTCCAGCCTCGCGCTCCAGACAATCAATGTTCTGTGTGAACAGCTTCAACAGCAGCCCCTTTTGATGCAGCAAGCTTATGAAGGAATGTGTTATCGTCGGCCTGAATCTTCCGGGGTATAGTTCTTGAGCGAGAGCGTAGAAGGGCTCTGGGGTCTTGCGGAAGAAATCGATGTCGAAGACGGCTTCGGGATATGGCAGGTTCAGGCGACTGAGGTTGGCGTATAGGCCGGTTTCTGGTGATCTGAAGTCTGGTATGCCGGCTGAAGTACTTATGCCCGCACCTGTCTGCCCTATGTTAGCACGCGGTCAACCGTCCCTTTGCGTTCCAGCTCACCATGACAACAATCTTTTGCGCGCGCCCATCCTTGATATATTGTGCCAAAGCCTCCAAAGTACGTGCTTCTAGAGTTTGGGGTGGTGCAGTAGGGTCTACTACCCGCGATTCATCTTGGCCCATTCTGCCTCTTTTGCCTTTGCCTTTGCGACCTTTTTCCGCGTTGCGCCACGGCTTGTTTTGCTGCGCCTGTTGGCGATGCGCTTTGTGTTTGCGCCCTATTTTGAAGGATGTGAAGTGGCGGACGTTTTTTATTTCGAAAACAAGAGCAAGGTGCGAGTGTGACCGACGTGGCAGTGATACGTGTGACGGGCGCGTATTGCATTTCGTGGGAGAAGTCAGTGCCCCACCAAAAGATATCTCTCGGGGGTCCGACGGAGCTGCTGCGTCATGCCAGGGGCCATCACCAACCCTTGCTCTCCAATACATCTCCATTGAAATTATTTAAAACACGGGCCCAGTTTATACAGGCACTCATTAGGACAGTTGCCCGTGACCTCATTCCCTGAACACGTCGCCCTAGCCTCGACTTCTTTTCCGCCAACCGCTTCTTTCACTTCCTTCACCCTGTCATCTCGCGCACTTCTCTTCACACTTTCCTTGATGGCCATGCAATCGAATTTCCCTTTGTCTGTTGTGCCCGTGAACTTGAGCACAACCTTCATATGCGCAACCTCTTTCCCCTCTCCATTCTTGACGCTTACTCGAACATACTCGGGTGCATTACACCACCTGGTCACGCGATCCCTTCCATCGGGAATACAGATCTTGCAGAAAGTGCACACTGTCGATCTCCGATCGAATCTGTAACAGTTCTTCTCGTCCTCACCACTAAGCTGAAACGTGTAGGCGATTTGGCTGATGAACGCATTCTGCAGCGACTTTCCGTTGTAGTCAACCCCTCCTTCGTGTTTCCCAGGGATGTAGTCACTCTCGACACTTACTTCGACAACCTGTATGCCTTTTTCCACTATGCCGACCTGATTGGAGTACTCGATGTTATCGAATTTTTCCTTTGAAGTCTTGCACGTGTTGGCACCTATTTTGTCATCATCGCAGCGGTTCTTGAGTAACTTGTTTATGTCGCTAGATATGTAACGGCCGTACCATCGGCCGACGTGTTGGCGTTGGTTGCTTATCTCGATGGAAAATGTATATGATGGCAAGCTTGGGAACGGCGAAGTTGAGGCTATTAGGATCGTGCTCGGAACCAGACTTGGGTTGGTTGCCGCATTTATGGAAGAGCTATTGGACCGGGCCGAAGGAATGGTGCTAAATATGGCCGCGGGAGACGAAAGAGACTCGAGTGATGTAGTGATATTTGATGTGGTCGTTATAATGGTGCTTGATACGGGTGGTGGACTGTAGGTTACCCAGCTCGGTGGCTTGCTCGCTTGGTAAGTCAGTTCGGAGTCCGTTTTAGTTTACCAACTGATACTGACAGATTTCTGGCCCGCCTCTATCCACAGCTGCGGCGCCGAGGATAGAGAGAAAGACTGCTACGCCAGCGTATTGAATCTTTGCAACAATCGAAGTTCGCATGACGGGCAACTCGACTTTGAGGCTTACCATATTTCCATGCTGGATGGTGAGAAGATATAGTAACGCGTCACTTCAATTTCTCTAGCTGTCAATCTTGTTATGTGAAGTCCATAGCAGGGATTGTATTTCGTGCTGCTTGGCCATTCCATTCTTATGGTGTAGTAATCAATATGCCTCAGCGTCGAGGACTTGATGCCACAGGGATCCTTTCAACGAGTGCCTGCATCTCTTCTTACTAGAGAATCGACTGTATCATCATCACAGGAGCTAGGAAGCGACCACGTTTTGAGATGTTCCCTTTGTCGCATATCGAAACATTTGTCGTCGTCTCAAACAACCTAGTGGTGGGAATGAACACGCTATGGAAACATATAACGTGCTATGGCTGTAGCGTAACCAAACATGTGCGCAGAATGGATATCAAAACCAGGTGGAATTTCAAGGGGCCTGCAGGTCGACAGGTGGAGGCACTCCCGAGGTTATCGTGTATTGAGTCATGGGCATTCACGCCCCGCCCCAAGCGTCACCGGACTACTTTTGCGGAGCTACGTAAGCCACTCTTAAGGGATTGCACTCCCTTGCAGCGGATCACAACGTCGCAATGTGATGTACGACAACTATCCTCCCAGTGTTGCAAGTTTTGCACCGTCGCCTGCGGGCACATTTCATAATGCAAGGGCAGTACTTATCTAGGTAGTTGACAACTTTCACACCTCACCGCCACCTGAACACTCGAAGAGCTATACCGGAAAAGGACTTCCTTTCTCCATTCAATTGAATGGACCGAAGCATTATGAGGCGTTCCAATAGGCCCAGATAACCGGGCCACGACACACCATGTGCTCACTTAGATGTTTCTACAAATAGGCAGGATTCTGTTAGTTCTGTCTCTTTCAATCTCGAGTTGCCCTATCTCAAGGGAACTTTAAGTACAGCTGTCAACCCCTAACCAACCACACATTCTCAACACAATACACAATTCCCAAGGTGCTTCGAATGTAAGAGTCGTCATGTCTCTCAAGGATAAAGTTATCGCCGTTACTGGAGCGGCGTCTGGGATAGGCCTTGAAACCACCCGTCTTTTTGCCAGCAAAGGAGCCAAGCTTGCACTCGCCGACGTACAAGAAAAGCCGTTGAGAGACCTTGAAAGCGAGCTTCGGACAGCTGGTGCACAAGTCATGATCCAGGTTGTCGACGTCAGCAAACGTGCCGACGTAGAAAGCTGGATCGCAAACACAGTCGAGAAGTTCGGAAAGCTGGATGGTGCAGCCAACCTTGCAGGTGTAACTGGTCGGCAAAGTGCTGTCGCCAACATTGAAGATGTAGAAGACGACGACTGGGAATTTATCATGGGAGTAAACGTTACGGGTCTGCGGAACTGTCTGCGCGCTCAGGTGCCGCACATGAAGGAAGGAAGCTCTATCGTCAACGCATCCAGTATACTGGGTCTCATTGGCGCGCCAAAACAGCTGGCATATTGCGCCTCCAAACATGCTGTTGTCGGAATGACAAGGAGCGCGGCAAAAGAGCTAGGACCAAAGAAGATCAGGGTGAACTGCTTCTGCCCGTGAGTAGACCTACGGAAACTCTTTTTGAGGTATTTATATACTAACTGCGCACAGAGGACCAGTCGACACCCCAATGCTGCGAAAAGCGTACGAAAATCTAGGCGGGCCTGTCGATTATTCATTCCTTCCACTTGGAAGAACTGCACACCAAACGGAGATTCCACCGCTTATCGAATTTCTGATATCGGGCGCTTCTTCATTCATGACTGGGACGGCTACACCAATTGATGGCGGGTGGTACTGCTAGGTCTTGCCATGTGCAGTTTCTCAACCCCATGCCAAGCCTAGCTCTCGTTGTCAGCTTTCGTAGTGTTTCTTATGTTGGACAGTTCAACCTAGTAAACTCTACAAATAATCCAGAAAGTACAGAAAGAAGAGGAATATAACACAGTAGTTAGTGTTTATATTTAACATTCTAGTTAGAACACAATCGAGTTTATCTCTATATCTGTGAACCCTGCTCTAAACCACGCAACACTATACCTTGCTAATGTTCAGTATCTCTAGGTACCCCAAAACCTGCATCAGATAAGCGTCGCAACCAAGGGATCAGGATCCTCTCGGCCATAACAAAATCAGGTGTCCTTTGGTAAAGTCAATCCAGGTGCGGAGCCACGTCCTAGTGCCTTCTGCCCGAGTATTAACATGCGCGTTTACTGCTGAATGAAAATCACCTCGAAAGTCTGTACCAAGAAGAGTAACTTCTCCTGGCCTATCTGAACGCAGTTCGTTATATCACTGCCAATTTGGTTTCCCAGCTACTCCACAATAAGGAAGCCAAGAAAAGGATGTCGTCCTTGGACATGACTACTGTTTACTCAGGTAGCTTCTGCTTTGCGAAAGTTATTCAATTCCTGTTCTAATTTATACAAGGGTGATGATGAACAGAGACAGCTGAATCTGCTGCAACCCTACAGTCTACAATAGTATTCTGTAAGGAGGTGCTAATGTAGACTCTTAGATAACTCCTGATGTACACAATATTCTTCTTTAGTTTTATCCTATTAGGCAGTCTAGCAATGCGACAGTAGGAGAAAAAGTTTAACCCGTTGTTCTATCTACTCTTATCGTACAAAATGACTCCTTTGTCACGGAAGCGTCATCTTCTCTAGTTCTAGCAACGGCTTATTTTTTGAGCATCAAGCCCTTGGTTCCTTGCCTCCAATCTCTGAACTCTCCCTCGCGAACTTCTCCTTGCCCTCACCCGGCAGCACAGTCTTCCCCTGGACCTCCTGCTCTGCCGCCCACTTCTTTAGTGTATTAAGATCCACACTCTTCAAGGCTCCTTCATGCGTCGATTCTAGCTTTACTCTCGGTACCTCTCCAATATTTTTATCCGCAGCGCTCTTCCATGTTGAAGCTTCTAGGCACAGTCGTTGACCTGGACCCACGCCAGCTTTTCGCAAATCCGTGCCATTCGAGGACGAGAAGTCCAGGAATCCGTTTGTGAGGATAGCGGCGATGGGATTTTTACTGGTACACATTCCAGCGCTGAATGAGGAGGGAAGATTCGAAGGAGCCTTGGCTTCGGCAGAGTGTTTGTGGAGGGGAGCATTAAGGACTGAGTGTTGTTAGCTGGCAATTGAGAATCGATATGGTAGAATGAGGTTGCGAACCGTTCTTTTGGGTAACGTCCATCTTTCCTTGCTCGTTCTTTCCCGACATGTTGTTATCTTGCTATGGATATTTGCAATTTTTCTACGGTTTAGTCTGCGGTTGTGAGGTGCTGAGGAGATGATATCGGCGCGGGTTGTAGAGATTCGTCAATGCTATAATTGATATGTAGTGATGTATGCAGGGTTGATGTGGCAGAAGCCCTCGTCAGATGAACCTTTTTGTTCCTGAATTTCTACGCTTTACTCGCTTTGCTCAAAGCACGGCTCAGTAATGATGCCTCCATTACCTCGTTCTGATCAATGTCTTGACGTCAGCGATATTGAAAGCGTCAGAGTGTAATTCGACGTCGTCTCGTTGTTCCGTCTAATGTGTAGCCCCTATAACAAGACAGACGTCCTTTCATGATCGCGCTCGTCTACGACAATGTAGTCGCATACTCCAGGTTTGCGATATCGTCCTCGACACGCTTTCCCACACACCCCCATGATCACCCGCTAGTCCCAATCCTTACAAGCATCCTTCCCCGGCTCCAGCGCGTATGCACCCCGTACACACACTTCGCACTGCATCTCAAACTACAGCACCACATCCAACGGTACTACAACTGCAGAAAAACTACCCACCATCTCTTTGCCTCACCGCTTCCCCAACCTCTGTTTCTCTCCCCTCCACGGCACTGGGGCCGCGCAAGACAGATCCTTGGCAAGTGTTACAAGTCGGTATCTGCAAACGCCGACATACCGACAACAGCCTGCGCTCGCTCAAACAGCGATTCAGTCACTGAACCATGGTCATAGGCCAAAGGCAGTGTTAGTCCACACACGTGTTCAAGTGCCTTAGGCTCACCGTCATTCGTCTGTGAACACGGTGACGCAGAACAAAGTTGATTCAAGGCCACATACTTCCGTCTCTTGTTGGACCGAGATCAAGCCGAGATCGATTCCACGCCGTCAACTTGCCTCACGAGCTTTGAATACTAGTGACTTATTAGGTGATTTTGCCATCAGTGGAGACGACGGTCTACTCGAGTCATAGGGGGCAAATGACGTCGATCTCGTCATTTCCTCTCCATGACCAATTTCCGTCACGAAGAGCGTTGGGCGAACAGTTTGGTGAACAGGGTCAACAACGGTGAGAGGAGTGCAGGGCACATGCCTGTCCGAGCAGCCCAAACAGCTCAAGGGAAGAACGCATAGCCAATGCAGCTGCACCTCGATCTGAGATCCAGCGCATGACCGTTACCTTCGGAGAAAGGACCGGCGAAAACAAAACATATACCAGCGGTCGGCCGCGAAGAACGCGGCGTTAACGCATGTCCAGCGTGTTACATGAGGAACGCAAATCATCGCAAGCGCATCAGATGCAGGTATGACAATCACGGAGTATGGAGATCCAAAACAAACTCTACTAGATCCCGCGTGCTTCCAGGACTAATTTGACCTGCATCGTAGGAGGCTCAGAGTAGCGCAGGTTGACGTATACGACAGATGCAGGTCAATCTAGACTGCAGGTCATGAAGATCCGGGGAAATGCGCGGCGTGAATGATGAGTTTTGCAAAGAGGTGTGTCACCATGTGCACCCAAGTAAACTATAGTCTGGAGGTAGTCAGTAGTGTTCAAAGTGTCGTGGTTTGACTCAAGACACCACAAACACCTTCCGTCTCTACAATCAACTACATTGCTGAACAATATAAATCAGAGAAAGACGAGCTTTTTCGCATTAGTCGCAAGGCTTCAATTATAGAGGCAATATCAACCATAGGGACATGAAATGTGAATAGCTGGACTAATCGTCTTTAGTGAATTATTTGCTATGAATGCAATGTGCCTCGCTAGGCCGACACTGTCCGTGCAGCTTCACCTTGTGCATCCAAAACAATGCATTAACCGCTCCTAATTTCTCTGCAACTTCCTGGAATGATGCGCCGACAAGCTGTTGTTCTCGAATAATGAGCAACGGCGCATTGGAAGCATGGTTCGTTCTATAGCTATGATAGATGTCTAGCCTTGTAACCTTTGCCGAATCTCAGCGACCACGTTCCGAATGCGCGGTTCTTTGACCTTCTGTTCGGCTCGGGTAATCGCATCGCCTATCTGTAGAATGTCCCTACCAGCCTCACAGAAGTCGGGGCCTAGGCAAAGCAAAGTGCCTGTAGCCACAAGCGCGCGATACACGGCCTCGGAGTCGGTAGCCGTAGTGAGAACCTTGGACAAATCGTCGAGCAATGAAAGCGCACGGTCCGCATTGTTCTCAGAGTTGAGCAGTACTGAGTAGTTGATGTACAGTGTTGTGAGTGCAATGATCAAGTTTCGGTTTGTAGATGTCAGGAAAGGCGATACTAGTGGATGAATGTTATCAAACTCTGTGCTGGCAAGTAGTCGTCCCTTCTCGGTTTGAAGGAGATTGCTGAGACATCGTATGGCCATCATTGTGTTGTTGGGCGGGGAAGATTCCGTGAAGACCCCTGATTCAAGAAGGTTTGGCAACAGGTTCTGCTCAGGCGACACTAGGAAGGTTGCTGGTTCCTCGAAAGCGAGGACTAGTCGTAATAAGTCCAGTGCAGGTAGACGCTTCTCTGGCGGCCATTGTGTTGCCGCTTTGACAAGGAGTTCTACACCTGTTATGTCGATGCCCTTGCCATTTCCTTTCTCCAATGCTGTGACAGTCGCATTCAGTTGCTCAACATCTGGCGGATTCAGCGAGATGCCTTTCTGTCCATCGTTCACCAATGCCTCATTAAATTCTGTAAGCTTCTTGAAAATGACCTTGTGGTTTCCAGTTGTGATAGGAAGGTAATCCTTTTGCGGAAGTATCTTAGTGGCTGGTGGCGCTGGTGGAGGCTGGGTCGTGACTTGATTGGCGTCGCCGGGCCGGTACCGTGCCTCCGAACCCCACGGATCCGTGCCTTGAGCACTGCTTTGCCCTAGCGTTGCACCTTGTGTGTTTTGGATGATGAAGTTGGCGACTTGGTCGAGGTATGTGAGCGGAAGCTCATTGTCTTCGATAAACTTGCGCGCAGCTTCGTAGTGGTTCTGGTTGAGGTTGTAAGGTAGCTTCAGTGGAGGTTTGCCGTCTTCGATGTCAACGTCGAAAACGTAGTCGTATTCTTTGCCGGCATGCGAGATCTTGCGTCCACCGCTCCCCGCTGAATCGACGACTGTTCCGACATTCACCCACTGATTTGCAGCTGCGGACCATTGGTATGCAGAAACATTGCCGTTCATCTCCTTGATCATCTGGACCTGCCCCTCCTTGGTGCCCGATCGCTGTGTGAGGAACTCCGGGCCGGGCAGTTGCTCTTTGTTGATGTCTCCCACGGTCTGCTGTGGTATCGAGGAGCCCTTGACATCGTCGTTGAATTGTTGAATCTCAGCCTCAGCAGCATAACGAGACTGGTCACGAGTGAAGACACGCGCAAGCTTATCGCTCGCACCAGTGACAATGTCGCCGTTCTCCTTGCATACAGCCACGGTCCACACTGAGATGGCTGGGTGGGTGATGGTCTGTATGCACTGGTTGTTTTCCCATATCCGTACTGTCCGATCTTCGCCAGCGCTGACCAGGCCGCCGTTGGGGAGGACAGCTAGAGAGTAGATGAAGTTCTCGTGGCCGTGCAGCTCCGCCACCTGTTGTCCGTTGAGCGTCCATAAGCGAATGACGGCGTCGTTCCCTGCGGATGCGAACTGGGCACCCGAGGGATGATCCGGAGGTAATCGGCAGAGGGCGCGGACAACTTCAGGTGCCTGGATCGAGCGTACCGGAGATGCGGAGCCCGAAGGCTGGAATATGCGGATCTGCTTGTCTGCACAGCCGGTGATGATGGTATCGCTGTCGTAAGCAAGGACAGCCCACACCGATGCAGAGTGACCCTGCAGCACTGTAGATTCGCCCCACTTGCCCACTTGCCATAGCCGCGCCTCCATGTCCCAGCTGCCGCTGACAATGTATTTTCCATCCTCGCTGACGTCGAGCGCGCATACGTTGTTGCCATGTCCGATCAGAAGAGCGTCTGCATCGTCATCGAGGTTCTTGGTCGGCCGCCGCACGTCGATGATCTGGTCTTTGCCGCCCGACACGATCAGGCCCTCGGGAAACGACGACGTGGGCGGTACGATGGCGAGCGAGTTGACGAATTCCCTGCCGTGTGTCTTGATGGTGCTATCCCATATCGGCGGGCTAGGCGACTGCAGTGCCCAGGTCCGTACGGTAAAGTCTCGCGACGCAGAGACGATGGAGGAAGGCGAGGGGAATGCGACGCTTCGGACCTGCACGCTGTGTTAGTCGTGCTTCTGCGTAATGCAGGAACCTGATTTGCTTAGTAGCGGATGCAACACGTACATCATCCTCGTGACCGCGAAGGGTAGCTGATAACTTGAAGTCGGCCATGGTGGAAACAACGCGGGGTTGCTGCTTGGTGGGAGAGGTCTTAGCAGCGGAGCAGAGAGAAGGAAACGAGCACTAGATAGAGGCGAGAGTTGCACGCATCAAGGCTCCACAATGAGCGAGATCAACGGATTCGTGGCTGCTTGGACGTGGCCGAGTGATTGCAGTGAGTTGCTCGTCACAGGCACAACTCCGTGGTTGACGACGTCAGCCTTTCGCGAGACAGCTGTAGCCGAAGCACCCATGTCACTTTCTCATTATGTCAGCCGACTTGATTCCTAAACCCAGCACCAGACGTGAAATATCACCAGGGCTCTTTTTCTCTTGTAGATACAGGCCCATCTTGGTACCTCACGTCTGGTTGCTTGGCTTTCAGGTACTCGTACGAGTGGCTTGCGGCTGAGCATCTGCTTTACCAATAGCGCGAACCCTACCGTTGCCTCAGCTCTCGCTTGTCTGGCAAGATGCATCTAGGCTAACGTCCATTTCACGATAATCTCAGATTTCCTTACCATCGGCCTGGTACTTGGATGCGGGAAGTCCTCGTTTTCGTATTCTGCCACGTGAGGCGCTGAGCCACAGCATCCGGGGTTCGCGAAGCGTCCTGCTCGATAGTTGGCTCCAGGCCACCACTGCTCCCACCATGCGCTTACAGATGCGCTCGAGAAGCCATTGTCCCCAATCCTTGGTTAGAAACTGTCAAGTCTTTGGGGTCGCCGCAGATGCGCATTAACCGCCATGCTGCATGTGATACTGCGCCGTTGGAAGATGCACCTTCGGAGACTTGTCAGCTTCTGAAACCGGGGTAGATAAGTCTACCCGAGCATAACCTCGTCACGGCATGTTGAGACGAGAACATGTAGCGACGTTGGTATTTTCCTAGGAGAAGCACAACATTCGGCTGTGATGCCGTAGCTTGGTAGCGCAGCAGTTCTCCCTGCTCTGGTACGCGTCCCAAAGCAGCGCGGATCGTCGGTGGTGGGCCCAGAACACCACCCACCAAATATCCTGCCAAACGTCAAAGTCTTGGTGGCTCCGTTGTCGTGCAACACCGGCTGGAGGTTTCCATCTCATCATGGGCCCCGCACAGCCCACAACGGAATCCTCCGCCCCGCCTATGTGGCTCGACTCCATAACGGAGGGCGGCCAACGCGTTTCGCCGACCGTCTGGAGTCAGTCAGTACCAGCGGTAGCTTTTCATGCGCAGGGCAAATGATTTCGCATCCCCTTCCGAATTTCCTGGTCATTTGACTCTAGCTGCTCTGCTCGGCCGCTACTCGACGTCCCTTGCGCCTCGCCTCCACCCAAAGGGTCGTGTTCGGCATCGCGCTGCAGCCACTAGAGCGATAGCCTTTCGCGTGACATTGCCTACCCTGCTTTCCCACGATGCGCTTACAATGGACCGCCCAGTTTGTTCTAGCCCAGCCCAGCGCCAAGCCACTCAAGTCCTCTGGACGAAGCGTTGCGTGTCAGCTCAAATTTTGGGCCGTCCTGGAGCGAAGGGACACCCTGTGACTTGTCTGGAAGCGGTCTATGCAACCGCCCATGTCACTGAGATGAGTGCGCCATCCAGAACTGACGCCAGCGTGCCATGGCTGGAGGGACGGCTGCATGCCTACAAGAGCGCGAACACTCCTCCCAGATCCGTCCTGTCTTCTGCTCCCACCTTGATCTGCAATACCTAAACAACGCTCTATACAAGCTCTTGGCAACCAGTAATCTCGGCATACATTCAGTCCGGCTGCATCGACTACAGCATAGTTTGCCTGCACCTGGCGATCTCGGTATCCTTGCCTCAGCCTTACCAATTGCTCGGAACTCGCGCGGCGCCTCCGTGATCAGCGGCCGACCCCTACGTACCCCTACGCGTTCGTGCGTAAGGTCAAAATCGTCACACCTGTGACCGTTGGCCTTTTATTTTTCACAACAGGGTCTTACGAGCATTTGCTTCAAGAAGGCTTCCCCCGCCAGCTCAAACTACACAAGTAACACCAAGAACCAAATTCACACCTACCTCCACTACCCCTCACACATTATACAACACTACCACAATGGATGCACCAATAATCGAACTCAAGTCGGCCCTGGCCTCGTAAGTCACACCCTTTTGCCCTTTCAATCCCCAGCTAAGTCTATTAGACTGTTTCAATGCGGACAATACTCAGATCTGACCATTGTGTGTGGTGCGAAAAGATATCCAGTTCACCGTATACTCCTTGCAACCAGATCTACCTTCTTTGAGGGAGCCTGCCGTAATGGCTTCAGGGAGGCAGAAACTGGAGTCATCGACCTCACCGAAGATGACGCAGAGGCTGTTGACCACATGGTACACTGTACGTATTAGTGTGAGAGGGCGGGGTTTTCAAGTGTGCTAATTGCTTCTAGACTTCTATCACATGGACTACCTTACCAAGAAGTCACTTTCGCGCCGTTCCTCACAACGGTCCAACCGGCCTACTTCTCTACGATCCTCCATCACCAAGAAAAGAAGCCCACCCAAGCAGCTTAATCTCGCTCAAGTAGAGGATCCGCTACTCGCGCTTGTGGCCGCAGCCAACAACTCGATGCCATTGACTCCTCCCGCAGACGAGCCCATATTCCAGAATCTCGATGCCTCCACCAAGATGCCCGACACGCCGATGGCCGATCAGTTCTTCGAGGATGACGATTCAGAAAGCGAGCAATCAGAGGCCGAGTTTGACATTGAGACTACGCATCTTGTTACACATGCCAAGGTCTACGCCATTGCTGAGAAGTACGTACCACCTTTCGTCATTTTTTACTTTTCTACATTTTGCCTGAATGCGCGCCTTGGGTTGCGGGGGTGTTTTCATCTGCGCCTGCAGCATTCCTTCCCATGGCTGGGGTGTGCAGCGCATGGCACGGCGGTTTGAAACACCGACAAACCCCGCGATGTGCGTCACAAGCACTCCGCTTGCCAATCACGCTTCGAGATGCACCCTCCGCCCTACCTTTGCACACACAGCCCTCTCTTCTGTTTTGCTTGTGTACGATTCCCAGATCGGCCAATGGCCTTTTGTGGTTATCAAGCCTCCATGGCTGCATTTTCGAAATTGTCCGCGTCAGCGTACAACACTCTCCAATCACGCGCCTATCATGCATCATGCACTTCGGGACTAGTTTGCTAACGGTTTATGGTAGGTACGGCATCGCAGGCTTGAAAGCGCTTGCGCGTAGTAAATTTGCGGACGACGTCGAGTTGCACCTCAGCAGTGCCGAGTTTCCAGAGGCTTGCCAAGAGGCGTACGAGTCTACCTTCCACACTGATCGTGGTCTGCGAGACGTTATCATCCAAACCTTCCGTGCCAACCCCAGTCTCTCGCTACGTCCCGACGTTGAGATGGCGGTGCGAGAAACGCCCGGACTTGCTTTTGAGCTCTTCCGCATGGCGAGCGGTCTCCCTGTCTCATCCTGAAAAGTGGCCATTACTCTATCTGCCGTCTCTAGCCTCTTATCACTGCTCTACAGCCCACCCCAGCACTTGCATCGCCGCTGCTGCATGCATACGCCCAGAATTCACGCTGAGTTTCGTCAGCTCTTTGTGAAGAATCCTACGCGCGTCCAGCAAAGGGACTATTCCGCAAGAGTTCCGCACACAAACGCCTGTCTTGGCTAAGACAACGTGTTTCACGACATCTGCAGTCAACCGTCGACGTGATGCGGGGTCAGCATGTCTTACCTACCACGTCGAGCCGCGCAGCCGCGTAGTCCATAGTTACACCCGGCGCGCTCCAGCCAATGGGGGACTTCTACCGGTTCTTCATCAGCCCTGCCTGTTGAGGGTTCTTTTACTCTTTCTTGTTTACTATGTAGTACTTCTAGCGATACCAACTAGCGAATCGATGTTCAATTTTCTGTTAAGTCTGGGTTATATCAATTCATCCATTTCGATCCATCTCTTGCCTCAAAGCTTTGCCATGAATTTTTCACATCGTTCTCCAATGACATCGCATACGACTGTACCGAAGGTGGAGCTGCATGTCGCGACGTCATCTCATCGTGTCACCCTTGCTGCATACATGGGGTTTGTAACGATCCACAGCATGGCGCCCGCATGTAAGCCCGAGATCGCACATGACTCCGTCCTTCCCTATCGGCCATCGGTCATACAGATCAGGAATTCAACGCCTCCTTCTGGCGCCCAAGGCTTCCATATCAAGGGATCTGCGACCGTTTCGGACCGTTCCTTGAATTTTGCTTATGGCAGAGGGGGATCTACATGGATTATTGGTATGTGGCTTTGAAATCAAGATGACGATCATGCACCATGTTAGATACAAGATTCGGAACTGCTATAGTGCTCAAATGAATGTTTCGTCCGGTATTTTGTGGCTGGTACTTATAAACTGAGGAGCGTACGTTGACGGCCGAGGGTGCTTTCTTTGCTTTCTTTCGATCTTTGTTGTTTGAGGGTTGGCTTCATGTCTGGCTGTAATGCACGCATGAATTGCCTAACATCTATCACTCCGTACCTCTCGCGAGAAAGTATCGCGGTAGATCGAATCTTAAATTAAATACAACTTGCAGAGATAGTTATGATGAACACTGTACATCAGTGTACCCGAGGCAAAGCCAGTGATAGATATATACAAATGTATCTATACAGTAATCGACTACTGTGCCACGATCGAAAATTACTTGCCAAAGCCGCTCTCATTGTTGAAGACCATCGACAGCATTGCTGGAATAGCTTTGAACGTGGCTGTGTTGCTGGGCGACGAAACTAGTACACTATGCGCCAAGCAGTCGTCTTTCTAAATGTGTGAGCAGCATGGCGGCATTGATTTGGAACGATAGCCGGTATATGCGAACAGGTGGAAGAAATCCGTGCTAAACATCGGGAATCGTATTCGAGTTGAGCGTGGTGATGGTTGAGAATGGGCAACCAGCCGACTGTTGTTGTACTTCAGCACTATCGTTACCCTGTACTGCTTGGCGGGACGCCCCTATGTAGCGGGATCTGCAGTGGGACACCGTTGAACGCTCGATGTTTGTGTGACCCAGGAAAAAGAATGTGACAGTGTATAAGCTGGCGATGAGGTTTGGTTACGCAGAATGGATCCGGAGCACCCTTTGTATCTTATGATGCTTAGTACTCATCATTTATTCCCAGTTGTTCCACAGCCTTGTCGAGAACAGAGCATGGGTCTTTGATTTGAGCAACGTCTGACGTTCTTGTAGCCTCCTTGCGGACTTTTCGAATTCCAACACCGGCAAACTCCTCGGGTGCGATGCAATCTCACGCGTCGTCAACCAACCATCGCTAGAGCTGACCCTGTCTCCTTCGTACCGAACTTCCGCCATTGAATTTTGCCCACTCGAACATCGCCAGCCATGCCGCAACCGTTCAATTAGTCGTCAACCGGAGCGGTTCGTCGAGAGGTAACTCCGATACTAGTGGATTTGTGCACAGACGATGCCACCGTCGTCACTCCACTCCGTTGAAGAAGCTACTCGACAAGCTACTCATGAATGTCGACACCCAACTCTTGGAATTCGATCTTAGCAGTTTAACCTCGAGGAAAAGACCACTCGGCTTTACCGATCTCTTACGCAGTCGGAGCAATTCCATGATGGATGGCCCAGCCAGCACTCACCCTCTTCAGCCGTACAGACCTAGCGCGGAAAGTGACTTAACTCACGCTGCAACCCATCAACCACCTCTCTGAGGTTCCCTTCCCCACACCTTCCGCAGCAGAATACCCAGCACTCCAGATGTTCTTTTGGCATGCACATGTGTACATGGACGAGACACAATGTACCTTTCGCAGGTGACGAGCATGGTTGACTTGGACCGAACGAAGTACTTTCATATCTACGTATCCAGGTTAAAAGAGTTTCGGGCCAAAGACCGGTCTCAGGGAAGGAGATTTTCGAAATTCTATCCAGTAGGGTTTAGAGTTTGCGCATCTTAAGCCCGTCCGTTGAAGTTATAGAGGATTCCGAATACATGTCTTTGGAGGGTGCCGAATTCGTATTTCCGAGCTCGATGGGATGAACGAGAGCGTAGAGATTGACCATAGACAAGGATAATGGATGGGTACACCAAGGAGCGGGGAGGTGGTCATGTCCGAGAGGTCGATTGAACGTGTTCGTGATCATGATGCATGGATGTTATCCAGGTTTTGGTTGCGGTAAGGCCATCATCGCGTAAAGGTCCCGTGAATAACTCCTCGAGATTCTGGGAGTTTTTGATCGAGAGTCGAAAGACAGCACAGCAGGCATCGGGCGGGGCAAGGCATGATATAGGACGGTCATAGTCTTGGGGATCCGAGGATGCCCTAACGCTAGCGTGGTTCGCGCTGACACCTGCATACGTTAAATCTCCGAAGCCGAATAGTTTCATGTTACATGATTGAGAAAGTTGAGTTACTCTCCGCAATAATTTTGTATCTCACAGTGGTTCCCGTGTTTCTGGGGCTCGAAGATGCTCCCTCACGCTTCCGGTTGCGGCGGGCCGCTCTTGCTTGACCCTGCACCACTGCACACTAGATGCGTAGCCAACGCGACAATCGTCAGCCAAGAGCGTCAGCCTGGCCAACTTCATTCACCTCCACGCAATCGTGGTAATGCACATAAGAGCCAACCATCTAGAAACGTTTTACAGAATCCCAGGATAACTTGAAGACTGAACCAAGCATATTTGAACATTCATGCACGTCAGGTGAGTTAGTTCTGTAGCTTCCTATAGCATTTCCTTATTCTTTCTGGTTCTGGGTTTGTTGTAAATGACGTCCGTAGATGGCTTCCTCTTTGGTACTTCGACACGTGCAATGATACCTAGGGGCGCTGGACACTTACTCTTTGCAACAATTACCCCATCGCGACCGACTTAAATGTGTCCATACCTTCTACGAACTCTTTGCACAGGATCAACGCACTTTCTCTGCATGCAAAGGCCGTGCTGAGTTATGGAGCGGTAAACACAATAAAACATGTTGCTATCTTCTAGCCCTTCTTCTTGTCGAAAACTCGCTCAGAACATCCAAATCGTCCAAATTGGCACTGCTGTATCGATCAGTTTTGGCTTCTCAGATCACGCACTATACATACGCATCTTTCGCATTACAGTCATCATATCAATGACCAGAACGTCGGTCCCTCACACAGATGTCGACGTCACATTTCCTCATTATACCTCTCTGCTACCATACTTCGGCAACCATTCACCTGCTCTCGAAAAGATGGATCACCACAATCTACCCTCAGAGAAGACTAGTAGTACCGGCACCTACGAACTGCAGGCTCGCACCGATACCGACGACGAATCGAAATACGGCTTCTGGGGCGAATTGGATGAGACTAAGAGTTCGTGTGAGGTAGACTCATTGTACAACAAGCGATCGTTTGTGAGCGAATTAGCCACATTTTGCTGCTTTTGGTGTGCATTTTCCGTCCTTATGTTGGGTGCCTTTGGCCTCTACTTCGCTGTCGACCTTGCCTTCAGCCGTTATGGGCTAGGCACAGGGATGGCGGAATGGGCCATTCACAGACATCAGCTCCCACCAAGCACATCATATGGGGTAAGTCGACCGCAGCATGGTAGTGGTATCGACACGCAACATACTGACTCCTAGCCTGCTCTAGATCAAATTTTGCCTCGAGTCGCCGAACCGCGAAGCACCTAGTGCGCAGGCCTGGCGCTACATGAGAGCAGCTACTGGTGACTGTTGTGCGATCGACACCATCGACTTCATTCTCGACTCCAAGGAAACGTGGAAGGTTCAGCCGGGTGCTATTCTGGTCTTGCAAAATGAGGAGCCATATCTCGATCAGATCGAGAAGATGCGGACGCCCACAGTCTCCCGAGAGCAAGTACAGGTTCCTTAGCTGGGTGATGACCTTGCTGAAGAGGGTCAGTTGGGACGATAGGGCTGATCCATTGGACTAGAAAGTTCTGTCACACCACAAATACTTTGCAGGCGGCATCTGGTATTTAGCATATGTCATTGCTTGCTTAGCGTATTTGCATAAATGTCATTGATTCTGTTCGCTTCTCCATATTCCGCTTTCTTTAGAGTCATCAGGCTGTCCTATGCCTAGTACCTGCTAACCGCACTTCATAGCATCGAGCCTTCGAAACATCATAATCAGTCAGTCTTGATCAAACGTCTATTCTGCGAAAGAATCTTGCCTGTATGCTTGTTTCATCGTCTGGGTGTCCGTAGATGATGATAGAATCGTCAGAACAAGAATGGCCGCTGGCAGTGAGGGCCGACATTTGTTCAGCTCTAGTATCTTGGTATATGCGGCGAGTATTAATAATTGGCGAGTTCCTGACAGCCATATTTGCCGCCCGAGATGCATTTGAGTGACTCAAGTGGTGGGAAAACCTTGCTGTCATCAAGAAGTGATACTACTTTCGAAACCGTGATCGAGGGAACCCTTTGCAATTCTTACAGTCGTTCCGCGTCCCCTCTAGAAGTTAGAGTTCGTCTATAATTTCAACATCATATACCCTATTATTGTAGATTTAATTAGTACAATAGCACGACTGATCCGACACCTAGACTTTACAGCATTTTGGGACATATCGCTACGGGCTAGAGAGAAGGGAAACATACGACTGTGGAATTGAGTCACAGAGAATGATGAGCATACATGTATTGAGTCTATCGGGACTGATATGAAATCAGGATGAAGGTGTTGGTGTAGAGACCCTGGGTTCATAGGCATGATCCAATTGGTGTTCCTATCACGACAATTCCAAGCACAGGTCGATCAAGATCTTGAGGGAATATGGATTATAATTAATGGTTATCATAGTCTCTTTTGATTCATGCAGGAACTGATGCCAAAGTCAATTAGTTCCGTCAGTCGTAGCCATATTTGCGGCCATCATAGCAGGGTGAAGCTTAGGCAGGGGGAGAGGTAGGCTCAGGGACGCCGGGAGGGCAGTGCCAGTGGTCGTCGTGAGGCTCGCAAGCCTCAGCAGGTGCGGCAGCGGCAGACGATGTAACTGAAGCAGAGGGCTGCACTGGAGTGGCAGATGCGGAGGTGGTAGCGGAAGCGGTGCTGGTTGCAGCAGCAGTGGACTCCTCGAGAGGAGTGTAAGTGCCAGGGCACCCAACACCGGGAACAATGATGTCGTGAGCATAAGCCTCGAGAGCAAAGTACTGAAGAGTGTCGCTGTTCCTTACAGCGTAGGTGGAGTTGTTTTCAGCGAGAGCGATGGTTCCAGGGTATTTTTCTTCCTCCTCGTCATTGTAGTGCTCGACGACACCCTCGCCAACTTGGGGAAGGTGGAGAAGACGATGGAGAAGATCAGAAGCCCAGAAAGTGTTGGTCGCACCGTTGGCAACGTCGTATCCGAGCATGCACATGGTCGAGAGAGGCCTACGGATCTCATAGGACAGGTCGCAGATGACGGTCTCCGAGGTTGCATTGGAGCCGCGCCAATGACCAGCCCAACCTGTTGTTGCTTAGTTGAGATTGTTTCTCGATGGTCGAAGACAGTACATACCCTCTTGGTCGCAATTGCCATCAATGTTGTCACAACGGAAGAGGATGCCGGATTTGTCACCATCGGCAATCTTAGTAAACCAGCCAATTGGCTCGCCAGTTGGTGCCTCGCCGAAATATTTGGTGTAGACCTCGGAGGAGTTGCCATAGCGAAGGATGTGGTCGCGTGCGTGGCTGACGATGGTCAAGGTCTCTTCGAGGCCCTTCTTGATCATGCTACGCTGAGTGGCATTGCAAGAAGCGTGAATAGGGAACTCGCGAACGGCACCAGTGTCCCATGCGGTGGATGCAGGAGCAGCCTCCATGGTTTGAGTGACAGTGACGGTGGCCTGGCGAGGAGCGAGGGGTCCAGCCATGACAGCGGAAGCTCCAAGGAGCATAAGAGCAGAGGCACGAGCAGCCATTTTGATATTGACCTGTAGGACTGTGAAGAGGTCTTGAGATTTGAGGCCCGAACTGGTGTTCAGTGAGTGTCCCGAGAAGCTGGATGCTGGATGGAGGTACTTGCATTCAAGCTGCGGGCCTCTTTATATTCTACCGGAATAGCATCTCACCACTGGCAACTGTTCCTCTCGGTGCTCATCTACCGACATCGACGCAGACCTGACCGCCGAGACTTGAAGAAAACGCCTCATGGTTGCAGCCGCAGGTACATCAACCGGTCTACTACCGGTCTATCACCCATACAGAGATCTGAATGCTACGCTGTACGGGTCTGGAGGCTGATCCGCATCTTGGCTTGACATAGAAAGCGAATAGTCAACCTTGGCATGGAGGTGCATGGGGGACTGGACGACATGTCTTCGATCCGGAGCGTGGAATTATGGGTAACTAAGTACCATGATGGGCGCCCAATGAAGAGAATTTCTCAAATCCAAGGTACACATCGTCGGGAGGATTACCTGCGTTCGGGAAGACCGAGGACATGAACGTGGATGGTCGCTATGTCTCGGCACGAGCCTCCCACGCAGTATGTCATGTTGAACGTAAACAGAGATGCGGATTCGAGAAGTTCGGGTAATCTTTTGCATGATTTGGCTTTTATAGACATGTTGTTCTGTATCGTTCGGCAACTCTGGCCAGGCTGACCAAAAGCCGAGATACTGCTATCTGCCCAAGGCTGAACGAGGCAGTCAAGACCAAAACAGAAGTCTTGAAAAGAGAGATATGAGCGTCCGGATACACACCCGACTGTACGAAGTAACGTTGGTGTTGAGCGCCGAAAAGTCGCCTCTTAGGTCATGGCTAGAGTACGTCCCCAACATACGTCGCCAAGACTCCCGCCACGTTGAATAATGGCACTATCCCACTCACCTACCGCATACGTTAACGAGGCCGCCTACCTAAAAGCAACAACCCAGATTCACTGGCTCCTAATTCGATGTTTGCCCCGAGACAAGACTTGTGCCAAGACAAACCATCCAGCAAGGTGCTCAATGCCAAGAATGGCCGTGGCACTTTCTGTGAAAGTACTGCAGACAAATGGATACCGAAGAGTTCTTTGCGGCTTCCTTGTGGGGTCTTCTTGCACCATCACCGTACATTCGTTCCGCTCCGCTGACACCAGGAAAAGCTTGAACGGAGTCGATATATCAAGGGCACTACGCTGGTATAATCTTGTCCAGCTTTACACCCGTCGGTTCGCTCGTGTGACATATCCGGTAGATTTTGATCATGTCTTCCATCATGCGTTCTACCCTCTCCGCTGCTGTCCTATGTCTCGTGGGCTCTGTGTTTGCGCAGACCCCTACTGTCACCGTCACACAAGCTGGCGCGACTACCACAGTATTCACTACCGGGATTCCCTCAATCACAGCGGTATCGGACTGCCACCCTCATAGCACTGTCCTGTACGTGTTCTTATGTTCGCTCCTGGTTCCTATATCTTGGCGCTAACATGCAACAGCTGGTGCATGGTCGGCGAAGAAGAATACCAGGTATCCGGGCCTACCGCCACTGAAGAATTCCAATCGGAATATACCGGGTGCCACACTCATGGCTCAGAGACGTGAGTGACACAATCAACGTGAACAGCGGAATATTGACATGTTCAGATACTGCGTTGATGACGCTGGAGAAGATGTTCTGATCATGGTCGATGCTGCAGAATCAACAGACAGCTCCTCACACACTGAAGAAGAGTCACCTGCTGAGTCTGAGGCTGAGCCAGCTGGAAGCAAGGGACATTGCCACGACCACGCCGGTGTTGAGCACTGTGTTGGTGGAAGTGCTGAGGAAGTCAACTGCGATGCTCCTCAACGCGATTACAATATCCCTTTACGAGTCGGCCTTCTCTTCGTCATCCTCTTCACTAGTGGACTTGGTGTTTTCACACCGGTTTTGACTAGAAGGTTCAACCTTATCGGCGCCAACAACATCATCTTCGTTGTCCTTAAGCAATTCGGAACCGGTATCGTCATTTCCACTGCCTTCGTCCACCTTTTCACCCACGCCCAACTCATGTTTGCGAACCAATGTCTTGGTGTGTTGCAATACGAGGCCACTACCGCTGCTATATTCATGGCCGGACTGATGCTGTCGTTCCTGGTCGACTACCTTGGTGCGCGGTTCGTCCAGTGGCGTCAAGGCAAAATTGCTGCTCCCAATACCGAGGTCGCAACTGGCGGAGACAAGTCTGGAAGTGCCTCCCCTTCTGCAGAACCCAGCCATGATTTCAACCGCAGCCATGGTCTTCCTCATGCTCATGGTCCCATGCGTGAGGCGACCCCTATGGAAGAGAAGATCAACGTCATGAATCTTGAGGCCGGTATCATCTTCCACTCCATTCTCATCGGTATCACGCTGGTCGTAGCGAGCGATGGTTTCTTCATCACTCTCTTTATTGTCATTCTCTTTCACCAGATGTTTGAAGGCATTGCGCTTGGTACCTGCATTGCGGAGCTTCCCAAGGCCGCTGCTGGTACAGCACAAAAGCTCCTCATGTGCGGTACTTTTGCCCTCATCACGCCTATCGGTATGGCCATTGGTATTGGTACCCTAGACCACTTCAACGGAAACGACCCTAGCACTATCATCGCTATTGGAACGCTCGATGCGCTTTCTGCAGGCATCTTGACATGGGTCGGTATTGTAGAGATGTTGGCCAGAGACTGGATGCACGGAAAGTTGCTCAATGCGGGTGCGGTTAGAACTGTTTGCGCCATGTTCGCTTTGATTTGCGGTCTTATCCTCATGAGTGTTCTAGGAAAATGGGCTTAGTCGAGCCGCTCTGGAGGGTTACAAGTCTGTAAGATGTTGAAATGATGATTTCGTAGTTGTGCATTGGGAGGTGCGTGTTTGGCTTTTACTTAGACCTGGTTATAGTTTGGACTGTCACTTAGCTTATACCCTTTACGCTGGACTTATGGAAGAGAGTATTTATTCCAAGATGGAGCTCTTCATACTCTGCTTGCCAAAGCTGTCCCACACTTCTGCTTCCCATCCATCTGATCCTGACTTGTGGTCCAAGAGTATGCGATACTGCTCACCAACGTATAGTGGGCTCATTGCGCGATACGCTATCGACTTGGGTACTGCTTCCGTATCCCCTTCCTTGGCCACATCTCTCCACAAATCCAGCATGTTGATGAGGTTAAGCGGTCCGTGTACAACAGCATCTCTATGACCCTCAACCTCTCTACACCACTCAGGTAAGTAATGTATCTTGTGCGCATTAAAAGTCAGGGCCGAGAAGCGAAACAATGAGGTAGGTGTTTGACAGAAATCTCTTTGATGTCGCGCAGTCGGTAGATCTTTCTCTTCTGGCTTTGGCGGTGCCTTCAGTGGATTCTCTGGTGTAAGCTCACGCTGAAAAACCCAGTTGCGGCGATCAGTTAGCGCGATACCATGATCATTCGAGAATGTCTTCTCAACCCCCACGAGCAACATTTCACCGCCATTCTTTAATGTTTTTGGCTCAGCACGTAGTAGTCTCGTTGTCTCTTTGATTTCTTGGCCGACTCTCAGTAGCGCGTTCCGGTCTTGTGCCCATGTCAACTCGCCGCCTGCCCACATTCGCCTTGTATAAGGACTTAGCGGGTTCACAGTGCGGTCTGTACCATCAAGGCCCAACTCGGACTCAATAATTGAAGGCGTGAAATAGACGAGGTGGTAGCCAGGCGGGATCGGTGTGCCGGACGGTGGTGGGTTGAAAGAAGAGGGCGTGCGATTTAGTGTTATAGAGAGCAACTGGAGTTGATTCGCATCAAGTAGCTGTTTACGGATCGAAACAGGCCCGCTGTGAAAGCGTGTGAGGAGTTCGTTACATGCTTCTGCTGCGGAAGCTTGGCGACGAGAGGAGGTTGTGGTAAACAGGCGACGGGCTACACGGCTCATGATGCAGCTGTTCTTTTCGCCCTGAGTATAGAGCTCCTTGTGTCTCAATTCAATAGATGGATGCTATTGTGCGATGGGCGCTTGTTGACAATCAAGGAGATGTTGGAAGATGCCGAGGGATAGCCGATATCGATAACGTCATCCTTCACGTAACATTTCTGGTAACCGACTTCGGCTTCTTCCAAACAAATCGAGCTCAAGCTTCGGCAAGATGTCCGAACCGCCACGGAAACGCGCAAAGCTGGCCTGCGTGACATGCAACGCGCGACGCGTCAAGTGTGATGTCACTGACCGACATCCTTGCAGCAACTGTGCAGCCGGCAACGTCGAGTGCGAAACGCGTGAATCGAGGCGTGGAAAGCATATTAGGAAGCCACGAGCGGAGACTGAAGTGCGCAGCAAAACGTGAGTTGGACAAATGTATTTGAAGCGCCATACGACAAGTGCTGATCCAACGGAGTCCACCAAGTGTGACAGCTATTAGCCCACAACGACACGAAGACGAGGTGGCTGCGTCGCACGTTCTGGCCTCATTATCCTCAAATTTCCACAGCCCTGTCAACACCCACACGCCCGCTTCTGGGGGCCAACATCACCTCCCAACCCCGTCGGCGCCGTCGGATCTCAACAGTGATCAGTCAAAAGCGAGCTCTGTCCACCAAGAAGATGCCGTCTTTCTTGGGGAATCCAGCTCCTTACGCTATGTGACGACAGGCGAGCCATCTGCAGCTGCAGCAGAACGCCGACAGTCCTGCTTTCGGCATGCCGTCCCTAGTGCTGCAAGGGCCGAATCACTTGTGCCAGAATGGGAATCTGAACGACGTGTTGCACGCAAAAAGGCTCTGCAAGCAGAAGGGGCCTTTTCTTTTCCTCCTGCTGAAGTCCGACTTGAGCTGTTCCAGGCATACTTCAAATGGTTTCACCCGCACTTTCCAATCATAGACGAAGAAGAATTTTGGACCGAGTACCGAGAGTTCAATTTCTCCGCCTTATTACTACAAGCTATGATGTTCATCGGAGTTATCCACTGCGAGGAGTCGACGCTCTATCGTCTTGGATGGGGAAACCGGCATCGAGCGAAATGGTTTTTTTACATCAGAGCTAAGGATATCTATGATGCTACGTTCGAGACCAACAAGATCATTGTCATACAAGCTCTGTTTCTCATGAGCTTTTGGCGAGCCGGTGCGTTATTGGAGAAGGATGCACGACATTGGCTAGGCACAGCTATCAGCCTCTCTGAGACAAGAGCACTACATCGGTCTGGAGGCGATACCGAAGAGAGTCTAACGAGGGTTAAAAGGAGGCTTTGGTGGGCTATCTATGTTCGTGAGCGGCAATGCGCATCTGCTCTAGGGCTACCGTGCCGCATACGTGACAAAGATTGCGATATCGAGCCGTTATCATCCGCCGATTTCACATCTGCTTTTGCTTCAACAACATCTGTCGAAGACCGTCATCGCTACACTGTCTACGCGATAAGCATGGTGCAGCTGGCGGTCTTCTTGGGCAGGGTGGTGGACGCTGGTTATCTACCGAAGCGCACGCTCGCGCCTGACGAAAGGATCAAGCTGCGCAATGAGCTTTATAAATGGAGACAAGACCTCCCGAGTGTCATGCAGTTGCAAACCGATGCCGGTGATCCGCCAAACTTTCAGGCCAGTATGCTCCATCTTGCATACAACAACCTACTTATTCTACTCTACCGCACCAGCTTCGTTCTGGACGAGAACAGCAACACAGCAACAGACGGAAATGTCGCGCTCCAGGCTGCAGCGCGTAATTCGCGTATAGTCGAAGATATGCTGCCTGGCGGCAACATTGGGCATGCTCAGATGCATGTCATCACCAATTTATTCAACACACTCTGTATTCACGTTGTGAATTTCAGGCGCTCAAGCGGCATCAATCGCACCCTCGCTGAACATCGAGCCAAACTATGTTTATTGGGTTTGCAAGAACTCCAGAAGACGTGGGAGGTGACCAATTGGGTGTTACAATTGTTCTTTCAATACCTCGATAGAGAAACAGCCTCGAGGTTGGCTATGGAAGCGGATGATGGTGGTTCTTCGACTGCCACTGGCCAGTTCACCTCAGCCTGTACTACCACGCAACCGCCGTTGCAACACCAGGGTGCTGATAACGTCCCAACTCGTAGCATGCAATATCTCGACGCTCCTGCATCTTCCACCACTAGTCCCAAGCCCTGGTCGTGGACCTTGGATGAAGCCGACCAGTATCTCTTCACGCAGATCGAAAACGACTTTGCTTTTGGAGAGGGTGCCTTGCAGCAATGGTGTCCCGAAGACTTGCTTTCCACGGAGTGAAACAATAGGCATACTTCGAGAATTTAATTCAAGACATAGTACATCAAGCAGCCTCAAAAGCACGACAGGTCATGGCTCATTATCTTCATTAGGGTACTTTAGCGCCAGGTATCTCCGCAGTTACGCATCTTCTATCCTAACATTTAGTTGTAGACGGGTCCACTTGGCGCATATCCAGTCAGCCTCTCACCATTGGAAGGTCGAAATTTCTCCTCCTTGAACCAAACATGTGCAGACTCAGCTAGCTTCTCAACCTCTGAGAAGGGAAACTCAGGCTTGGAATCAGACTTTGCGAGGAGGTCATAGATCCCTTGAGCGTAGTCGGGACCAATGTTGTAGACTTGTGCGAGGTACTTCTTCTAGTTGGGCGTTAGCATGGGCCATTTGACTCGAAATAATGGGATGGCTTACCTGAATGTCGGCATACTTGACAAATTTCAGCATGTTAAAAGTGTTGGTAATGGTGTGTTGCCTCTTCTCGGGCGACATGACCCTAGTCCACAGCTCCTTTGCCTGGTCGTACTCGCTCTTCTTGGCCTCATGCCAATAATGGCTCTTGCGGCTCATGATGTTGTCTGAGACCTGGTACGGTGCCTCGGCGACGTCAGGGCGGAACTTGTGTGCAAAACTGTTGGGTACGTATTGCTTGTTTCCGGCGTGGTTGGCATCGACACGCATCTGGCCATCGAACTGCAAAGGCGAGAAAGACTTCGACATGAAGGGGCAGTTGACGGGAATCTGGTGCAGGTTCACACCGATTCTGTGATACTGTGCATCGCGGTAGAAGAACATGCGGAACTGGAGTAATGGGTCGGGCGAGTCCTCAATACCAGGCACCATGCTGCCGGGCGAGAAAGCGGCTTGCTCGACATCGCGATGGAAGTTCTCGGGGTTCTTGTTTAGAACCAGACGACCAAACTCTTGCATAGGGAACTGCTTGCGCGGCCAGACCTTGGTCACATCGAAGGGGTCAAAGCCGAGCTTCTCGGGATCCGCATCCTGGGGCTCCATGACCTGAACCATGGCGGTCCATTCAATCTCTTCTCCATTCTCGATGGCTTCCCACAGGTCACGCTTCGAGTAGTCTGGGTCTTCACCACACATCTGTGTCGCTTCTCGCTGTGTGAACTGCTTCTGGCCGTGCTTGGCGATGAAGTGGTACTTGATGTAAACGAATTTGCCCTCCGAATTGACCCACTTGAAGGTATGGCAGCCATAACCATGGTTGAATCGCCATCCGACCGGTGTGCCATGGTCACTGAAGAACATGAGGCCTGCATGGTTACTCTCCGGGGTATTTGCTAGCAAATCGAATAGCGCATCGTAGTCTGGAAGGAAATTCCTTGGGTTACGGGCTTGGGATCGAATGACATCTGGTCCTTGGATGGGATCGCGGCAGAAGAAGATGGGGAAGTTGAGACCGACGATGTCGTAGTTGCCCTCCATGGTGTAAAACTTAATGGCGAAACCGCGGGGGTTGCGAGCTTCATCAGGGTACTCACGACCAACGGTGACTGTCGAGAATCGGACGAAGACAGGAGTCTTTTCACCTACGCTGGAGAGGAAGTTGGCTTTCTAGAGAAAAATCAGTACGTTTCAGTCTGAGAGTGACTGTGGCAAACATACTGTGAGAGAATCAACCTTCTTGGTGCACTCGAAGTATCCAAACGCACCAGAACCACAAGGATGTACCATTCGCTCCAGGTTCTTGGAACGATTGAAAGTCTGTTGCTTCTGGAAAAGGAACACATCGCTCGCTACGGGTATACCGCCGATGGTCTTGCTGTGTGCTCTATAAGACGTTAGCGGAGATACTTCGGAGGCAATCGAGGGTTGAAAAGCTCACGGGTCGATCCATGGGATACCTTCATTGGAGGTAAAGTAAGGCCCATCATCCTCACGCTTTCCGCCTTGAACAGCACCAGAGATCTTTGCAGCTATATCGGCAGGTCCTTCGTTGGCTGAGCCCATATGGCTTTGCCTTGGCGCACGTTTCTCTCCAGCAACACTTTGGATACCCTGAGAGATGGCCTCGAGGGGATGTTGCATCGGGTCGTTTTGGGAGGCGTTTGCACCGGTCGACATGGCTGCGGTGAATTTGCTAGGTAGAGACGTAGGGATTTTCATGGAGAAGCAACAGCGCGTGAGAGCTTAAGAGGGCACCATGGAGGCACACCATTGCCGCGTAAACGGAGCACGGGTGTTACCGCTGTTTAGACATATTGTCAGGGTGATGCGTCTCTGACGCGTATAGAGGAGGGGTAGCAGATGCCACGACTTCACGTGCAGGACAAGTGACAGCAGGAATGGTGATTTGAGGTTTAGTGTCTCCTGCATCCAGAGGCTGGAAGGGCTATACGCTGGGGACCTTTTCCCTCTTAATCACGCATTTAGTGGGGGTTCCTCTTTTGAAAAGATAACACCAATTCTTGGCCGCTCATTCGCAACGGCGTTTGCAGTCCGCGGGCGCTGTGGAGCATAGTGGGCATTACAGGTATGGGAATGTTGGACTTTTGCATGTTTCGGCATGATAGCAATCTGACGTTGCCAAGATTGGCCAGCGGACAACGGTCCAATTTCCATACATCATCAGTACGTCGCTCCGCGGAACGCCACTCCACCTTCCAGTATTATGGCTACATTACCGTTGACACACGGTGAACGGGTACCCGTTCCCGGCCAATGATGCAACAGATAATCGTCAGCGAGCACGTTGTGTGACAAACTTCGCGCGCAGCTCGAGGAAGCAAACAACGCTTTGACGGTGCAGGAACGTGCCTCTGGCGAACGTGTGACGTATCGTGACCATCGCGATGTATAACAAAAGCTGGCGAACACCTGCTCGAGCCATATCGCATTCTTCCCAATAACAATTCAGTTGCACTCTCCATCTTGCAGCATCACAATGTTCGCTCCCCGTGCCATCGTATCACCACTTACCCGAGCCGCATTCAGGCCACAGACGATTCGTGTTGCTGCCAGACCAGCCTACTTTCGCATCCAAGCTGCATTCAACTCAACAATCTCAGAAGCCATAACACATGATCACCGAGAGCTAAAGACATACTACAATGAGATTGTCGATAACTCTGACGATATCGACCACATTACACGCTATGGCAATCAATTCACATGGGAGCTGGCCCGCCACTCTGTCGCCGAGGAACTTCTTGTATATCCAGCCATGGAGAAGTACATGGGAGAAAAAGGAAAGCAGCACGCAGAGTCTGATCGGAAACAGCATCACGAGGTACGTGAACATATCTCCAATTACAATTTGCATTCCGAGAACACATGTCTAAAAACAGCCACAATAGGTGAAAATCCTACTAAAGGAGTTCCAAAACATGGACCCAGCATCCTCAACCTACATCCCCAAGTTGAAAGAGATTTGGTCCCTCCTCGAGCGCCACATTGCCGAAGAAGAGAAAGATGACCTACCTGCCCTCGAACAAGCCCTTTCCTCTGAGAAGAACCGCGGAAACTCCCAATCCTTGGCCAAGAACTTTGCTCGCACGAAAGCCTTTGTGCCATCGAGGAGCCATCCCAGTGCAGGAGAGAATCCGTATTTCGAGGGACCGATGGGTATGTTGGCTGCGCCGATTGACCACATTGCGGATATCTTCCGCAAGTTTCCCGATGGCACTATTAGTCCGAATCCCAGCAAGAGTAAGTACCTCCCTACGAACTGAATCTGAAGCATATACTGATCTTGTACGCCGATATTCAGAGTGAGGGTGAACAGCTGCATGGGCGACCTGTGAGCGGAATGGTGAAGGAGTCTAAACGGAGCCCAATGTCTAACGTTGTCGTTTTGGTATTGGAAAAATGTGTAACAAAGATCATGATGTGTAATCATAGCTTTAGTGCGATGTCACCTGTCAATTCTCCGATTCTTGTACATATCTCAACTCGATGATCAAGGTCTCGTGACATATTGTGCAAACGTCCTGTGAAGACAGTTTACAGAGAACGCTACAAGACCAACCGGCTCCATGAAGTTGTAGATCGGATACGATCAAAGACACATCCACCCCGGTTTGCTCAACAACTCCATAAACACATGCCATCGTAGCATACAGATATTGCCAGACATCACACGGGAGCCAACGTCTTGAAGTAGTCATTTGAAGCTTTGCCATTGCCAGAAGTGTTTTCACATGAAGAAGTAAATAAAGAATATTGTACAAAAAGAAGGTCTGTCCTTCGCTCTTGACACGCCATGCCATGCTACTACCTCGCTATGCGTAACGAAAGACATGAACGAACTTCCACCAACGCCCGCCCAAGCGCCACAAGTCTATCATCAAAAGAGTGCTACGTACTTTCGTAACCATTCCAGTACTCTGCGAACCCGACTTTTTGTATATGGTGCTATCAACACCTTGCGCCAAGAACGGAGAGAATGTAGGATATCGTACCCCGGCGCACTGCGACTTCGGTGGTGATATCTCAAAGAGCAACACCAGAGTGAAGGAGCGAGGCCTGTGCTCTTCAGATGGGCGGAGAATGCTCCAACGCGCTCTTTGCTGTGTTTCTTTATGGGTTTTCGATAGGTGAGGTCTGGCACCATGTCCGATGACTCCATCATCCTTGTTACTTCTCCGAAGACATGATCTATTGTTCCTGTGGAGGTCGTTCTTCTCTACAACCCCAGCATCATAAGCGCATGCGCCTGATTCCTGTTTTGACCAACAACATGCGACGCCATGCGCCCAGCCACTCATTGTGATCACCTTCCGTCGTCGATCTCAACTTTCCTGGGCCTGTCGCGTTCACGCTCTCGCTCGCGGTCGTCGTAGTCGCTCTCGTCGTCATAGCGGCGACGTCGCTCACGGTCATGGTGACGACGGTCTCGGTCTCGGTCGCTGTCGCGGTCTTCGTCATCCCTATCGTCCTTGGAGCGGTGGCTTCGCCTGTCACGGTCATCTCGATCGCGTCGGTCATGATCGTACTCCTCTTCTACAGCCTTGTTATTATGGTTCATGGACAGAAGTTGATGTGGACTTACCTCTGCTCTCGCGAATCTTCTTGGTACGATCAGCGAGCTTCTGGATTTCTTCCTTGGTCAAGACACGCAGGACAATGACGCAGTCCATTCGCTCCTCAAAACGTTCCTTGGCTTGCTCTAGAGCTTCAGGGTTGACGAGGCGACGATCAATCCTTGTCCATCGGGCTCCGACGGGAATGTCCTTGCCCTTTAGAGCGTCCTTGTGTGGTGCAACTCCCTCGCGGATAGGCTCAGGGTCCTCAGGGAACTTTTCAGTAGGCTTGCGAAGGATTCCCTTAACAGGCGCAACAGGTTCCTTGGGAGGTTCGACAATCTGTACGCTCTTGCTTGTAGACTCCCTGTCAAGCGTCTCAGGCTCCTGTACCATGCCACCATCGTAGACGCTCATGGGGCGATCCCTGGGGGGAGACGCGCGAGAGCGATCTTCAGGGCCTCGAGACCTGTCACGCTCATCCTTCTTGCTCCTTCGGCTCTTCTCGCGGTCAGAGTCACTATCTCTGTCGCGGGTACTTCGGCTAGCACGCTCTGCTTCTTGTTGGACGCGTCGTCGGTATTCCTCGTCGGGGTCCAGAGTAGCTTCCTGGGGTGCTGGTTCCCTCCGGCGTTCGGCATCGCGGTCGACATAGTGACGCGGTCGCTCATCGCCGCTACCCTCAGAAGAAGGTGGCTTGCGAGAGGGTACCGAGGGTACCTTCTCCCTGTCGTCGTCTTCGTATCGACGTTCACGGAGCTTGCGCTCGGGCTCGATGGGAGGATAGTCGGGAGCTGCGATCTGTGCTGGAGCTGGAGCAGGGGCTGGAGCAGGGACTGGGACTGAGACAGCAGCTGGCGGTGGTTGCTGTGGCTGGAGGGAGTTGCGACGACCTTCAGACTTTCTCTCCCGTCGCTCGTCAGGCCGGTCGCGGCGGTCACGCTCATCGTATTCCTTCCGGCGCTCACGCTCTCGCTCCCCTGAGGAGTCTCGGTCGCTACCACGGTCCTTGTCACGGTTCTTCATATAACCAGCGCCGGCCAGGGTAGCTGCCACACCAGCCACTGCGCCAGCCGCAGTCTGCACAAAGCTACCTTTCTCTTCAGATCGACTTTCACGCTCACGCTCACGCTCACGAGGACGCTTGTCATAATCCTGGGGTGGAGCGATATCCCTGTCACGAGAGGCGCGAGGATCGGGCATGCGTGCCTCCGCACGCTCTGGCTGGTAGTAATGGCTGCTGGACTCCTGTGGCCTGGGTCGAGGAGGCTCGGCCGGGGGATATAGAGGCTGTCGGTCCAAAGCATGATGGTCGTGTGCAAGGGCTGGGGGGCCTGGTGCAATGCCGAAGCCACGGGTAGTCACCTCACGGTCCTCAAAGGCAGTGCTGTGGCGCTTGTTCTCGACACCGCGGCTCTGGCGATCGTAGTCGTCGCGATAGGTGTCTCGACGAGGCTCTTGGTGGATAGCGGCAGGAGTGCGAGAATTGCGAGTGGAAGAGGATCGTCCGAGGCTTGTGTCTGGGTAGGGATCGTACTTGGGGATGTCGCGTGCCCTTTCGATGGACGATGACCTGCCGTGAGGGCGCGGAATGCCGTTGATCTTATCGAAGCCACGAGTGGAGGGGGGAGGGCCAAGTTCGCGGGTAGAGGCACGAGCGGGGCGATCTGAGATCATGCTGGTGGGGCGAGAGCTACGTTCCAAGCTACCAGCACGTGGCCTCCGCCAGGCTGGTTCTGTGTCGCGGTACATGCTCGCTGGGTCGGTGTAGGAGTAGCCATCACTGTTACTCAGGTCGCTAAGGCGCGAGGGGGGCTTGCTGCTGTCATGGTAGCTGCGGCCGCCACTTGTGAGACTGTAGCCCCGGTCTGCATGGTCCCGGTGGTGGTGCGACGAAGGCTGGACCTCAGCTACGAGCTTAGTCAAGTGGCTGGTGTCGTCAACGCTGTAGACCTTCTTGTGGCCTCGTGATGAAGCGCCTGGAGTGATGTATGTATCGGGCGCTTTGGCGTAGGAAGGGGTCAGGGGGCTCCGTGGGCGGTCGGTATGAGTGTGTGACGAGTAGGGTGTGCGGAGGGGCAGCGAGGTCTGCGGCAAGGCACTGGTACTCACGTTGGGACGGGATAGATCGTTGGTGTTGCGTCGCGGGCGTCCGGTGTACGAGTCGTATTTGGTGGTGGAGTGCGAGGTGTGCGAGGTGGTGGGCGTGTAGTAGGGCGTGTGGTGGGAAGTGTGGGAAGTGTGGGAAGTTCCGAGGCGGTCGACACTGGAGCGTGGCGAGCTGGGACGGCCATAGCCCGAATAAGACGAGGAGTAGTAGGGGTCGGAGAAGGTGCCTGTCGACGACCTGGCGGGGTTGGAGTAGCGGCTGCCTCGCGGGGACGAGGGGCGGTTGTAGCGCGTGTCCATGCCGCCTGAGAGAGTGACGGTCTTGACGTGGAGGGGAGCGGATTTGGCGGCAGTTTTGGCGGCGGGCGTGGTGGACAAGGAGTTTCGACGTGGGGGAAGGGGCGGCGCAACGGTGCTAGAATAAGTATTGTGCTTCCTCAGGCCAGGCGGCTTAGTGGGGAGGAGAACGCTGCCCAACATCGTGTCAGCCCAGTGGTCGGTTTCAGAAGCTGGGAAAGAGAGCAAATGGCACAAACGAAAGGGAATTAGAAATTAGGCCTGGCGAAGAGGCAGAACAAAGTCGCAGCTCGACGTACATAAGGGCGTTTCAACACCGGACGACAGCCGGTGGGCACAGCCAAGTTGGCTCGACGACTAGCAGCGCGAACAGGTTGGCCGATGGTTGTAGGATGCAGGATACGCCCAAGGTCCCCGGCCACGGTGGTGACAGGGGGCGGGGGTGAGGGCACGGTGTAAAACCAACGTGATATTTGCAGCTGGCTCCCAGGGTGTGCCCAGCAGGATACTATGGACTGGGTGGTGGGGACCGCGAGGCAGCGAATGAGGCGGACAAGTGCGGTGGGGAGGAGCAACGGCCGACGGGGCAGCAGAGGTTGGAGCGTCGATGGGTTGCAGCGCTCGACTCGAGATGGACAGTAAGGATAGACAGCGAGGAGGGTGAGGATTCGGTCGGGTACAGAGCGTGCGCATCAAGCCGCCCGCCTGGTTTCGAGGTTACGTGGAGAGAGTCAGATTGCACTATGTCATCGCCCTCGCTTGGACCCGCGCAACCCTGCAGCACGCAGCCACTCAGCACAAGCCCTGGCTCGTGGCTCAGAAACAGGGTCCGCTTGCTTCTCTGCATTTTTTGGCTTTTTCGCTAGTCGCACGAGAGATTTACTAGCAATAGCTAAAACCGGTCCTAGCTACATGCAACTCTCTGCATGGCTCCGAGCAGTTACCACGTTCCCACACTCGCGCTTCACTCTGCTGCCACTTGCACGTCAGCACCTTGGTATCCGCACGCACACTCCGGCCTGTCAATAACGTCGCCCCGCTGCCTAGCATTCTCTCTAGCTGCTACACACGCCTTCCGCCGCCCAACTGACCCCGCTTAGGCAGGATAGCCCTGTGCTACCCAACTTGACCGCCAGGACTGCCCATGGCCTCGTGACTCGTCCGGTGCGACTGCCCTGGGCGGGCCGACTCAAGCAACCCGTTCCGTTCACGATCTTCGCTGTATGAACACGTCGTACAGATCCTGATGCGCACTGTAGTTTGATCGTTGCCATCGATTGGTCTGGAAACATGGCATAGGCACCGAGCCCTCACATCATGACTTCGGCATTTCTCAGCTACCGAAACACTTCTCGCGGTACTAATCCGCCGGACGCGCCGCAACGTAAGCTCTGAACATTGGCCACCTGTTGCTTTTTGCCTTCGCCTCCTCTCTCCGATGCTCTACACATCCTCGATCTGCTCCACCCTCGCAGCCTTGCCAACGCCGCTTTTGGTCGAGTCGGCATCGTCCGTCGCGTGATGATGTCTGAGCTGCTTCGCCCGCGACTTGCTTGGGATGGTATCCCGAATACAACCCCTGATAATGCTGCCCTCGAACAACTCTCCCACAGACTCCAACCGCACCCCCTTGGTTTCAGGCACGCAGAACACCGTCCAGATACCCATGACAATGCATAGCGACCCGAACAGAAGAAACGTTCCGTACGTAATGTTGTCCAGCATCAGGGGCGTAATCTTTGCGATTACAAAGTTGAAGAGCCATTGTGTCATCAGCGAGGCCGCCATGAGCAGAGACCGCACGTGGTTGGGACTGCACTCGGACGCCAGCACAAACGGGATCGGGCCCCAGCCGAATGAATAGAAGACAACAAAGAGATAGACGCAGATGATGGCAAAGATTGCGTTGCCATCAAGTTCGCCTGTGGGTGGGTGGACTGCTTGGTTGACACCAATGTAGTACATCGCAAACGCTTGGCCAATCGATCCGAGGATCAACGACCATTTGCGTCCCAGCTGCTCAGTAAATGCCATCAGGCCAATCGCTGTCACGACGATCTTGACGATACCATAAACTCCAGTTGCCTAGTTGCACGTTAGCTCGTGATGCATGCATGCGCTCTTTACACTCTACTTACGAATAGTCCGGACGAGTTACCAGTAAGGCCAATTTGCTTGAAGATCTGAGGAGCATAATAGTTGATCGAATTTGTTCCCGTCCACTGTTGCCAGAACATGAGGATAACAACAAAGCTCGAGCGGTACAGCATCTTCTTGTTCGAGCAGGCAGCCTTGAGTTGAGCAACCATCGGCATCTTCTCGTGACCGTTGAAGTCTGCGATAATCTCATCCAACTCCTGTGTTACCTCTGCGTCTTCGACGCTCTTGCCGCGGACATGAGCCAGAGCTTTAGCGGCTTGGCTTAGCTTGTTTTTCTCTACAAGCCAGCGCGGAGACTCGTTCATGAAGAGCATGCCTACAAGCAGGAAAGCGCCAGGGAGCATCTGCAGGGCAAATGGCACGCGCCATTTAGTCGAGTCCGTAGGGCTAGTAATGTCGAGGGAGATGCCGTAGTTGACGAAAAAGGACAGACATATACCAGTCACGTTGAAAAGTTGCTGCTCCACGTCAGTCGACTGATGCAATCAAGCGGTGTAGACAACACATACCATGCACCCAATGCAGCGTCCTCGGATCGCCCTGGGCGCGTTTTCTCCAATGTACGTCGGGACGACGGCTGAAATCAAGCCAACGCCGAAACCGCCAATCACACGTCCAACGTAGAGCTGGGCAAGGCTTGTCGTACCAATCCCGCACAGGGTCTGAATCAAAGATCCAATGATGAAAATGATATCCGCCGTGATGAGCGCCCATTTACGACCAAAGGTGTCGGAAACGTAGAAACTGGCCATGGCGCCGAAGAAACATCCTGCCTGGAGAACAGAAACAATGTTTCCCTGTAGATTGGCAAAGTTTTTGCTGTCCTTGTCGAGGTTGAATGAGTGCTGGAATGCATCCATTGTCAAGACACCTGCAATGCGGTTAGCGACGGTCATTCCATATGCACGTGCAGCAACACACCTCCGATGAGACCTGTGTCCCAACCAAACAGCATTCCACCAAAGGATGCCACAGCGGTGAGCAGGTAGGCTCGACGATACGTCTTGATGTCGGCCCACACCTCGGACATGTTGAGCTTCGCCATGATGGCAACGTGGATCAGATGTCGCGGAGAAGATGCACAGGCGAATGCGACGTGATGCGACACGACGAACGTTCAAAGTCGGTGATGTCGATCAACCAAACACTGCGGCAAACATCCGAATATATATCGTCAGTTTATCCTGCCTCGCAGAGCCCAGTTAGCGAACCCCGACCAAAACCCGCTGGCAAAAGGCGACCAGTTGCCTTGGCTGTCGGCATAGTGCAACGCGACGTCGGGGATATGACGTGGGGATTCGTTCGTGGGGACTCCAGACGTGCCAGTTACAGGCGGAGAGCCCCATAGCTAGTGGGTCGGCATAGCGGATGGTAATTATCCCTCCATTCAAACGCCGTCGCCGTTATTGTGTTGAGACTTTTGTGTGCTTCCTTCGTCTGCAGTATCTATGGAGACGAGTCAAAAGTTTGCATGGCCAAGAAGTAGAATGAATCGCTGGCTGTACAGTGCGGATGCAGCGTTTGCAGGAATGTGTGTGAGATGGATGCCCAGGGGGCGAAGATGCCGGGTGGCAGGCTAGGCACTTGCTTAGCGCTCCTTGTGCATCAGCTTATTTTGTGCATGTGAACACTAGAACAGCAGCCGACCTTGTCTTGGATATGCGATGCACTGCAATACAAAGACCGACTCGACCTTCAAATCACCCTTTTTGTTCTGTTCTCCACATTCCGTTCAAAGACCGACCCCAGATTCTTCACCTCCGCATCTTGCCTCCGCACGGGAGCTAGGCGATTGGAATTGCGATAGGCTTCTCATTGGCCTAGCGACCAAGTGTCCATATGCCGAAGCCAGCTCGTCAGCTCCGACACTACTTGCCGTGATCTCCACAAGCCGACGTACGATCGTTAGAACAGTTATAAAAGTAGTATCAGTAGCACTCTATATGGTCGTGAAAATATCACTCGAGTGCAACAAAGTAGACGCATGAGGTGATAGGCAGGCTACAGGCGTGCTGATATTGTTATTCTCTTCATTACTCGGGTTGGAATACAAGTGTCTCTAATCGTGAAGTAGGATCCGTCAATCATCAACTATAGGTTCGCTTTGCCCTTCTGTTCAGGTACTTGCGTTAACAGCTTGTCGCTCTTAATAGCCGACTTCAAGTTGTCCAAAACCAATATCTCCATGTCGCGCTAGGAATAGTTAGCTCTTAGTCGCTCTCACTTCACTAGACAGCGCGGCTTACCTGTGTTTCGTATGTAGCCGTTCCAACATGAGGCAGCAGTACCGCGTTCTCGCATTCCAGTAGCCCGGGATGAATCTTCGGCTCCTCCTCAAACACATCCAGTCCACATGTCCAGACCTTGCCGCTCTTCAGCGCGTCGACCAAAGCTGCCTCGTCAATCAATGCACCTCGTGCAGTGTTCACGATGATCACACCATCCTTCATCGCGTTGAATTGCTCCTTGCCAATGATGTGTGTGGTCGAAGGGTTGAGCGCCAAGTTCAGGCTGAGGACATCGGATGTCTTGAGTAGCTCATCAAAAGTCACGTACTTTGCACCGCTCTCTTCGCTAGCTGGTAGCTGGTGACGGTTGTGGTATTGTATCTTCATGCCGAATGCTTTTGCGCGATGTGCGACCGCTGAGCCGATACCACCCATGCCTAGGATGCCGAGTGTCTTGTTCTTGGGGTCGTGACCGAGGGAGAAGTTGCCGCGCCACTTGCCTACCAGGAGTGTCAGCTTTGATTTGAACAACTTTAAGCTTACAAACCATTGTTTACTGCCATGTAGGACTGCTTGATGTTTCGGAGCGCGCCCAGCATGAGCCAGATGGCAACGTCTGCAGTCGCGTCGTTGACCGCTATCGGTGTGCTTGATACCGATATTCCTCTCTTTGTGCAGGCTGCGACGTCGATGTTATTGTATCCTGCGCCGTTGTGGCAGACATACTTCAAACTCTTAGGCAGAGCGTCAAGCAATTCCGCGTTGAAGTCTCCGGTAATCGGATTCGAGTCGTTGCTTCGGTAAAGGGCGTATATACCGTCGAATTCACCACTCTTGCATTTTGAGAGGAAGTCTTCGCGGTTGCCATCGGGGTACTCGTGCAGCTTCGAGGCTACCTCTGAACATTGCTGCCATTCTTTCTGGGCATGTGACAGTTTGCCGATGAGAAGTGCCGCTCGTTGCGACATGGTAAATGTATGTTTGTGAAAGTGGTGACGATGTAATCGAGTACTTTGAAAGGATGGAGGGGTCAAGGAGAAGGAGTTGCCGGGTAATGTTGTCTCGAGCGCAGCGGCATTTGGTAACCTTTTATTGCGCGCTGCCCAGATCCACTGCTCCGACCGGTCTATTTCGGACCGAACTTTGTACTATGGAGATTTTAAGCGTGGTAATTTACCTCGCTCAATTGACAGCATGGCAGTTTGCTATCTCACGGCGTTTCAAGAACTGTGCTACTACGAACATCGTGCATGGCGATGATGCAACCCCACCATAGCCGCCTCGGCTGCCCCGCCATCGTCATTTCCCAGGTCAAATAAAAGCTCCCAATCATCAAGACAGTCAGCTAAACAGAACTATATCTAGAGCGCATAGAGGATTCACTCTGCTCCCCCAGAAACACATGTTGTTTTCGTAGGCTCTTTCAGCTTTGCAGGTCGAAAGGAGCCCAAACCCGTGACCTCGGCATCTGACGCACAAGACCATACAAAAGTTCAAACGCCGACAAATCACGTGAGCATACTAACCTCGAGCCCAGCGGCCATGACCGAAGGGTGTAAGCGTCGTCTCGGCGCATCGGCGATCCATCATCTCCCGAGCCGAAATAGATGCAGCTTCCAGACTCACACCGAACGCCTTCCAGTACGTTAGGCAGCAAGGCAGGCATGGACATGCGCTGCCTACTCCAGCCTGGCTGCAAGCGAGGAGCAGAAACTCACAAAACAGGAGATGCGTGTATGCGTGGAACACTGTTGGAGCGCCTGATGGGCGAGCACTTCAGTCCTATCCTCAGTGAGCATATAAGCTCACCTCGTTCCATGATAATGTAGTATTCAAGTTCATTGGTAGCAATTCATATCTTACATCCGGAAAACACTCATCACAAACGGAACATTGAACATGGAGCTCAAGCACGTAGCAATTCTCGGGGTATGTCTACTTACCTATCTGAACTATCCTTCACCCCAGTGTACCCAGACGACCTGCAAGCCGTTCAAAGCTAACGTTAGCGCAAAAACAGGCAGGAGGAAACGTGGGCAACACCATCATCACCGAACTCCTCAAAGACGGAGCCCGATTCACCATCACAGCCATCACGCGCTCAACATCGTCTTACACACCACCTTCTACGGCCATCACCCACCGAACTGTAGATTACACTTCCTTCTCCTCCCTACAAGCCGCATTTCAGGGCCAAGACGCAGTAGTGAATTGCGTCACGGGCAGTGCTACGCACTACGAACCATCCAAGCTCATCATCGACGCTGCGGTTGCTGCAGGCGTCAAATTCTTCTTCGCCAATGAATTTGTTGGAGATATCACACGTAAGGAGTTTACAAGATTGCCGGAAGCTTTTGTAGGCTCCAAGTGCAGGATTCGGGAGTATCTAGAGGAATTGGGTAGGGAAAAGAAGATGGCGTGGTCCAGCTTGAATGGAGGGCCGTTCTTCGATATGTGTAGGTTTTCCTCTGGGCATAGAGGCCTTGCTTTCTGTAAGAATAATACTAAACCATCTATTACAGGGCTCATGAAGGGACCTGCAGGCTTCGGTAAGCCATCCTATTCATCTATCTAACTCACTAGTCCAATCAACTCACCTTCCGTACCAGACATACCCAACCGCCACGCTCGTATCTACGGTACTGGAAACGAACCCTTATACTGGACCCCTCTTTCAACAATCGGCCTCGCAGCTGGCAACATGCTCCGCAACCCTCTTCCTATCGTCAACCGGCCCATTCTCATCTATCCCTTCCCCCACCTCACGCAAAACATGCTGCTGCACACCCTGGAAAAGCTTCTCGATGCGGTATTCAGCGTTGAACATGTTGATGTTGAGAAGATTCATAGGCATGCATTGGTCGTGCTGGAGAAGTGGAAGGAAGGTGGTGAGCAAGAAGAGGGAAAAGCGCAAATGGGCAAAGCAATGAAGGGACTAGCGATATCTAATCAGTTCTACGGAGGCGAGGACGATGTGAAGCATCTTGGCCAGGCTTTTCAGAACGAGATTGTTGGTGTAAAAACCATGCAGGTGGAGGACGCAGCAAGGGATGCGCTGGAGCAATATGGAAAAGAGTGCCAAGTTGTCCAGGGTATGTTCAACGTGGAGGCTTGCGACATTTGAACTGTACACTACTGTCATCATGTGGTTCAGGCTTGTGATATCATCAGCATTTCTGTGCTATAGAAGGAGACAACAAAGTGGGACGATATCGATTAGGATTAGGAGCAAAAACAAATCTCGTAGAGAAAGCTTTCGCATACTTTGTGGTGTATTTTTTCATGTTTTTCAAGCGTAAAGTGAGACTGCTGGTGCTGATTGATCAGCAATGCCGCTATCTATCTATTTATCGCTTGGGATGACCGCTATCAAGCGGCCCATGTCCGTATCTCTTTTACACTATGCTTCTGTACGTACGCAACGTACAACTCCAATTAGCTACCACCGTACCCTTGATAACCGCCTTGGTCCCCGCTCGGGCCTCGCTGCTGCCCTAGATCGGGATCCTCGAACGCCGCCGGGTCCCATTCCCATTGATCGAAAGTCGCCTCGTAAGGATTTCTATAGAACATATTAAGTGGCTGATCGAAATCCATTAAGTCAGCGTTGGAATCGTTCAAGTGTTCACTTCCGGAGACATTGTTGGAATAGAAGTTGCCTGTGTTGGATTGCGAGTAAAAGTCGTTGCTATTGAATGCATCAGTGGTCTGCCATACGACACCCGACTGTTGCAATGCAAGAGGTTGACTGTACCACTGATATTGCTGCTGCAACTCCAGGATCGTGTCTTGTGCCTGGCGTTGTTGTTGATGCTGATCAGTTGGCTGTGGCTGAGGTAGTTGCCGATGGGCCGCTTCTTGTTTGCTCTGCTTATTCAATACTCTAGCGACAACGTTGTATGCGCTCTCGCTGACTGCGTCGACCGATTTCATCGCACTCAGCCATCGTATAAGCTTGTCGATGCAGGATGTGACATGTGATTTTTCGACTGTCAAGTGGACACCGTCCAGCGACAGCTCAAGAAGTAGGACCGTAAGGGCTTGCATGACTACGCATGATGATTAGCCATGTCGATGACTATGGATCGGACAGACTTACTCATATGAACAGCACACCACCACGGACCGTTCTCGTAATACCACGCAGGGTTTGGGGGATCTGGCAATGTGGACGTAATATTCAGGGCTGCGCCTATGCAGGCCTCCGCAGTTTTCTGGTTGAATCGAATTGACTCTTCGCTCTGCCCCTTTATGCGCAAATCCAGCCGGCACAGACAGGGCCGAGTGATGCAGATCTTAGCGCTGTGGTAGTATAAATACAGTAGCAGCTGCTCTCGATTCAGATCGTACCCTGACGCATCGGCATTTGCTGCGGCTGGATCTCGAGACAGGGAACGCAAAGCCCAGGTTTCCAATTCGTCAGATAGCGAGGCGATCTCCTTCTGCGCAGCCTTCCAAGACTTGGCAGACTTCCGCGCGGAGTATAGACCAGACAGGATTTTGTCCATAAGAATGTCGAGCCTAATGTAGGCTACATCGAATGGATCCACACTTGCGTTGGGTGTGGTCCCACCAGCAGAAGATTCGGAGACTCGACTTCCTGTAGATGACATCGCATTTTCACGTAAAGGTGTCTCCATTTCAGTTCCTTTCGCGCCCGGTGGCGGTACTGTACAGTCTATGGCACTTACAGTGCGAGGACGTCCTGTTATCGAAGTAAGGACACATTCAATGGAGTAAAGCGACCACCAAAGCTGAGCTAGGGTCTTCCTCCTCTTAGGAGATATGGAAGGATCCTCGTGTCTCAGGTGCAGACCTGCAGCTTGTGCATGGCGGATAGCGATACCGATCATGTACCAAGCCCTGTAACCTCATCGTCAGCACGCACATATGTCGCATAGTTGACTGGGCTTTTATGCGCACCCTAAAGGTATTCGCTGTATGTTACGTCGTCGTTTTTGATTTCAAAACAGATCGAATACCTTGAGGGTGAGTTTCTCTGTGTGGTCGTAGTGAGACGTACCTGCTGACATGTCCAATCGTCAGATAGTACAGAGAGAGAAGTCCGAACGCCTGGACTGATATCAGAGTTACTCATTATGATCCCGAAAGGAGCCTACCTGTATCATTGTTTGATCTGGTTGCGCGACTAATGTGTTGAGGGACTGGAGCTGCAAAAGATGTACTGCTCTCCACATATACACTAAATGGTCGTGGTCGTCGGCCCGCCACTCTGCACCGACAAGGTGTGAGTAGCGTGCACCGATGGCGAAAACGAGGTTCATAACAGCTTTCCACTTTGGGCATACGGCCAATGTAGCACCTCGATCTCTCGTGAAAAACACGTGCAGCTGATGTTCGAAAATGTCATCTAGGATTGGGAATGGGCTACGTACGACCGCTTTATAGTAGTCGAAAAGACGATCGGCCGTATCAGCAAAAGGTATGACATGTGGGTCACCAATATCGATGTCGATGTTGGATTTGTCAAGATAGAAGTAGTAGCCAAGGAATTGGTCGTTGTCGGGGGATTGCCGGTTGTCGCCGTGCTCTTGACGCTCACGAAGTGCTTTAGCACGCTGATTGAAAGCATCTCCCTCGACCCCAGGCGGCCCATATGGCAAACCAGAGGACTCGCGTTCGGGATGTTCGATCTTGGTTTCAAGGGCTCGGAGCCATTGGACTTGCGAGTTGCGCCCCATGTAGCCCGTGTTGTCTGCGTCTTCGGTGCGCAAAATGTCCTCTTGGACAAAATCTAGGTCTTCGTTGGAGCCGACAGAAGCGGAGACATGAGCTTCTCCGCCCTCTGCAGAGATGGTACTTCGAGCGTCGCCATTGGCATGAGATGATGAAGCTCTCCTTGCCCGCTTACCACGTGATAGCGCAGGAGTTGGCGGAGGAGGAGGCGTGTCATCTTCGAAGGATGCCAATGTTTCCTCAATCTTCTTCTGGCTCGCCTCGTCGAGCTGGCCGCTGAGATCGAGCAAGAGCTCGGTCAATGCGTGCGATTTACGCTGCGCTCTTTTACTTGTCAGACAAAAAGGTAGAGCAGATTGGCAATGACATGGACAGACCCTTTGAGGCGGTCCTTGCGCTCTAGATCGTAGTGACAACTATGGTGGTGCTTGTCACAATTGTCACAACGCGGACGAGCACCAGAACATTTGATCTCTGGGTATGGTCAGCAAGCCGGAGCTGAGCGAGATATAGATAAGAGTTCAGGCCCACTTCGTTTGCGACACTGAGTGCACTAGCGGAAGTCAGTCCCGGCCCAATCGAAATAGTCAAAGGCTTTTACTTACGGCTTTGCTCACGACTTCGCTGCGGGCTCGAGGGGTTCGTGTGGACGGCGGGATCTGATAATTCTGGCCAGGTATTCTCGGGATAGCCACCTTTGGCACCCCGGACTTGGGGCCCTCGGGCGGATAGCGGCTGTGGTTCATTTCCTCTGCTTGCAGTTATGGTGTTGTTAGAGAGGAGATGCAGAGCACGTGCAAGACACCAACGTCGCGCACGGACACGGTATCAGCCTGATGGAACAAGAGAAGGACTAGGGAAATGTGTCGTGGTGACGGAACGCAGCATTGCAGTGCCAGACGTCTCTATGCGACGACATATATGGGACTGCTGAGTAGTTTCCGGGTCGAGGAAGGCGCTGATTAGGTGCGGTCCTTTAGGCCGTGGGCTACCCAGCGGCAAGATGGCGACGTCATGCTGAGTACAAGTAAGCAGGCTCGTAGGCGAGAGAATAGAACTCCGAGAGCGCTGGACCACACCACATATAGCAACAGATTGCAGAACGCAAAGCCACTCGTGTCTGGCAGGCGAGCCACTGTCCATGGATTGGAACTTACCCCTCCTCAGTCCTCGCAGCCAGCGCGCGGCCTTTCTTCGGCGGCGTCCTGCCATGAGCCTGCAGCATATTGTGGGCACAGGAGCTTGCGAAGCTTGTCACGGCCGCATCACAAAAGTAGGTAAGGCCTTTGCTGATCTTGCGCGAGCTACCTGATAAAACGTACTTGGACCTGCACATAATCTAACATGTTCAGTGTTCGACCGAACGTCCCCAATGCTCAGAGTGTCAGAAGCGACACACTCCATGCAACTACACTCAGCCTCCGGTCCGGCCCGTCGCTACCAGACGCAGACACCATGGCCAGGTGCATTCTACGGACGCCAGCCGTGCACACCAGCGCATCTTTGCCCACCTGCGCACCCAGCCCCGGCCTATCGCCCATGAGATACTTGGCCTACTTCGTCGCGGCACCGACGTGCATGCGGTTCTACGCTTCCTCGAGTATGGCAGCCTCCGCCTCCAGCTCATGCTGGTCCCGGATACGACTTACCAATTCACCCTGCCCTATCTTGCTGACATGATGCCACTGTTTGACAGCACAGACAACCCGTATCTGACCTCAAGGCTGTACAAAGCCCTGTCGCACGACACTGCCCACCACAGCACCGAAATCCAAGAGCATACATACCACGCCATCTACCACGTGCCCTATCCCGGCGCCCGCATATATGATCCTCGAATGTCCCCAGAGTCCCTGAAGCCCTCTAGATGGACACCGATCAGTCATGACGACGTCTTTCTTACCCGCCTTCTCGAGGACTATTTCCTGTACGAGTATCCTCTCTGGCCCTGCTTCCACAAAGATCACTTCCTCGACGACATGGCCACTGGAAGAAATGATTACTGTTCACCGCTTCTTGTCAATGCCATTCTCACCATAGCCTGCGTATGTTCCACCTTCGTCTCCTCTTTCTTCTTGACTGCGAGTTAACATGTGGAACAGCTCGGAGCGGGTTCGCTCAAGCAGAGATCTGAGTTCTGGAACCCCAACACCTACAGCTGTCGGTGCTTGGCTGAGACCAGACGACTGTGGGAGCTGCAAAAATCGCAGCAAGTGTATAACCTCACATCCGCCCAGGCAGCGACCATCCTAGGCCGAATTCATTTTGCCAATGGTATGGATGAGATGGGTTGGACGACATGGACATACGCGCTAGAGCTTGCAGATAGACTAGAGTTATTTGCTAAGGTCGCGGAATACAAAACCGAAAAGGATCGCGTTTCAAGGACCCTTACAGCATGGGGCATTTTTTCTCAGCAAGCGTATAGACTTACCCGACCCCTTTTCTTCCCCTCGTGATGTTCTCTGATAAAGGTTCAGGTTCTCTTGCTTTTACCTCATGAAGCCCCCACTGTCCCGAATCCCGCCTGAGGATGGCTTGCCCGACTATCGAGACGCACAGAATTTCTTTGGCGAAATTTGGGTCAAATACCCTCTTGTAACACATCTGGTATGTCGTAATCTCCAAAGGAGCTAGTTTCCCTTGAGTTGTACTCATCACTTGAAGTTTACCCTGAAGATATACCCCATGTTGCCCTTTCAGTCCTGTTAACGAACTACTAGACCCCCATCTGTCTGGGTCAGACTTTCCTGGCGCTCATCAAGCTGAGATGCATCATGAATAACATAGCTGGAAAGGCTCTTTCAGAAGGCGAAGGACAGAACCATCTCAGCCTTCAGCAGGCCGGCCGTTATCACACCATGCTGGTCCAATGGTTCTGTGATCTGCCAGAGCCGCTGCAGTCTCACAATATTGCCATGCCATCACAAATTCTCCTACAGTAAGATTTGACTTCTCTTGCACGGGAGAATAACTAACCTTTGTGTCACAGTATGCAGTTTCATAACCTTGTAAATTTGACTTTTCAGCCGTTCCTGCAGCACGGGACCCCTCTCGACCAAACGCACAATAGAGGAGCATTCGAGATTGATGCCAGTTTCAGCCCAGCACGGTTGTATGCCGCCTCCAAAGCGAGTCTTCAAACGCTTTTTCACATGTTTTACCACCGCCACGGCTTCGAAGCATATTATATCTTTCTACTCCCAATCCTCGTTCAGCTGGGCTTTGACTCGATAGAGCGCCTGCGTACTCCGGAGGCGCAGCAAGAGTATTTTCCGCCCATAATGAAAGCCACCAGAGCCACACTCATATTGTGCGCTAAGGGCTTGCGCGATCAAGGCCGAAACTTTTTTCTATCCGAACTCGTATTCCACATCCTACAAGATAAGATGAACCCTATTGATGTGAAGTTGCTCAAGGACTGGGCACGCATCGAGGGCGAAAACAAGAGGGAAAAGTCGGTGCTAGAGCACGTGCATAGCGAGTACCCTGTGAATGTGAAGTCAATTATCTCTGATCCTACTGACCGACGTCTCAATGGGCTGTTGCAGTCCATGGGTGACCTCAAGCTCCCTAACGACACCGCCGAACCAACTCCGCAAGACAGAACATCGAGGACGTGGCGAAGCATCGTATTCCCACCGCTCAGATAAGATTAGATAGCATACATAATCAGCATCAAATACAGTACACAATATACTATTCATAATGCCAGTTATGACTTTGGCTGTCAGTGTCTTGGTACGCCAATACGCTCTTGTTGTATCTGCTCATTGCCACACGTTCGAGAACCGCTTGAACTTTGTTCTTAACCCGAGAAATCCACTTCCTGGTTAGCAGTCATCATGGGCGGCCTTGCCCGCGACTGGTCTTTTAGATTATCGTGGCAAACTCTTACATGCACTCTGCACGCAGCCGGATCGAACACCGGAGCCAACAGTATGTTCGTATACGCAAGTACAAAACCGGTATCCGTCACAAAACCTTTGCTCCGCTGTTCAACCCTATCTTGTTAATTCGAATCGAGAGAATTGTAGCGAACTGCAGTCTCAAAATAGCTGTATAGGCGTATCGATGATATCTCTGCATGTGCAGCGCAAGAGCCCAACTCTCCGTAGGAAAGGGTCTGGAGACTGGCTATTTCCGGATGCGAATCCGGGTTCTATTATATACGTCGCAATCACAGGGTGTCGCAAGCGAGCCATGTCTGTAATGAAGGTTTGATTCAGCACTATCTTCAATCTTGCGGGCATCTCCCTTCCCCCTATTGGCTTTTCTTCTTCATTGCCAATTTTCTTTCACGCTTGTCAGCTATTCGTTGAAATATGCTGCCATCGTATACTGCACGAATATCCTCCTTGTCGTTGTTAGTATCGAGATCAAACCAATAGATGATCCGATGTGTTACATACCTTCATCATCCGACCGTCTTCAGGCCAAAGCGTGATGTACGTTGCAGTCCCTATCCAAGGTTAACATTTTCTCTCACGCCGCTCAAGAACGGACAAAGCTTACATTCGAAGATGAAGCCGCACATTCCGATCGGATCATTGATATTCCTCTGCCCCTTCAACACATTGACCAAGTCTCCCACGGTCAAATAGTCTCGCCCATCGGCATATTTGGTAAAAATTTCTTCGAACTTCGAAGGGATGAACCTTCCTTCTGCATCGTAGGTGCCCGTATCACTGCCGTGTCTCGCTCTATGCACATTGTGCAAGAACAGACGGAAGAAAGGATCCGGAAGCCATCCTGAACACGTGGGATACGAAAAGTTGATATGGATGACCAAGACGGCGAAAGCCGAGAAGAAAAGCCCGCAGCCTAGGCGGTAGAAACCGACGAAAGTGTCTTGTGGCCAGAGAATACCATCATGATCTCGGTCGAAGAAGTCGCAGTGTTGTTGCAGGACTGTTTGATGCGAATGCTTCTTTGCCCAGTCGTCTTGCGTACTGCCTTCAGGCGATTCTTCCGACGGGGCGAGATTTGCGCGCGCAACCGCTATTTGCAATTAGTACAATGGCGTAGTAGCAATAGCGCAACACGCTTATTCGTACCTGCGTGTTGTAGACGAGAGTTTTTGCTACTGATATATGGCTTCCTTTCTTCGGTGATGGGTACGTTGTGGATCGAGTAGACAGGTACCCTGTCGTCTTCCCCACATTCCGCATGTCCATTGATTTGGTCCATTTTTGCAATCATAACGGCAACTTTTTTGGTGGTGAATTAGAGGAGTTCTCAAGAGACAAAAGACAGCAAGATCAAAAGAAATGCCCTAGCTGTTCGCCCTTTTGCTGCCACGAAGACTGAGCCGCATGTTCCTATTGGATCAAGGGCTCACCATGACGTCAATGACTCTGGAAACAGTCTTGGTATGGCAGTGCAACATGTCAAAAGCGTCTCGCAGGATTGTGGGTTATGTTCAGAAACATCAAGTCTTCACTGTCGTCAGTGTGATGTGTGCATCGTAGCAATGAAAGCACGCGTGTGCGTACATGCTACTCGTTGTTTTGCGGCTATCCTTCGAGATGCAGTTCCGCGGCCAATCATTGGAATCCAACCCTGTTCCTCAACCGCGCCCTGGCTTGATCTTCAGGCACCGTTTGATTAACACAGTGAGTCCGATTCGGCTAGCGCGATGTCGCGGATGAATGACGCGCATGCACGGGACCGCGGGAACACGCGCCTTCTGGATGTCGCGTCTGCATCGCATTCCTCTATTCAGGATGCACATTGCCCTTGTCAAAGATTGCCTCATTCATCTGATGTGAGTCGTCATCCGCCATGTCGTCACCATCGCCCGACTTCCTTTCGTCGCAATTCTCGATAACCTCGCCGCGTCGCATACCCAAGTCCGCGTTTACGTACAAGCAGCTGCACCAGCTCAAGACGTACAACCCGCAGACACCCCTCCGCGTCATCGCGCACGTCGACCTCGATGCCTTCTACGCGCAATGCGAAACCGTCCGCCTTGGCATCGATCCCTCCAAGCCCCTCGCAGTCCAGCAATGGCAGGGCCTTATAGCAATCAACTACCCCGCACGCGCATTTGGACTAAGCCGACATGTCACTTCGACGGAAGCGTTGAAGCAATGCCCCGACCTGATACTACAACATGTCGCGACATGGAAGGAGGGCGACGAGAAATGGGCATACCATGAAAATAGCTTCAAGGACATGGCAACGCACAAGGTCAGCCTGGACCCGTATCGCATGGAGAGTCGCAAGATCTTGAAATGCATAAAGGATGCTTTACCAGAAAAGGAACAACGCGTAGAGAAAGCAAGTATCGACGAGGTCTTCATGGATCTGAGTGCCCAAGTGTACACGATATTGCTGGAGAGATATCCTGAATTGAGAGGACCCCCGCCATACGATGACTCGTCAGAACGACTGCCCAAAGTACCTACAACCGTCTTGGATTGGGCGGCTGACGCGCTTGTTGAGACAGGTGAAGAAGACGGAGAAGATAGGGATCCAGATTGGGATGACGTGTGCATGGTCATCGCATCCGAGATTGTACGAGATGTGAGGAAACAGATCAAACAAACACTGGGTTATACGTGCTCTGGGGGAGTCGCAAGGAACAAGATGCTGTCAAAACTAGGATCAGGGTATAAGAAACCGAATCAACAGACTGTTATCCGGAACCGCGCTATCGAGCACTTTCTTTCCGATATAAAGTTTACCAAAATCCGAATGCTAGGAGGTAAACTAGGAGATGAGGTCGTCGCAATGTTTGGTACGGATAAAGTCAAGGACCTTGTGCAACAGCCAATGGATCAATTGAAGAAGCTAGGTGATGACACAGGCAGTTGGATATACTCCATCATTAGAGGTGAAGATAATAGCGAGGTCAATCCGCGTACTCAGATCAAAAGCATGCTTTCGGCAAAATCCTTCAGACCCGCTATCAACTCATTCGAGCAGGGCGTGAGGTGGCTGCGCATCTTCGTGGCCGACATATTCTCACGATGCGTAGAAGAGGGTGTGCTGGAGAACAAGAGAAGACCCAAGAGCATCAACCTGCACCACCGCCAAGGTGCGCAAACGCGGAGTCGACAAGCACCGATACCCCAGGGCAAACCACTATCAGAAACCATACTATTCGATCTCGCCAAAAATCTATTGGCTCAAGTAGTCGTTGATGGGAGAGCCTGGCCATGTGCTAATCTCTCCTTGAGCGTCGGAGGCTTCGAAGATGGTATCACGAACAACAAAGGCATCGGTGGTTTTCTAGTTCGGGGTGAGGAAGCAAAGGCCATGATGTCGACTGGTAGAGCTATGACTGGTGGAGGCGAACCTCCAGCAAAGCGAAGAAGGACAAAAGGAAATATTGCCAACTTCTTCGGCCCAAGGGACGAGAAGAAGAAAGATTTTGATGAAGCGAGGGCAGTCCTTTGGAAAGCACATAGCGAGTCCACGCGAGATGGAAGTGGGGACGAGGCAGAAGAGACAGGGGAAGATCACGATCCATCCCGCGCACAACGAAGTCATGAATTAGACCGACCTTCAACACCGACGCTGGAGCGCCAAAGCTCGGATATGGATCTTTATGCCCTAGGAACACCGCCCTCAGCTCAACCTCAGCCTGCTTCTCCCTCTCCTCCACCGCCACCACAGAACCACGACCCGGTAACACCAGTCCCTCGTTCCAGACCTATAGCCCAGCAAAAATCTATCGACAACTATTTCTGTTCTCGTTGTAATCTCCACCTTCCGCTGGCGGACAAGCCCGAACATGAAGACTACCACTTTGCGCTCGATCTGTCAAAGGAGATGCGGCATGAAGAGAGAAATCTCCCTACGCTCTCTGCAAGAAAAGGTGTGGGCGGATCGAAGCCTTCCAGAGGGCGGGGACGACCACCGGGAAGTGGAAGAGGAGAAGCGATTGAGAAGGGCCAGGCGAAGCTAGCTTTTGGGAAAGGAAGTTGATAGTTGTGGGTGTTTATGATACGTCAACGTTTATGATGATACCTACTATTTGAGCATCAATGTTTCATACGTCGAGAACTTGTACATAATTCTGCCGTCATCCAGCTTAAAGAGACGTCGTTGACACATGCGCATCATATGAGTGGTCATATGCTACTACATTTACTGACCAAATGAGCACGCTTATATTGGTCATTCGACTGGATTGACTACACAACCTCAAAGTTCAGCCTTACCCACGGCATCTCCTCGCTCCCTTCTGGCATCCTATACGTGAAGTTCCAAAACTCAAAGTCGCTGTGTTAGGTTAGCATATAGCCTTCTCTCTGTGTGGACGGTAGTCCTGATAGAACTTACTTGATAACCTCACCAGCTCCGCCAAACAGCCCATTGAATGTAACATCGGGTTCTAGATCCACAGATCCGGTAACATTGACTTGAACACCCTCTACATCCGCCCAACCTGCCACATCCCTCTTACCATCCCAGCCGTTCGTTCCCACCAAGAATGAAAACGCACTTGATGCATTCCCCACCGGATACTCAAGTTGCAAGCTTCCCTCTTCAACCGCCACATCCAAAGCCAAACTCTGAGCATACAAACTCATCCAGCCCACACTACCGTCCTGCCTCTTCCACTGCACGACTGCTGGATTGAAAGAGTTCTGGTTTTTAGCCGGGCCACCGACGACAGTTTCGTTGAAGGATTCAGCACCGATGGTCAGATCAGGGGAGAGGTAAGCCGTGATATTTCGCGGCTCATAGTCGTACGGTGGAGAGAATGCGGAGGTCCTAACAGTATGTGTGCCTGGAAACTTGGACAGAGATGAGAGCGTGGCGTTTGGAACTAGCGTGTTATGGTAGGGCGCCAGAATAGCAATTAGGGGGCCAATCGCGAAGTCATCCTTATGGCCCATGGCGTACGGCTAGAAGGGTGTTAGGAGATACGGTAGAAGGAAAATAGAAATGGAAATGGAAATGATGCTTCATGCATACCTTCTTGTTAATAGGTGCCATCTCCTTGCCCACAAGCGTCCACATTTGCAGCGCTAAGATACTCAGATACTTGTTCATGTCGAACCCATATGCGCGATCCCACGGCCCAGCCACGTTCTTCATGTCCGCATGATACAATTCTCCCAGTACGGACCAGGTATCGCGAAGCATTCTTGGTCCATACTCGCCCATCAGACTGTCGTTTGGCATATACTTCGCCCAAAGCGTAAGCGCAAACAGCGAAACACCAGCGTAGGTTCCAGAATTGAACTCGGAAAGTGTGTTGTCTCGGACAAACAGGTCGATAATTTCTTTCGCGTAGTTCTCGCCTGCGATCGTCATATTGGAGTCGTTGGCGCGGCGACCGACGTAGCCAGAGACGAAGGCGCGCATGATGGAGGGGTTGCTGTAAGCCGGGTACAGATTATCGTCGTCGACGCCGCCAACGCGGTAACTGTCTCCGATGGTGGTGTTGAACAAGCTTTCCATCATGTAGTCTTGGACATCTTGGGGGAGTAGATGAGAAAATTCCTCTAGCATGACGACGAAAGTCGTGCCAATGAAGCCGCGCCAGTTGGGATCCCACGAGTTGTAGATCTCAGCTGGGTATTGTTCTGTACCTACGGCTGGCTCCTCTGGATATTTTTGGTAGTCGCCAAACCTTCAGTTATGTTAGCAACGGCATCTAGAAGAGGAGCTGGATGATCTCTTTTGCTGCAAAACTCACCATTGTTGACTTTCGTTTTTGAATTGCCCTCCGATGACATTCTTCACGATCCGTACTGCCTGCTCAACGTCATCGGCTTCGTTGCGCGCCAACAAGCCAGCTGCATACCAAACGCTCGCTCTGGTCTCGTGTGTCAGAGCAGCAGCATCCAAGCTGAACAGATATGCTCTTTCATTATCGTAATACATGTCCATCCAATCCATCGACTCATGTAACAGGCCCGTCGCATACGTTTCCGTATCATTGCGTAGGACTAGACTACCACGAGCAAATGCATGTTCAGCCAGGAGCGCCGAAGCCACCCAGAGCCTTGAGATTCCAATCATGCTGGATGTCGCGAAGAGCAGAAGGTAGAGAGTTTGGCACGCGACATGACGCTGGCCATGATGCAGCTGCAGTGATTGCGGGCCAAGCGTAGCATTACGGTAGTTTCTCCGCTGTGTTTACATGAAAGCCGAGGGCTTCGGCATATGCTACTGCGAGATAACGGTGACTTCGGCCTTGTTGTTCTATCGCGGTTGTGTTAGGGCCGGATAATTGTGTTGCTAGCGGGGGAAACTGCGGGATTCAGATGCCAATGTGGAAGGCGAGGCTATGACTCGTGGTCACAGATGTGGCCACAGATGTGACAAAACAGCATGACTAACCAAGCTTTCAAGTCGCGGTCGCTGCCGCGATGTGGCTTGCACAGCTCGTTCTAACGAGTAGATTAAACGGTTCCGTGTCTCCTAGATTGCGCGACTAGCTTTCAGAGATCTAACCATGTGGTAACAGAAGGGCCGAGCCGCTTCACCTGCTGAACGTGATGAATCGTAACACCCTGCGAGGCTGCACGACTGCCTTTGACTCTAGACGTGACGAGGCTTCATGAGCCCGCGCAAGTCATAGGTTTTCGACCACGGCCTTGTGTTTCAGAAGATACGAACATGACCATCAGCCTGAGCATATGCGCTAACTCACGTGAGTACAGACAGACTTGAGCAGACTTCACTTGTAACACACTGCATAACATCGACAGGCACAGTCCGGCTGTCGGCATGAGATCTGCAACAGTCATGTGGGAATAAACAGGAAATGGCGCAAGAGGATTGCCGTAGCGTACTGATGATCGTGTCGATCGGCGGGTAGAGGCTGAACGAGAGATCATCACGGCAAATGCAAGTCATTGTGGCGTTGGGCATGTTGTAACAAGCAAGCTGAGAATCAATTCGAAGAAGCCTGGACACAATGAGCGACAGTGGTGGCTTCACCGCGAGGCTAGAGATAGCACATCGAAGAAGACGAAACTGAAGCGTTAGTGTATTGAGTGGGACCGAGAAGCGTCTGGTCGCAACCCGGTACGTGATCAAAATCGCATAGGCGAACACAGTGATGTTTCCTTCTACGCATGCTGTGCATGCGCAGATAACCGTTCATTCGTAAACATCGACTTCGTGGAGCAACGTCCGTGTCGTAGGTATATACATAGCAAGAAAAGCAGAATCCGGAAATTGATGCATTTGCATGATAGTGATAGCCAGAAGCGGAATGAATGTCCCGATAGAGGCTATAAGATCCATGGCAATAATTGGTTCCGCATCCCGCAGAGCAAAGATCCAGTCGTATGAGGAGAATGAGAAATGAAACCCAATTTCCCAATTAACGTACATAACATCAGACACAAAAGGAAAACCGGAAAGTAAATGTTCCTTTGGGCTGCTCAACCGGGCTGGAAGAGGTATAGGTCCATGGCTTGAGATCCTAAGGAAACAAATGTCTATCCGGATGCTTTTGGTAATGGCAAACTCCTTACGGTACCCGGATGGTAGAAGATGGATCCATTAAAAAATTAGGCTGGCCAGACTCCAGAGCACCATCCAGTAGCTTGGAAAGAAAGGGTATCTCCGGGCGCGATATATCGACGCAGGAACAATAACAAGGCCGTAAGACGGAGATGTACTCTATCTCGTACTGTACCTAGAGGTGCCGGACTGTGGATTGCGCGATGATTGTGGCTGTTGCGATAAGGGATATTCTACACAAGACATGTCAGTTGTGGAGTAGCGCAACGACCCAAATCACTTACGACGACCATCCGAGGCAATGTAGTAGCCAGGAGCGGCTGCTGCGGCACTAACTGGGGCTTAGCGATAGACCAAATAGGGTTCGTCATAGTAACCAAAATACCTTGGATTAGAGTATGGAGTCGTCTGGGTAGCCGGCTGGCGTCCATATGGGTCTGGAGTCTGCGCTGGGTAAGAGGAATAAGCAGATTGCGCAGGGTAATCTCTTCCACTGGGCTGCTGGTAAGATGAGTATGGATCCGCTGGCTGAGTCCTGGGTGCAGCAGAAGCAGGTGAAGTCTGGTATCCTGGATGCGAGCTTCCATACACGGATGTGGGAGTCGTGGTGTAATGGGGATCACTGCTACCATAGCCTGAAGACGCATACGTCGTCGCTCTAGACGACGTTGACGACTGGCGAGGAGGCTGATCATAGGGATCCGCCGCCGCATGAGACGAGCCGTGTTCGTACGGTTTCGTCGGACCCCAATGCTGACGAGCAGCATGTGTACGGGAATCCTGATAAGCCACTAATGAAGCGTTAGGGCCCCCTGGTTTAGTAGTGCGCACTTGAGGACTATGGCTACCTCCACGTCCAATTTCGCCTGGCTGGCGTTCCTGTTGCCAACGTTGTGAATCCATTTTCAAATCCTGTATCATTTGCTAGGGAGAAGGGTTAGCCTTGTGCGCGACCACGGTCCGATGGCGACTCAACATACCGATGTAAGAGTTCGATAAGCGGTTATCCAGTAGCCTGGCTGGCCCTATGTGAGAGTTAGTCTTCCGTAGAGGTGGCGTTGAACATAGAAAATAAGTGCGGACCTGGTACTCTCCGGTGCCTGTGCCAGGCCTGACGAGCGCATCTGGGCCCAAGTAGCGCTGGATGTCGGCCGTGATGACTTCTCTCGCGATTCCATCGCCAGGCACAAACCACTGATTTGCGCGCGACATGGTTACTGAGAGGCGTGTGGAAAGGGGACGAAAAGAAAGATGACAGTGATGTCAATGCCAGAAATGGGGCCAAGCTATGGGAGCTAAGATGGAGGGGCTCTAGGCACCAAGGTTACGGGCAAAACAGGTGGGTGTCCGAGGTCTATGGTGTCCAGAGAGATTCCAGAAGAGAGATGTTCAGAGACGCAGGACGCAGAAGCGGGGTTTTGACCAATATACCGGCTCCTTGGGGGGTCTGGCCTGTGACAAGTGGACCTTGACGGCGTGGCTGAATGCAGCTTCCTGGTGGGGGCGATCACAGCAGGTACTCGGAAGTAGAGGGGACTACGCTCGAAGCAATATGCACACTCTGACAGGCAATGCTCAGGGTACGGGCGACGGGAAGAGTACTTGTTGAAGTGCTCGTTATGGATGTGTCTCGTTCAGAGCCGCAACTGAAGAAGAATGGCTTGCAGTGGGTGCGGGGTGTGATTGGCCGATGGCGCGACTGGCGGTAGATGCAAGACGCAGGTCAAGCGGTTGGGCAGCACACTGGCGGCAGGCTTGTGACGCTGGTTTGGCGGGATAGAGGAAGGCCGGTTTCGTCGAGATGCGATGGGAAAGCAGCAAGAGGAAGAGAAAAGAAGACGAAAAGAGCGGCGTACCGTCGGCAGCCGATCTAATTATTCGGATGGGCCAAACGTCTCCATAGCTCGAGCTTCTGGTGCGATTCGCACAGTGTGGAGACGACCTGGGCAGCCCTCAGGTGGCGTCGCTTGGGCATCAACTGCGAAGATGCCCGAGACCAGCCTGACCCTTCTCAGCTCTAGCACCTGTGGTGCAAACGGGCATCGTCGCTTGTCAGCACGCTGATTATTCTTTACGGAACGCGATTTTGCTCGTGATTGGGCGAATTAAAGACAAAAGGGCAGCGCCCAGGTGTTTTCAAGGTTCGCCCGTGGTGGAGAGACTTTCGGGGCTAGCCGCTGGCATTTTTACAGACATTTCTTACCTGCCCGCCGGTGAGCCCTGCATCATCTCACCCCAACAACAACCAAGACTTGTCCCTGGTCCTTCGCTTCGGCCAGCTGTGACGTTGTGAGGCCACAGCCTGACGCATTGCTTCGGTCCAGACAGGCTTCACCGACTCGATGCCGCCGTGGTGCAAACCACACCCGCCAGTCCCGGGCACCGCCAACTCATGAGAGCGGCCGAGCCCAGCGTGCACGATGCGACCGCCCACACACATCTCTCTGCACATCCTTCTTCACAGCATCATCGCCTTCGCACACTGAACTATGTACAGGCCCTATCCTCGAGCTTGCAGAAACTTCAAACGTAGTCGCCTATAGGAAGTCTTCCCTCTACCGCACACTAACGATCCATTCCTCGTGCTTCCTCGTCGTGGCTGGTTCTCATTAGTCGAAAATCCAGACCTACCGCTCCAGCACAATCTTCGTCAGGCACCCATCAGGTCCGCGGTCCGCCAGCACGGCACGTGTTTTCGTGTCACCACATTGCTGCGACGTACAATGATGCGCAGCCCTTGATCACACGCAGCCTGTCGTGCTGCCCAAGCCAGGACACACCCGATTCTGCAGCGCTCATCGCGACCGAACTCTATATCTTCATTGCCGTCGACCGTCTCTGTCATTTCCATAAGTTGCCGTCAGAGTAAACTTTAAACTTGGCGGCATTTGTAGTCGTGGTCGAGAACTTCAGGCGAAAAGAGAAGGAGCTTTGGGTCAGGCGGTAACCCCATCTCCCACGATCGTCATAGCCTCAGACACTCCTCACAAAGGGTTTCATCTGAACATTTCTTTTTGCTTGTTGACATTCCCCATGTGGAACCAGGTACCCGCACCTTCTTTTCTTCTCCGTTGCATCCGCATCCGTCAGGGTGCCCGACCCACCAGTTGAGCCCCGATGCCATCGTGGCATCCCAGCCACCTGGGGTACCATACCTCACAACTTCAAACAGCACTTCTCTTGTCGTCCCCAAAAATGACAGAGCATCCCAGTCCGGCCATCTCGGACCCAAGGATGCATTCTGCCGCTGCTTGGCCGTGCAGTTGACATTGACCTTGGGCGCTGATGCTTCCGCTCTTGTCGCGAGCGGCCCGAATGGTCCCGGGAACTGCTCTCGAAGATATGGGCGCGTGGGGGTGGTCGTGTCTACGGTCGTTCTACGCATCGAATACGCCTCTGTCGACTTCCACGTGTTACATTAATGGCAGCGAAGGGTATAGTGATTGCCATGTAGTATAGCGCAGGTACAATACCAATATCAATATCAAATCCACACCTATAGAACCGCGCATCACGCGATTCCCGCGACACCGCTAGGATACCTCCGGGTCAACGACGATCTCACTCTGTTCAGGTGACCGATTACGAATATCAAAGGCTCATTCGAACGCTATAACACTGCCTGATACAATGCCGCGGTATTGGGCTCTGATGGATGGAACAAGCAACCGTGTCTCCTTCCAGCCTCGGGCACTCTTCCTAAATAAATGCATCGTGTTCACTGTCCTCCAGTAATGGCTTGCGGAGGTCATTGTCTTCAAGGCTTCCAGAGACGCGTAATCAGGCTTCGCATGGAGATCAGCTTGGACATTCCCGTTGGGCGTAAAGGTCTTTCATAGATGTCTAACGTGCTATCTGAAGTCGTAATCGTATCGTATCTCTCGTCTCGAGGCCAACTGCCGACAGCTCAACCAAGCCTTCAATAGATTTGATAAACAGATCATGATCCGTATCAGGAAGTTACATGTCCACAATCGTTGGCGACTCGCGGCTCGCCATAAGAAGACAAAATCAAGGGGTATCTGGGGGGTATAAGGTGTACATCTCGCTGAAACGACAGGCCAAGGCCTAAACAAAACGCCGTCGTAGATGCCGTGTCCCAGCATAGGTATCATAAGAAAGAAGAAATGGGTATTTTGTTCTGGGTCATGCAATTTCGTGAAGCGATTAAAAGGTGAGAGAAGCAGAAGAGTAAACGTCGTCATAGGTGAACAGTTTAAATGAATCGTGGTAGGTGCCGAGACGTGATTTTGCCGCAACGTCGTAAATGTCGTTAGAAGATGTGTAAGGCCAATCAAGGTTCGTGGCGTGTTCAGCAGTGTCGTCAATGTGCGTTGTAGGAGCAAGTCGTTATGGGAAGTGTGCGCAGTGACCGGCAGGCTCAATACATGGGCTCGTTGACAATTCCAACCCAATCTTCGAGGAATGACATGGCCACAGACATGCGTTGCGCAATCTGCTCCGACACCCATGAATTGCCAATGTTCATGCCGATGGGAATGTCACCAAAGAGGTCACGACCATTGCCGTGAGCACCACTGCGGCTAGCCACGTTACCATGGCCACCACCGAAACCGACTCCGTTCGCGTTCTTCCAGGTAGCTAGCTCGGCTTGGAGAATGAGTGACCAGACTGCGAAAAGCACAGTGGACAAAATGGGAATCCAGCCTGCGAATCGAGCCCTTTTAGCCCGCGGAGCCATGACAAGGGTTGTCTTGCCTATTACACGTTCTTCGGCAGGGTCATTGTTTGTATGCGCCTGAGCTTCGGTCATAGTATTGGGACGCTCTGGTTCGGGCTCGGGAAGAGTCTGCTCGACAGGTTTGATTTCGCGAGTGACCATAACGGGAGTGATATGGTTGTTGGGCTTGGCAGTCGTAATCTGGGTGCTCGGTTCGATTGGGGTCGTTGCGAGAGCCGTGTGAGTCAGGAGCTGGCTCGTGAGCGCAGGTGCGTCGGTCTGGGCGGGCGATTCGGTGGTTGTGGGCGCATCGGTCTGGGTGGAGAAGTTGTTGGTAGTAACAGGCGCGTCGGTTTGGGTAGAAAATTCAGCGCTGGTGATCTGACGGGCAATCGGACGCGTGCTAGCAGCTTCAGTCACGTCCACAGTGAGCAGTGGAAGGCTAGGCTCTTTCGGCGCAAAGTCGGCAATCTCGTGTCTGGAAATTGTGGAGGCAACAGACGCAGGCCGTTTGGGCGCGAAGCTCGCAACGTCGTACACGTCGTCGAAAGCGAGGGTATCGCGAGCTGGCTCAATGGGCTCAGTACTGACTGATTTCTGTTCATGCAGGCGCAGAAGCGTACCAGCGGGCTGTTTGGGCGCATAGCTAGCGATGTCATGGACATCAACCATGGAGAGATGAGCGCGAGGGGGCTCGATAGGCTCGGTGCTTGCTGCGTTCTGAAGGGAGTAATCCAGAGGCACACCAGCAGGCTGGTCAGGCGCATAGCTCGCGATATGATTAACATCGACAATGGAGAGGGGAACGCGAGCAGGCTCGACAGGCTCAGTGCTGGCCACGTTCTGGAGGGAGTAGTTCAAAGGCGCAATAGCAGGCTGGTCAGGCGCAAAGCTGACAATATCTTGCACGTCGCATAAGGAGAGTTCAACACGAGGCGGCTCGATAGGCGAAGTGCTCAAGGTCGTGTAGAATCCGGTTGTTTGTTCGGGCACCCTCACGGCTTTAGGCGCGGTGCTGGCGGCCTCGCTGACGTCGATGGTGGACGGCGGCACTGGCATTGGATCGCGGGGTTCCACACTGGCGGCATTGCTTACAGCAATGGCGTGTATGGACGTCTTGACAGCCACGGGCTCAGTGCTGCCAGCCTTGTTGACAACGATAGAGCATGGCGGTGCGGGGGCTGGGTTGCGAGGCTCCACGCTGGCGGCCTGGCTTATATCAATCTGGCTCTCAGGTACACGTGCAGCAACAGGCGTGACACTGGCAGCTACGTACACGGCAGAGAGTGACTGTATCTCAAGCTCGTATTCGCTGGGCTCGCAGTCGATAAAGTCGCTCTCGTCGAGCATCAGGCTAGAAAATTCATCTTCGAGTGTGCCTCCCAAGCTGCCGATATGCCTTTGGTCGTCGACTGGAGAGGCAGCGGCCGTTCGAGCAGCTTCGTCGGCGTGGTGAAGGGTGCGCTGCTGCTCCTTCTGAAGCAAGCCCTCCAAGTGACTAATACGCTCATCTTTGACAATGATAGTCCTGGAGTCCTGCTCCTGTATGGCGTGGAGTCCAGCGATGTCGTTCTCGAGCTCGGCGACCAGGTTGGAGTCCTCGTGTTCTTGTATAGCCGCCTCCAGATCCGCGATCCGTTTCTGGTCCGTTGACCATTGATCCTGCAGATCGTCGAACTCCAACTTTTTCTCTAGGAGTTTGACGCGTATGTCATCGAGCTCGCCGAGCTTGTCGTTGTAATTGGCATAAAGCTGTTGGTAATCGGCGAAGAGATTGGCGTTTTGGTTGTCTTTGTCTTTGAGGGCAGCTTCCTTGAGCGCGAGGTCGTGGTCGAGCTTGACATTGCGCGCCTCGAGAGTCTTGATGGTGCTCTGCTCTTCCACGAGTGTCTCTTCGCTCTTCTTGAGCGCGTATTCCGTGTCTTCTCGTTCGCGCTTGAGTTTTTCGAACTCGTTCTTGTAGCGGGCGTTCTCATCTTTGAGTTTGTCGTTCTTCTGCTCCAGATTCCCAGCTCGATCGTACTCTTCGTTGAGCTGCTGCTGGAGAGCGGCACAGCGCTCCCTGAGAACCTGCTCTGATTGATTACTCGCAGTTTCTCCCCTCTCAGACATGTTGTTGCTCACCTGCTCCACCCGTCGCGACAAATCAGACTCTTTAAGCGTGGGTACTTGCTTTGTTGTCGCAAACGCCAAGTCACCGCTTCCGGCACTAGCGCCATCCCCAGCCTCCGGCCCTGCGAGAAGACACGCTCCTTTTGGCGCCAGCGCCAGACGTCGACCGCTCAGCGGGCAAAGTGTCGTAGGGTCTTTCAATGCCGAAGCTATGAAACTTGGCGCTAGCGCTAAAGACCATTTTTGGGAGCATTTTGAAAGTGCCTTTGTGATTGGGTTAGAGGAGCGAAGATTAGATGTGAGTAAAGAATTTGATGAGAAAGAGAGAGACGGAAGCAAAGCTGCAGACAGAACCTTTCTCCTGGTGTATGGGGATCGATGGCTACACTCAACCACAAATTGGTTTTACAAGACATTCTGGCATGGTGCAGTCCTCAGAATGACTCTCCAACTTCTATTCTAATGCTTCAGGTTCCTAGTCGTCAGCAAACAATATTTTCGTCGCTCGGAAAAGGGAACATGGCTGTATCGCACTCCTCCAGCCTCCCATCTTCTTCGACAGCTGCTGCCATTGCTCCGGATTGTATCTGGCCATCGGACAGACTAGATCGCCATCAAAGTGCCTTTCCTCACACCTCCAACACTTCGGAGGCCGTCCAGCGTGCTTTCCACGTCTCTTTACTTTGACTACTTTTCCTTCTAGTCGTTTCGAATTGCGGGTCATTCCTGTTTGATATATCAAGCGTCCCCTACTGTCGCCCACCGCAGGGTCTTTCAGTGGTCTAAGCGGTGCCTGGAACTGCCATCCGTGCTGCTTGTCGAGATCTCTCTTCCATAGCTTCCCCACATACTCCATGTCTGTTTGTATGAGGAGCGACACACAGCAGAAGTCGCCAATGCGACGATGTAGCATCGTGATGGAGTCGCTCTCAAACTGTGACATGCGTATACCCAGTGATTTCTCTCGTCGCTGTCTCAGCTCACACTCTACCGCTTTGGTCTGAGCAGCCAGTTTCTTTCCCTTCTTCCCCGGTCGCTTGACCATGTCGCTCAGCTCCGTCATATCGAAGGCTTTGTAGAGTATGTTTTGACGAAGCTCTGTAGGGAGACCAAGAAGACTGGCTTCTGGATAGTGACGTTTGAAGCGGCCTGTCGGAGCTGTGATCCAAGGATAGATCCATAGCCGCGTTGCGCAATCTCGTGCGATCTGATGCCTTGCTGACTTCCGGAGTGTCCTCCATTCGAATGCGTCGTTTATGCGGAACCTTTGTCTAGACATCTCGTGACGGCGCTTTTGCCTTTCGCGTTTGCAAGCATTTTTGCTTTTGGCCATCGTGTAACTGCCTGTGTCGTGAGACTTGATCGCTAGGACGCAATCGTGGACTGTGCGGGGTACAGATTCTCCGAGACACTTGAATGGTATCAAAAGAAAGGCTTGCATTGATTCATGTCGATATCAGGGTTTGAGTGACTAGGTAGAGTCAGATCCTCGACATCAAATGGTGCCGAATGCAGGTGCGTGTGGATCTGGGCTGACCGCAACGCGGTAGCGAGATCCAGCCCTGCATATGTACCGTACACAGAGGCAAGGTTTTAGACTCTTTTACTAGAGAGTTGCATGAATGGTGGCTTTTCTGGCTGTCCTTACTGATATCGTGTCTCATGCCATTGGCCCGACGACGGAAGGAATGTGCCCTGGGCTTGCTTGAGGGGAAAGTCGAGCCACAATGTCACAGTACCTAGGTAGCAAGAGCGAATCAAAAGTACTTTTAGATACATTCTTCCATCAACCATTCTCTTTCCGGAAGAGAATGGAGACAATACAACGCTTCCCAAAAGCTAAGCAACATGGCTACCCACATCCAGCAAACTCCCATCATCCGGTCCAGTAAACTTCTTCCTCCCTGTCATGATCCAGAAAATCAAACTGATAAACATGACCACCCCTGTTGCCGCAGACGTGTAATTCATGTTCTCGCTTGTCACAGGTGTGACGCTGGGTAGGTTGGATACAACACAGATGAATGCCAGGTACAAGAACCCGATAATGTTAAGCACAATTCCCCAGCGTCCAAGAGAGTATGGGCCTTCGAGACGAGTCTTTTTCCCGGAGAAGTGCGCGAGAATGCGGGAGAGAAGAGGCATCAAGTACGACAAATAAAACCCCTGCGTAGCGATGGCGATGATGGTATTGAAGCCAGTCGTTGTACCGAAGTAGATGGAATTGAACGCCATTTGTACGATGGCTGTCAACAGGATGGCGTATACCGGTACCGATCTTGTCGAGATCTTGCTCAGTACGTTCGAAAACGGAAGTCCGTTGTCTCGTGCGAATGCATACACGGCTCTTGATCCTTCTGCCATGAGCGAGTTTGCGCATACTGTAGCGATGATGGCAATCATAGAGGCCAATGTAGATGTTCCTGCCACATTGCCTGTACTGTTGAAGATGATCTCAATAACAGGCACTCCAGTTGGAGTGGCACCTGTTGCTTCAAGATCGCCAATGCAAAAGCATAGCGCAATCAGCCAGACGAAACCAGTGAAGAAGCCAATGTAAACCGACATGACTATCGCCCGAGGAGCTTGTTTCCGGGCGTTCTTGATCTCCTCAGTCATGTGCGAAGGCGCATCGTAACAGCACATTCCGAACGCTGACTGGAGTAGACCCAAGCATGTAGCATACGGCGCATTCCATCCGGTAAAGTTTTGAAAATCGCTGAAAACGTAGCTTGCTGATTGCTTGTGGTCGTTTGTAGCCAGTATGGTAATTAGACAGACGACGAAAGACATGAGATTCCAGATGAAGATCGCTTTTGAGAGTTTGTTGAGGATGTGGGGCAGATAGATGTTAGACGCTGCCGCGATGAAGGTGATGAGGTACGCGACAAGAACTGTGTGCCAGCGTTCTATCGTAAACCCATAGTTGAGTTGGGCCACGCCTAGGATGAAATTTGTAGCGACGAAGTTGTTGACAGCGCCCATGCATATTATGCCGATAAGCATGAACCTGTCACATTAGCCTATCATTGAAGACCGCGTGCAGTGATGATACTCACCACCCACAAAGATAGCTCATTGAGCGAGCCCATCGCGTCGGAGCTAAGATAGCCACCCAACTATATTGTCCACCAGCAACAGGATACCTTGGGAAACGGTCAGCCAAGCCCTGCAGTGAGAAGTCGATGTTCATACGCGCTACACATCTCAGCCATCGAGTATGCGACAGCAAGTGTGACTAGGCAGACACATAGCCAGCCCCATATCATAACTGGTGGACCTCCACTCTCAACACCAATGATGAGAACACCGGAAAGTGCAGTCCACGAAGTTACAATACTGAACGAGAAGCCAACCATGCCAAGTAGGCCGAAACTGCGCTTGAGCTCTGAAAACCACGTCAGTAGATAATCAAAGCTGTCGTATTAACAAAGCCTACCTTGGGTATAACCCAGTTGTGCGAGCACATCATCGTCGCTGTTGGTCTCGTCGACGACCTTCTTCTCTTCTGGACTGATGGCCATGTCTACCAGTTCGATGTCCCGAAGACCAAAACGAAGAAGGAGCAAACACACTTATGAGCATGCAGATATCTCCAAACAAATGACAAGAAGCTTTTCAAAGCGCCGTCCTTCCGTTTAGATATACCTTTACTGGTATCGCGTCAACCCATCTTCCCACAGCCGTTCGACGACAGGGCCCATCGACGGCCGAGCCCTGCGTCACCCAGATAACGGCGATTTTTCTTAGGCTGTGCTTCCAATTCGGGCAGCCGTCATGCATCTCCCACATGTCTTATCGCGGATCGGGCGTGTGAAGTGGATTGGCCGAGATAGCAAGCGAAAGCGGAACTGTAAGAAACCGGGGTGCGGCTAGAAGTGGGGTGCATGGAATGGAGATAAGTAGGTCGATGTACGATGTGTAAAAGGCCGGGAAATTGAGTCGTTTCGTTACCCTTGGCTCAAAGTTCCAGTCTTTCGAACACAATGCAGAAGCTTCAGGAACAACGACGTCGGGGTTGTATTGGCAAGAAGGCGGTAACAGGTACTCCTGGAGTGGAGATGCGTACCTGCTGATCCCGAAAGCGGATACCACGACCCGAAGCGATAGGATCAAGCGTGTTCGCGGAAGCTTGAATATTACCATGTATATGAACGTAATGGAGAACTGCGCGGAGACTCCATGTTGAGATTACTTGAAGAGGCGACGCATGTGCCAAAACACTTGAATGCGGACATGGTTGCTGTCCGAACACCCATGATACAACACCATAAAACATCCTCACACTACAACGTCGAGTCGCTACTATTAAGAACATGGCAACTCAAATCTCCACCACGAAACCATACGCTTGGCCACACAACTCTTCCCTACACCCCACATCGACCGCCCTCATAATCATAGATATGCAACGCGACTTTCTCTCACCCGGCGGCTACCTCTCCTCCCAAGGCTACTCCCTCACACGTTTCGAGCCATTGATTCCCCGCATCGTCTCCCTGCTATCTACGTTCCGGCGCGCAGGCTTCCCTATCATACACACACGGGAGGGCCACAATGCTTCGCTAGCAACGGTGAGTAGTAGGGAAGCGCACCGCAGTCGGGTCAACAGTGCGGAAATAGGGAGTCAAGGTCCGTTGGGCCGTCTTCTGATACGAGGTCAGGAAGGGCATGAGATCGTTGAGGATCTGAAGCCTTTGGAGGGAGAATTGGTTGTTGATAAGCCTGGGCGGAGTGCGTTTGCGCATACGGAACTTGATCTCATGTTGAGAGCAAAAGGTGTCAGTAATTTAGTAGTCTGCGGGGTTACGGCAGATGCATGTGTTAGTAGTACTGTGAGGGAGGCGAGCGATAGGGGGTATGATGTACTGGTTGTGGAGGATGGGGTAGAGAGTGTTAGTGAAGAGTTGAAAAGGTGGAGTCTGGAGAGTATCAAGGTTGAAGGAGGGCTATTCGGGGTCACGGGAAGCTGCACCGAAGTAGAACAGGCAGTGACAAGTTGGGCGCAAGGTCAGGACGGCGCAGCTTGAATCGACTTGACAACAAGGTATTTGGACAGCGATGTGCATGAATATGTATGCATTGACTAAACTAGCCGAATGAAGATCGAAGCTTCATATTGATCATTTCCAACCCACCCATGAACAGAACGCCGTGAAGACCGATAGCCGTGACCAGATCATATCCATAAACAATGTGTGACCCATGCGGCCTGCCCTCGACCAAGAATCTCCAAGATGGCGTCGATGTCGGGTGCCGATGTGTCGTAATGAGAAGACAAGATGTTTAACCACCGAAACCGTAGAGGGTACGGCCCTGGCGCTTGAGAGCGTAGACAACGTCGAGGGAGGTGACGGTCTTGCGCTTGGCGTGCTCAGTGTAGGTGACAGCGTCACGGATTACGCTCTCGAGGAAAGTCTTGAGGACACCACGGGTCTCTTCGTAGATCACTGCAGTCATGTTAGGATATGTCCTGGACAGCGACGATGTTGGGAATGCTTACTGGCTGAAATACGCTTGACACCACCACGACGAGCGAGACGACGGATGGCGGGCTTGGTGATACCCTGGATGTTGTCACGAAGAATCTTGCGGTGACGCTTGGCGCCACCCTTGCCGAGACCCTTGCCACCTTTGCCGCCTAGAGAGGTACGTTAGCATGTTTGTCCTGTGTTGATGGTAGACGAGTGACATGGTCAAGATGTAAGAGTGGTTGTGGTAGACGTTGTCGTGATGCGCGGCACATTAGTGGGGCGACGCGTTGAGCCTCAACACCAAGCGCGCCTCACCGCCATGTGCAGCAGCGGCAGCAACGACAATAACATGGATGCAAGGGCAGGGAAAGAGTAACAGAGATGTACTTACGTCCAGTCATGTTGCTAAGAAGTTAGTGAGATGGAGGTGATGGGTGTTGGTAATAGACGCGTTGATGCAGCGTCAGTGGTTGGATGAAGATAAAAGCTGGGGGTTGCGAAAAGAGAAGAAAGGGAAAACCCCAAAGACGTGGGCGAGCCGGTTATATAGACAAAGGGAGGCGGGCGCGGCTGCCTCCAGATCACACAA